TAAGTACATTAATTAAATTCATACATTTTTTGGCTAATCGTTATGAGATTATTGAAATCAGCTGTTGTTCACTCACATGAAATGGGCAAATTATATAAATTTGGCCCTTCATACATATTTTTTCTTGTATTGTCTGTTCCAAAAATGTTTGTCTACACCAAACGTGTAAAACACAAGGAAGCAAACCCACACGTTCAACTTATTTTGCCATGTTACCATTTCTTTTACACAAGACAGTATCCATGCAAAATAATTTTGTGGTTTCACATGTAACAATGACACCAAAATATTGGTGTCCTGTTACACGTGAAACTGATATATGGATTATAAGGTAATAAGCTTTAAACTTGATAAAAAATGAGTAAAGCTTCATTTATATTAGTTAAAAATGAACAAATTTGAAACATCAGCTGAAGATGTGAGTGTGTTTAGCTTTGAGACTCCCATATTGGACAGGGTTGGGTTTCACATGTAACATGGATGCCAAATTATTGAACGTTCTGATTACATCTCAAGATGTGATGCCTAAACCATTTTGCCGTCCCCATCCTTCCCGTATCCCGTCCCTACCCTCCCCTACCCCACCCCACCCTCCCCCACTCCATTCCCACCCTTCTAGTACCCATAACATATTGGACAGGGTTGGGTTTCACATGTAACATGGATGCCAAATTATCGAAAGTTCCGATTACATCTCAAGATGTGATGCCTAAACTATTTTGCGGTCCCCATCCTTCCCGTATCCCGTCCCTACCCTCCTCTACCCCACCCCACCCTCCCCCACTCCATTCCCATCCTTCTAGTACCCATTACATAACAGTGTTGTAGTCGAGTCCATCACAAGTCCCTGCAAGTCCATCATAAGTCCATCACAAACAATTCAGTCTTAATCAGGTAATAAACTTTAAACTTGATAAAAAAATGAGTAAAACTTCATTTACCGGTATATTAATTAAAAATGAACAAATTTGAAACATCCGCTAAAGATGTGAGAGAGTTTAGCTTCGAGACTCCCATTATTGGACAGGGTTGGGTTTCACATGTAACATGGATGCCAAATTATCGAACGTTCTGATTACATCTCAAGATGTGATGCCTAAACCATTTTGCCGTCCCCATCCTTCCCGTATCCCGTCCCTACCCTCCCCTACCCCAACCCCCCCCCTCCCCACTCTACCCTCCCCTTCCCCACTCCATTCCCACCCTCTAGTACCCATTACATAACAGTGTTGTTGGATGCATTGTTCCTTGGATTAACCATTCCCAAATGGATGAATTTACTGAACATGCTGAAGCCTAAATCAATGCAAATTATGAATTAATTTCTTAGGGGAAGATTATTTTTTAGTTTTGTACTATTCATTCTTATGTGTTTTGTTTCTTTTGTTTGAAAAAAATGTTGAAATATCTTAATTCAAACCAGAAAAAGAAAATCACATGATGCTCCACCCCCATTATGAGAATGGAATGGTCTGGCGGTATCCTGGCCTGTGACCAATCAATGTTGACACTTCCCCTCTTATTTTAGACTAACTTCAGTAAAAATCACCAACTTTCGAACCCCCTTCAAACAGATAAATGAAAAGGACCCCATTTTTAATAGATCAGACGTTGACCATCCAACGCAGGCAAAAGCACAGGCCAAAACACAAAATCGTACCACACCGTCGCATGGAAACCACGTCGTGATATTTCCATTACGATGTGCAATTTCAGTTAGGGTTTCGGGACACATATTTAGCGTCATTTGTGAAAGCTTAGCCTCTTCTAGTCCGAGTAACTTGGACCCAACTTATCGCCTTTTTTAACATTTTGGACATGGTCTGGCGATAGTGGGGTCCAAGCTAATACCGCGACCTGGACAACATCATCCTGTCACTGTCCCAAACCAACATTTTCCAACAAAAAACATCAGATTTCACCTTCAAAACGGCCTCCAAATTACTAGATATGCCACCTGAAGTACAAGTAGACATCGATGATTAAGATGGTTGTACTTAAGTTTACTTACGATCCGGAAGAAAAGTGAAATTTTCCGTTCATTTCGGAGAGCTCCCCTCGCGATCTTGAACACGTTAAATTTCCGATCGTGTTTAATGTTTGAACGACGCGATTTCTTCTACATGCCCAGTGTACATTCAATGGTCCCCGTATCCCGTGTGCGATTCCGTTACCGAGCGCGCGCGATGCACGATTATGATAATGAGTCACGTTTGTAAACACATACATGTGCATTTTGAACTGTAAAAGGGAATCGGGAACCAGCTTGAACTGGTACCCGCCATAAAAGCTGCGCTAGTTCCCGACTCCCTATTATCGTTTGAAATGCACATGTGTTTACAAACGTGATCCAGTCTACTCATTATCATAATCGATGCATCGCGCGCGCTCGGTAACGGAATCGCACTCGGGATACGGGGACCATCGAATGTACGCTGGGCATGTAGAAGAAATCGCGTCGTTCAAACATTAAACACGATCGGAAATTTAACGTGTTCAAGATCGCGAGGGGAGCTCTCCGAAATGAATGGAAAATTTCACTTTTCTTCCGGATCGTAAGTAAACTTAAGTACAACCATCTTAATCATCGATGTCTACTTGTACTTCAGGTGGCATATCTAGTAATTTGGAGGCCGTTTGACCGTGCATGAACATGTTTTATGCCAAATCACGGAAATGGAATATCACGTCGTCACGCGGTTACCATTTTGTTTCGTATCCATTCCGTAGCTGAAGTGCAGGTTTTAGCGTGTCAACTATACTGCAACAATTGTTTGAGATGTTATTCATGTTTCAGCATACACAGGGAGTAGTTCTTCGGGATTACCAGGCACCGTGTTGATAAATCTGTAATCTAACCCTTGTTTGTCCTCCCCGAATGTGGTATACCTCGTAACTGACATCACACCGTAAAAAAATGACACCAAAACTATTGGCACCCACGATGGAAAAGTTGCCGAAAGCACGCGGGTTTCTTCTTGCAACAAAGCAAGGGTTGCATCCGGGTACTTTGATCGCAAGACGTTCATCCAGAAAATCTATAGAGGGCGCACGCGCGATCGCATTTAATTATCACGTCGTCACGTTTTTTAGTGGATGCGAAGTCAACTACCAGTGAGTAACCACGGTTGTTTTTTAAAAATCGTGTAGTTTTTTTCATGATTTCTGGTTGGATACGAATGGAATGCTACTGTTTCTCGTGGAAATCGTTATTTGGGTCTTCTAAATGACTCTGACATTTTACAATATGTCGGTAAATTTCGGTTTCACCTCGCAACATTGCTGACACGAAATGTTACGATGGGCGCTGAGACTTCCGTGATCGATACTTCAGAAATGCAAGACGCATGGAATAAATAACAATCAGGGAATCGTAAACGGTCTATTGGTTCAACTTTATTTGCAAAACATTATTTAAAATATACTCTTGGGAACACAGAATCGTACATTGAAGACCGAGTATGTTTCATGTCACAAAATATTCTTAAAATAAACATGGATACCATGATATTTTGGTGACGTAGTTTGGGTTTCGACCAATTGGAGGTCCCAAAAAAATTTTTTTTCTTGTTCGCCCATTCATCCTCAATAAATCGGGATCGATAAAAAATGTGATTAATTTGTCAAAAAAACAAATAACAGCACTTTGTTTTCACTGGACCACTGTCACTGATGCATTGATTGTGTACCCAACTTCATGGAATGACCCATGTACATGTATACAACCGGTACATACTGGGTACGTGCGCAAACCAGTGCACAAAGTATTCGGTGTCTTCTGCCCACTGGGCTCTCTCGTTTGCGCATGCTGCACGGAGCCCATGTAATTATATATAATGTGATTTGTGTGCCCAAAAAAAAAAAAAATATGGTGTTTATCTCAAGGTGTCTTGTACAGGTACATGTACGTATGATAAAAGATCAAGTTTCCTTGCTCTGTTTACAATAGAAAATTTACCATTCTGGACAAAACACATTTACCAGTACATGGTCCATGTTAAATGTTGTACAATGTACATGTGTGCTTAAAACTTGACACATGTGTGTTTCGAACTGTGCTTATTTGCCAGCATAGTCCTGTAAAACAAATATTGACTCTACAGCATTAGATGTAGAACTTTGGCCATGTGCAGTGCACACACACAAAGTTCTGTAGTTTAGTTAATAGTGCAAATCTTGCAAGAGGGCTGTTTAAAGATTTTTTGGTTCCCATGTGCTAGACAAAGCCAATTTCACCCAAGCCCTGCGGTGGTGATACCCAATGCACAAAGGAATGGAGCCGATTTGTTGGTTTGCAACCCCAGGTTTGCTTGGCGCTGCTTGGCTATGAGTGTTGTGCAGTGCAGTGTGGGATACCATCCCCCAGCTTGTGTCAACATTCGCACCTACAGCGCCCTAAGCACTGACTGCATAAACAAGGAGCTTGATAAATAATGTCCAGCTTGATAGCTCTCCCCTCCGCATCTGTGAGCTCTGAATGGTTAAGGGTCAGAGTATAGTCTTTTGTGCATGTTGTTCTTGACAGATTATGAACATGTAGGCCTACATCATGGAGGAATTAAGGAAATACCGCAATGTTATTACATACTGAGCACTTGATGCTGAAAATCTCCCCCCCCCCAAAAAAATATTTGCAAACCATATTGCACTCATATTGTACGTACTGTACGATGTATTGAAATTCTATTGCACATTTTATTGAGGGCTTCTTATTTTTATAAGTTTTTGCAAGCCTACTAGAAATAAGTAATTTTATTTTTATGTACTAAAATCTAGAACATTTCATACATAAACACATACATTTTGTTGCCTGAAATTAAAAGGAAGGAATTTAAGAATTTCCACCCATGATGCTCTTGTGATTGAATTAGACTAGAGTGAATTTTGTTGTTAATTCTGATATACATGTATATTGACAGAGGTATTTTACATGGCATACAGCAACAGAGATCTTACAGGTGTAAATAATGTTTGGTTTATTTATTTCCTTCTCTTTCCAGGGATCTGAGTAACAACCAGATCACATCGTTACGTCAGAACGCCTTTTCTGGGCTGTCTTCGCTTCTTCAGTTGTAAGTAAATTTTCACTCAAATTTTTATTGAAAAAGTACATTTGTACACCACGTATAGATAAAGCTAAAATGAAACAACATTTTACATAGTTTGTCTGAGAAATACAAGTTACCTGTACATACAAATGTAGCCCAAAGATTAAATGAAATTGAAGTTGTGAGTGGAATGATCCACAATCGAGCCTTTTAAATTTTCTTTCTAAAAGCCAAGTTTTTAGTCATTTCAGGTTTTTCCTCCTCAAAATCGTGCATTTGGACCACCAGATCATTAACATGTACATTGTACCTGTGAATCAAAAAAGTCTGTTTGTCCTGTTCCACAATGTTAATAAATTTATACATCATGTGTGTGAAAATGAAATACTGTTAAAAAACTCCCTCTCCCAGTAAAAAGTTTGTTCAGTGCAAATCGACCATCCGTTCTTGTGGTAATATCGCTGATATTGCAGCAGGGTGATTGGCATGCTGCCATTGGACCCCCTTCAAATTTCCAGCCAAATTTCATGACAAAATGCCGGTCTGGGTGATTAGCTTCCCATAGTCCCCCTCTTATTTTTTCCCCAGTTTGCTTACCTTTCTGTGTTTGCTCAACGGCTGTCACTTCAACTCAGATTTCACACCCCGAGAATTCGCTCTTAATTGTGCCTTTCAGGTGTGTTATCAAAAGCGGCTTTTTCTGGCTGGTTTTTTTTTTATTCTTCTTTTATGGCCGGCCCCTTCTTTCTGCAGCTTGTGTGAAAGGATTTTTTTTTTTTGTCTGGCGGGCATGCATGCGTGCAAATGTTTATGATTGCTTTTACTTGGTTGAAGTTCACGTGAACCTCTGGTTGGGTTGGAGTGTGTGGAGTTATTAAATTGTGAATGCCAAGTGGATTTGATAGTCACTGTATTTGCAAGTTACACCTGAAAAAATCTCAACGTCTCCGAGAACTACATGTACATGTACGTGTATACATGTATCTCACAGGAAACAAAATCTTGTTTCACTTGCATCAACTTCAATGATAAAACTTTAAATGTTGTTTTAAATCGGTACAGTATTTAACCAAATGAAACATAATTGTAGGAAAAATTACCCTACGTGTACATTGAATTGATGAATTCCATGTGCAGTAGTACATGTAGCTAGAGGGGTTCTTTTTTTGGGGGGGGGGGGGAGGGGGGGGGTACCGTAAACACACATTGCAAAGTCGACAGATTCCTCTTAAACTTATGAAAAAACCTTCATTGTTCATTACAACATCCCATTTTAAAAATTTCCAAATCTTGAAATTGATTAATTACATTCAAAAGGTCCAAAATGGTATTATTTTGATATTAACAAGTGTTATTTTCTGTGATGACAGTAAGCGTACCGGTGGAATTGATTTAACAATGTGGAAACTGTGTCCTGGATTTTACAAAAGCAAAGTTGATGAAAAAAGAAATCCCACAACATCCAACTTCGAGTTCCAGACGAAAATTGTTATCCCTTGAGAAAGACGGCCCAATTTTTGCTCGTGGCATTCCCCACCCCAGTAGCAGTCTTGCCTTGCCTCATTTCACACTTCATCACGGGGCAATCAAACAACATTCTCCCCCGTTGGCCAACCGTGCGGTTTTCCTGGGCGTAATTTTTACGGGCTGTAAATTAGATCGTCCAGCACTTGCCCCAAACGGATGAAACCGGTCCGCTTGGGGACTGTAAAAAAAAACCCCAAAAAACAGGTGAATTGCTCTCAATGAATTATGACTGAGCTGCTACATACACTGAGCCGCTATAAAACCCATAATGCCAGTACACAAACAATATTTTGGGATATAAAGAGGAGCGTAAGGGCACTAAACAGGTCATGAACACGCTCAATGTTCAGGATCGATTTCATCTTGGATCTACAAACATGTACAACACACTGGACGTGCACTTGGGCAAAATATGCTACCACAAGGTAACCGGCTGCACTAGTGTACTGATTATTATGCAGGAGTGACACTTGCCAGGATTTTTCCTGATTTTAGGATTGGTTGTCAGGATATTTTGTCAGGATATTTCCTGATTTCAAGATTTTAAAAGAATTCCAGGGTTGAAAAAGGTGTTTAAATGCAACATGTGCGGTATATATACCGGTAGAACAAAAGAAATTGGTATTTTGGGGGTGCTTCAAACACTCTGCCCATTATTTTATGGATTTGTACAGTACACTATACACATTTTGTACACGAATATTGGCAAACAAGTACATACATGTACATGTAACTGGAGCCCATTGCTAAAAAAAAAAAATATGGAAGATTGTACATTATGTAAGATACAAATGAAGAAAAAAGTAATGTTCTTTTTTTTCTTGTTACCGGTAATTCAAACAGTTGAATACATTTGTACTTCAGTCTAATTGGGATTAACTTCATTTTTCTTTTGTATTTAAATGCCTATTAAAAAAAAAAAATGGTGTTTGTTTTCGTACTAATGCATACAATATAACATACGAAATGATAACATTGTTCATGATATAGGCCCCCTATGTCTTAATGTGATGTAAATCCAGACCAGATTTCAAAGTAAGATAAGATGGGTCATTCCATGCCAACTCAACAAATGTTGCACACCATCACCTCTTGGATTTTTTTCTTTTTTGGTGTACTGAAAGATACTTAGGAGAAATGCAAATTCTGAAAATTTGGGGTCTCTACGACTTTTTGTTCTTGCGCAACAGCATTTTGAAATTTGAGGTGGGCGGGGCCAAAAGTGCGTCGCGTCACGAAATTCAATGTTTAAAGGGCCATATATTTAAAACTATACCCCCCAGACATTTCAAACTTGGTAATCTGGGCTATTTTTTGCTGTAGATTTCAAATATTTAAACAGAAAGAAAGTAGCTTGTTTCATTTTTAAGTTAGAGGGGCCCCAAAATGGCCCAAAACCCATCTGGACCAATGTTTGGGGGAGTGTAAGTCAAAAATTGAAAATATTTTTTTCACCAATTTTTTTGCCTGTAATAGCCCCCAATTGAAACTACTTTCATGTAAAATCTTACACTTATATTAACTTCATTGAATGAGATATAGCCCTTGCAAAAAGCAAATTGTTTATTTTTACGATAACTTGACCCCCCCAAAAACCAACGTCAGACATTCCGCACCAAATTTTGCTTCACATATGTTTGAGGTTGGTCCTTAGTGAAGTCCTCTGAAAAGTTTCATGTTGGTGTCTAAATGTCTTCAGTGGATAGCTGGGCTTTATAAAGAGTCTATATCTTACGATGCTGCAGGTTCCGTAACATACAAGTACATGTACTTGTATTTTACGGAACCAGCACAACAAAATCCCTGTTGATAGACTGTTGATAGACTTGGGTCAAGACTACCCATTTCCTGCTCAATAAACAGTTGCTTGTAGACCTATGTGTGCATTATAGGCAAATTAGGTTAAATGACTTGAGAGTCTTATTCTTTCCATGTGCTCATCACACAGCATGCATGTCATGTACATGTATACATTAACCAGTTCTTACTTGCACAGCATAGTATAGCACTAACCTGAACCAAAGAGAAGTGATTCAGTTTGAGTAAAGGGTCTATGGTTTTAACCTGATTGATCTTAGTTTTCATTATGGATAAGGGGAACCTAGTTCATGCAGGAAACTCATCATGCACCAATTGTAGCAGCTGACCTCAACCCAGGAAAATATGTTTGTGTGGTCTATGATGATGTTTGGCACATTGCTATTGTAGAAGATGTATCACAACTTCATGAGGATGTGTATGTCCGCTTCATGTACAGGACGGAATCAACAAATACTCTCTATTGGCCACAAAGAGAGGATAAATGTAACATTCCATTTGTTGACGTGTTGTGTTGCGTACCAACACCAGAACTTCTACATAGCGGTGGAAGGCAATACAAACTTAGTGAGCCAACCATCATGCAACTCATTCAACTTCATCAAAACTACATCACAAGGAATGCATAATTTCACCTGTGAAACTGTAAACAATTATATCAACTGATCAAAAGTCTACATGTACAAATGTAAGCTAAGTTTCATACCCAACTTATTCTTTATGTACCGACTGCTGTTATTCTTGGTACATTGTACAATGTACGTGTACTTAGTTGTATGTTACGGAACCAGCATCGTAAGATATAGACTCATTATAAAGCCCAGCTATCCACTGAAGACATTTAGACACCAACATAAAACTTTTCAGAGGACTTCACTAAGGACCAACCTCAAACATATGTGAAGCAAAATTTGGGGCGGAATGTCTGACGTTGGTTTTTGGGGGGTCAAGTTATCGTAAAAATAAACAATTTGCTTTTTGCAAGGGCTATATCTCATTCAATGAAGTTAATATAAGTGTAAGATTTTACATGAAAGTAGTTTCACTTGGGGGCTATTACAGGCAAAAAAATTGGTGAAAAAAATATTTTCAATTTTTGACTTACACCCCCCCGAACATTGGTCCAGATGAGTTTTGGGCCATTTTGGGGCCCCTTTAACTTAAAAATGAAACAAGCTACTTTCTTTCTGTTTAAATATTTGAAATCTACAGCAAAAAATAGCCCAGATTACCAAGTTTGAAATGTCTGGGGGGTATAGTTTTAAATATATGGCCCTTTAAACATTGAATTTCGTGACGCGACGCACTTTTGGCCCCGCCCACCTCAAATTTCAAAATGCTGTTGCGCAAGAACGAAAAGTCGTAGAGACCCCAAATTTTTAGAATTTGCATTTCTCCTAAGTATCTTTCAGTACACCAAAAAAGAAAAAAATCCAAGAGGTGATGGTGTGCAACATTTGTTGAGTTGGCATGGAATGACCCAGATAGCAAAGCGTGTAAAATGAAATATAAGAGCCCGCCTGACATCCCCTGTCACATTGATTAACTGCGCCATAGCAGATTCCCTCCCGGCGCACATTAATGCATCCGAACATTTACTTGTGGCGCAGTGTAAATAATTAGATCTGGATACTTTTTTTTTTGTGGTCACTGGGGGAGGAAGATTGGAACGGGGAGAAACGGAGCGTGACACAAGACAAGAATCCAAATTTCCAATTTGTCTCCGTCGAAGGAGATGTGTCCTGCAGCGGTGTCGGGGACGACCGAACACCCTGAGAAATCCATGCGACTGGTTTGATTTTAAGGGGAGTGATAAAAACCTGGCTTTTCGTCGAGAAGAAAACAGAAAAGAATTTGAACTTTAATACCGGTAGATGATTTTAAGCTTTTGATGGAATGAGAGCATGGATGAAGACACTACATGTATTTGACTACAGTCTCTTAACTGTAAAAAAGAACAAGTTGTGAGAATGTTTTTCCAAACTTTTTGCTCAGTGCACTCTGTCTGTCCAGGAAAACTAATAGAGTGTACATTTTGTATGTACCGGTATAATGTACAGGTCATGCAGGTACCGGTAGGCCTATGTACTTTCCTTTTCAGGAATACTGCAAATACATACCGGTACGAATAACCTCTCTAAGCGACAGAATTTGCAGTGCTCTGCCATTAGAAAGAGTGAGTCACGGGTTCTCAAATGGACCATGAGAAACCAAATATGCCCTAAAAACTAAAAACATTTATTTACAAAAAGTACTTCACTTTCAAACACTTTTCCCACATTCTTCTTCCAGAGTCTGAATCATGTTTTATTTCATGTTTTTGTAATTTTGAAAATGGCTACTTCATTATATTATCATTTTTAAACTGAAACACAGCTGAAGATGAAAATGCAAGATGTCAGGGTTTAAAATAATATGGAAATATCTCAATGTTGTTATTATTACTATGAGGGGTCGTTTGACTGGGACCATGCGCCTGTAGTCACATAGAGTTGTTGAGAACCCTGTAAGCCGTAAACAACTAGCTTTCCTAGGTGCCATTTCTGGCGGAAGTCCGCCTGCTTTTACTAGTATTAACCGTACTTGCTTTGATAAACATGTGAGGCTGCTAACTTTGTTCTGAATATATTTTTCTGTTTAATTAACACTTCTTGTCAGTGTAATTTATCTTAGCTTCATCCAAAAAAACTGATCATGATTTCAAGATGAAATTGTAAGATAATTATTATAAAGTAAGATAGAGCTGTTAAGAAAAGTTCTGATCATATCGGCGACATCTTGCTATCAAAAATCATGCAGAACAATTATCCGAGCAAAAAATCTAAGGATTATATTTTATTCAAATTATCCGGAGAAGAATCTACTTTTGAATTGATAACTTTTTAAAGAGGAAATAATTAGCTTGTCTGCAAGTCAGTCAGGGAAGCGGATGTGGTAGTCATGCCAGGCTCACTCTGAAGCCGCAGAAAAAACCTGCAGGAAATATGGGAGAAATGTACATTCAAAACTTAGCATTGATTCCAAACAGGCATTGAGAACAGTTGAGTTTGTACGAATCGGAAAACGTTTGTTTTCTGTTGATAACAGAAAATCTGCCAACCCATCAGTCACTGTAGGGCCCGAAAACTCCCTGCCCATAGCTCCCGAAACCTCATGAGCACTCCATGTTTTTACGATTTGTTTTCAGTGAATAACCGCAATGTGACACAATATAGTAAAGTTGCTAAATGGGTTTGCTAATTTGCCATGGTAATACTGATCACTGTATACATTTTGGTAGAATAAGTCACATGGACACACTATTTGATTCGGCTGTAAATTGCATGTTCATACCTCAGATCTTCGCCAAGTTTTAGATTCTCTCTTTACCACTCGACTCCGTGCTTGTGCTTGTAGTGACTCCGAAGTGCAATTTCAGCTGAACACACCTTTCCGCAAAGTTGGCACGTCCATTGGTTCTTTGAAAACAAGAAAATTAAGGAGGGTTTTCTTTAGGGGAAAAATAACATCTTTATGAATATTACCGTCAGCAAATTAGGATTTCTTGTATTAATCAAGAGGACAGTGAATGTTACAAATTCGTTTATAATTACACCATTAATTAAAAGTCCACTTTGTTGATTTTCCTCATAGCGAAATAACTAAATTTAACAAATCTTGCAGCAACTGAGTACTTTTCACTATTTCTAGTATCAATATTTAGATGTGATACTCACTCCGCCATCATCTTTGGGTGGTGGAATAGACGGTGGTTTCTTTCTGATCTTATCGTCCCATTTGTCTTGCTTTGGCTTGTTCATCTTGGGCGATTTTAGTTCTAGATTTTGTGTCTTTCAGAAATGCTGGTATTCTTTCCTTCTTTGGCACTTCAATGGCTATTTGTTACTGTACTCATCGAAGTCCAATCCTCTACTGTATCAATGTCACATGAGTTGTAAACGAAAATACGTCGCTAAATTTGACGAGGTTCGGTGGGCTTTTGTCTGCCAAGAATTGCCAACCAATCAGAATAGTTGCAATTGAAATTATAGTTACATGTATGCAAATTGTATTGTACCGCTTCTGACCTTGTACATTCGCTGCCGACGTGTAAGTTTATATAATGGTCCATTTTTAGAATAGTCCAGACGGTACCAGGGTGTACAAAATACATAAAGGTATCATGAATTCTGTGTACTTAAACAGGAGCCCCCCCCCCCCCCTAAAGAGTGAGTCACGGGTTCTCAAATGGACCATGAGAAACCAAATATGCCCTAAAAACTAAAAGCATTTATTATTAACAAAAAGTACTTCTTCATCAAACACTTTGCGCAATTCTTCTCAGTCTGAATCGTGTTTTATTTGATGTTTTTGTAATTTTGAAAATGGCTACTTCATTACATTATCATTTTTAAACTGAAACACAGCTGAAGATGAAAATGCAAGATGTCAGGGTTTAAAATAAAATATGGAAATATCTCAATGTTGTTATTATTACTACATGTATGAGGGGTCGTTTGACTGGGACCATGCGCCTGTAGTCACATAGAGTTGTTGAGAACCCTGAAAGCCGTAAACGACTAGCTTTCCACGGTGCCATTTCTGGCGGAAGTCCGCCTGCTTTTACGAGTAACCGTACTTGCTTTAATAAACATGTGAGGCTGCTAACTTTGTTCTGAATATTTTGTTCTGTTTACGTAATTAACACTACTTGTTGGTGTAATTTATCTTAGCTTCATCCAAATCCAAAAAAACTGATCATGATTTCAAGATGAAATTGTAAGATAATCATTATAAAGTAAGATAGAGCTGTTAAGAAAAGTTCTGATCATATCGGCGACATCTTGCTATCAAAAATCATGCATAGCAATTATCCAAGCAAAAAATCTAAGGATTATTTTTTATTCAAATTATACGGAGAAGAATCTACTTTTGAATTGATAACTTTTCAAAGAGGAAATCATTAGCTTGTCTGCAAGTCAGTCAGGGAAGCGGATGTGGTAGTCATGCCAGGCTCACTCCGAAGCCACAGAAAAAACCTGCAGGAAATATAGGAGAAATGTACATACCAAACTTAGCATTGATTCCAAACTGGCATTGAGAACAGTTGAGTTTGTACAAATCAAAAAACGTTTGTTTTCTGTTGATAACAGAAAATCTGCCAACCCATCAGTCACTGTAGGGCCCGAAAACTCCCTGCCCATAGCTCCCGAAACCTCATGAGCACTCCATGTGTTTACGATTTGTTTTCAGTGAATAACCGCAATGTAACACAATATAGTAAAGTTGCTAAATGGGTTTGCTAATTTGCCATGGTAATACTGATCACTGTATACATTTTTGTAGAATAAGTCACATGGACGCACTATTTGATTCGGCTGTAAATTGCATGTTCATACCTCAGATCTTCGCCAAGTTTTAGATTCTCTCTTTACCACTCGACTCCATGCCTGTGCTTGTAGTGACTCCGAAGTGCGATTTCAGCTGCACACACCTTTCCGCAAAGTTCGCACAGCCATTGGTTCTTTGAAAACAAGAACATTTAGGAGGGTTTTCTTTAGGGGAAAAATAACATCTTTATGAATATTACCGTCAGCAAATTAGGATTTCTTGTATTAATCAAGAGGACGGTGAATGTTACAAATTCGTTTATAATTACACCATTAATTAAAAGTCCACTTTGTGATTTTCCTCATAGCGAAATAACTGAATTTAACAAATCTTGCAGCAACTGAGTACTTTTCTCTATTTCTAGTATCAATATTTAGATTTGATACTCACTCCGCCCATATCTTTGGGTGGTGGAACAGACTCTGGTTTCTTTCTGATCTCCTCTTCCAATTTGTCTTGCTTTTGCTTGTACCGGTACATCTTGGGCGATTTTAGTTCTAGATTTTGTGTCTTTCAGAAATGCTGGTATTCTTTCCTTCTTTGGCACTTCAATGGCTATTTGTTACTGTACTCGAAGTCCGATCCTCTACTGTATCAATGTCACATGAGTTGTAAATGAAAATACGTCGCTAAACTGGACGAAGTTCGGTGGGCTTTTGTCTGCCAAGAATTGCCAACCAATCAGAATAATTGCAATTGAAATTATAGTTATGCAAATTGTATTGTAGCCTACCGCTTCTGACCTTGTACATTCGCTGCCGACGTGTAAGTTTATATAATGTTCCATTTTTAGAATAGTCCAGACGGTACCAGGGTGTACAAAATACATAAAGGTATCATGAATTCTGTGTACTTAAACAGGAGCCCCCTCCCTAAAGAGTGAGTCACAGGTTCTCAAATGGACCATGATAAACCAAATATGCCCTAAAAACTAAACACTTTTATTATTAACAAAAAGTACTTCACCATCAAACTCTTTGCTCAATTCTTCTTAGTCTGAATCATGTTTTATTTGATGTTTTTGTAATTTTGAAAATGGCTACTTCATTTTTAAACTGAAACAAAGCTGAAGATAAAAATGCAAAATGTCAGGGTTTAAAATAAAATATGGAAATATCTCAATGTTGTTATTATTACTATGAGGGGTCGTTTGACTGGGACCATGCGCCTGTAGTCACATAGAGTTGTTGAGAACCCTGTAGGCCGTAGACAATATCTTTCTCACGGTGCCATGTCTGGCGGACGTCGGTCTGGTTTTTACGACTTTACGTGATGTTTTGTTAAATGTGAAATGCTGCTAATTTTGTTTTGAATACATTACCCAAGAAAAAAAAATATCTGAAGAAGAAGAAGACCTTGTTAAAGGGAATATACATGTACGTACATCATTTGCTTTTGCTGTAATTTTCAGAAATGGATGGAATTGGGGGGTTGGAAATATACAGCAAATATAGTTACACTGACTTTTTTTGAGGTTGTGGGTTCGAAAATGCTATAAAAACCAAGAAAAACAATCATTTTCCTGTAGTCCAGTTCCCTGACTCCATTTAAGAAGAAACAGAGTAGAAGTTACATACATTGGGGAATTGTAAGGTCAGGGAACCAGTCTAGCTGGCTTGTACCCGTTCATAGGTGTGTAATCGATTGCAAACATGCGATGGTCACCAGGGCCAGTATTTGAAAAAAAGCCAGTTTTTTTTCCAACGCTGATCAGCCGATCAGCCGATCAGCGTTGGAAATTGATAAAAAAATACCACTTTTCTTGTAAATGACAGTATACCTGGTGCCATGATTTTACAGGATGCTTTATACTGTCATTCACTAACAGTCCAGCAAGGTATTTCAAAATGATTTGGTAGTTTTATTTTTTGATGTTTGCAAATGTTGTATTTTCCCTTTAAGATCGCAACGTCAGGCCGCCCTAATTTTTAAGACAAGCAAACTGATTTTTCTAGACGTGTGATTTTTCTAGACGTGTGATTTTTCTAGGCGTGCGATTCTGTGGTCCAAGCTTGGACTGAACAATCTGGTATTGTTTTTCAAAATATTCATCTTGGTTTACAATAAAGCCATATTCTCTTCACCGACGTACTTTATTTTTCACAAATTATGAAGTATAATTATGCCGTAAATGTATGCCGAGGTGTGCGGTGCTGAGGGATTCAGGCGTGTGATTATTTGCACTTCTCAGGAAGCATTTAGGCATGTGATGGCGTGGGGGTGTGATCGCACGCCTCAAAACAGAAGGACTGAGATGGAAAATAAAGTTTAAAGGTATACATGTAGGCCTACTGCTTTCGCAAACATCAAAAAAACAAAATTACCAAATTACCTACCGGTACATGTACTGGGTATTAGGAAATACTGGTACATGTACCTTACTTGACTGTACCACTACCGGTGTGAATTAGTAATCTCAAGCATCCATTGAAAATTGTGGCACCTGGTGTGTTGTCATTTTCAAGAAAAGTGGAATTTTCAATGAAATCAAAATGGATTAGTTTCAATCTGAAAACTTGTTCTCCATAAGGATGGTGCCAGTACAATCTTCCTAAGAAATCATTCCATCAAAAAACCCAGCCTTTTTTCATATATGTGACCCGCTCCACAAAAATGAGTCTGTTGTGGCAAAACTGACATTTTGAGTTAACTACATTAATAAAATGGGAATGAAATAAGCTTTCATTTGGTATATCATGGGCCTCTCTAGGACGTTTGGTTGCACTGTTGTGCCTTTTTTAATTCTGTCAAGTTTTTGCAAAGCAAGAAATGTCTCAATGAAGAAAAAAGGGTTTAAAAATTACAAATACACTGTAACTAACCAAGAAAATCACCAAAAATCATAAATTTGTTAGTCTTTTTCTTACAACATTTAAATTTCTGTGTAAGATATCTGAACTAAAACTATTAAACAATCAAAATAAAACAAAAACAAAAATCCAAATTTTGAGCAAATTTTCACTGTTTCCATTTGAAAGTGGTGAAAGCTGGAATTCAAGCTATGCGACATCAGACTCATTTTTGCAGAGCGGGTCACATATTACCCCCCATTTACCAAATTTAGTTAGTCAACATTTTGTCTGCAATCAATACACATGCGTGAATGGGTGCAAGAACAGCTTTTTCCTCTTGGTTTGTCCAGCATCTACAGTACATGTACAATGAACACAAAACTTTTAACTGGTTAGTGAAACAATATTTGCTTTAAAATACATACATGTACTAACCCCCAAATAATCCATTTCTGGAACTTACAGCAAAAGCAAATGTTGTACCTTTAAGAAAGGTACTGGCCGGGTACCAGAAGCTTCACATAAAGACATCAGTTTGAACAGAGAATCTACATTCTATAATTTGGGGTCCACTTTTTTCCAGTCCCTCACATCTATGACTTTATAATTCTGGATGCATAGGCCTATAATATTATCTTTTAAATGCAGTCATCCTGCAAGAGTTATTATGAATAGCAAACTACTTATCCCAGCAAATGAAATGAAACAAATGTTTGATGTCCTTCTTAATGATACTTGAATGGCAAATTACAAAGCTCCAATGTTTACATAAGGGACAGGGAAAAGGGTCACACTCTAGTCTCCACTTGTACATTTGTACCTGTATTTACTTCAAGTACCCCGGTATAATTCAGGCATGTGCTGTTACCTGGTATGTGTTCTACATTTGTTAAGTTACAGAAAGTTACAGCCATGACTAATGCACAAACTGACATACAATAGCCAAACATGTACCTAATCATTGGTACAAGTAAGTCATGGCACGTATTTCAATTTACATGTAGTTCATACATGTAGAACCACTGGTTTCAAAGCCCACGTTAAAAGGCCCCCCCCCCCCCCCTGGAAACCACCCAACCTTGCAGCCACACAAAAACCGTGAGTCTCCGCGATTGTTCGGGAACAAAACTGTTGATTTTATGGGTGTTGGTAGAGCCCTGTAATTGGGTGCACAGAGGCAACAATCGGACAAAAGGGAGCGCGCCGGAAGAAAAAAGAAAAACCCGGGGAGCCGTTCACACATTCCAGTTATTGGCAATCGCTGACCGTGACAGAACGTAGGAAAAAGCAATTCCAGATTAGGCAGGATTGGAAGAGGAAATTTGATATCGTGAGATTTCTCCTTTGTCGTTGGCAGGGTGAACCAAATCCTGCGATTTAACAGAATTGCATGGACTTCAAGTGTAAGCTCTGGTATTTTTTGTTCATGAGTTTAATTGTTTGGGTAGGTTCCGCATCAATGCAAAGATACGAGATACTCTGAAATAAGTTCTGTAATTCAGCAGGTATTTGTTTGTCATTCTGTGCTGAATGCTTCATGCGGGGAAAACAGATTTTCATAAATGTTCATTAAATAAATACACTTCATAACATCTACAAATAATACTCTGTGCCAGTACATGTAAATTGGAACTACCGGTGTGCCCTTTTTTAATCCCCATACCCATACCTTGGGGGTGCAGAACTGTCCATTTTTTTGGGGGGGGGGGAGAAGTGTGCGGCTAACTGTCCATGTACAGTATGGGCATTTACCAGGTACTTGCCTCAAGACAGGAGGCAGCTTCAGTAGCACTTACAATGTACATGTACATGCACAAACATTTTGTACATGTCCATTTTCATGCACATGTTTACGTACATCTTGCATGTACTGCTACCGGTATCTGCATCTTACATCACATGCATGCACACTTGTACATGTACATGTATGTAACATGTTAAATGTACATGTACATGTACATTGTATAGTACAATGTCCATGTACATGTACATCTGCACAGTCCTCGTCACCCCACTTGGTGAATAAATCTGTTCATGGCATGAACCCAATTTTTCATTTTTTTAATATGATCACTCCACCGGTAGTTTGACCGACTGCTGTGATTTTTTATTGACACAAGGCTTCTGCCGATCCGCAAGCAGTGCGTGTACACATAATGCACAATATGTTAACCCCAGACTGACAGTGGGTGGTTTTTCTTATATTTCGTGTATGGGGCCAACCCAAAAGTGTCTTTCATTCTGAACTTGCCTTGAGTGGTATGTTGACACACTTCAAAAATGTACATGGTCCACAGTCCGTCCTTTTCTTGCCACCGGTTTACCGAGGATGACACAAATCAAGCATGACTTTTTACCTGATTACCGGGGAATGCTAAGTAAATAAAGAGTGGCTACTGGTCAGGGGACCAGCTAAACATATTTAGGTTGCGGACTCGTCAATAAATTGTCATAGTAGACACTTTATATGATATTTATACACAGCTTTAAAAAATAAGGGGAAAATATCCACAAACTTGTCCAAGTTGCTCGAGATGCACAAATAAAGCTTGATTTACATGTACAGTGCGTCCTTTTGCAACCAATTGTTCATTTTTAAAGTGGAATATATACATGTTATACCAGTTCATGTACCATGTAGTTTTACTGAACAAGTTTGTAAGTTGTATACAGTACATTATGTACAAAACGAAACCAATTTTTAAATTTTTTTATGTGACATCGTAATAAAGGCAGGCAATGAGTACACCACCATCTTTTCCTCAAAAAACATTGGTTAAAGTGGTCAGAAATTGCCTCAGTTCGCACCACAGAGCATCTAGAATCCAAATTTTTTTCGGGGTCCTTAAGCGGGCCCCGAACCCCACGCCGTAATTTTTTTGACCCACTTTTTGGGGGGACCAAAATTTTTTTGGGCCCCCCCCAAAAAAAATTGTGTTCTGGATCCGCCCTTGTGTATGTATGTTTGCCAATGTACTGAATTTTTAATCCTCCTATTCTGTTTCAAAAAATTTTCTAACAATTTCTCTTTTTTGCATATATGTGGAACATTTACGTGTAACATACACATACTGTAGCGGTATGTGCCTCTGCAACCTTTGTAGCAGTGATCTAGATGTACCGGTATACTACCGGGCACTAGTTTCCAAGCACTTCTTTTTCAATTTTCTTCCTTTTTCTTCTCCACAGGAACTTAAGCGGGAACCGCATCTCCTACATCGAGCCGAAAAGCTTTGATGGCTTGGACCAACTTGAGAAGCTGTAAGTTTTGACGGTCTTGTTATTGTCCAATCCCTTGTTAGTGTTTGTGACATGATTGGCTTTGCGATGAGCTAGAGAGGATGCTCTTTGACCGAGAGAGAGAGATACATGTAGGCCGCATCTGAATTACTTGGATACGGCTGGAAATAAGGTCTATAGGAAGTGGCTGCAGCTGCTTCCATAGGTGTGTGTGTAAATTTTAAGCTGTAGCCAAGTGATTTGGACACGGCCAGCCTGAGAGAGGGGGAGAGAGAGAGAAGTGAGTGTGATTGCATAAGTTTCACTTTTTCGCATGCACGTTTGTTTTCCCTAGCCACATTACAGGGGTTCCGACTTCACAGAGTCATGGGAAAAATCTGGAATTTATTAATTAAGCAATCATGGAAAATCATGAACAATACATGGAATTTTGCTTTTTTTCCCTCTTTTTTTCCCTCTTTTTTTTCCCTTTTTTTTTTTAAAGGAGACATGGAAAGTGAATAATCGGGGGGGGGGGGGGGAGGCCATGGAACAGACATGGATCATTTCAAACACTGTTTTGGCATCACACTTGGATGAACCTATGAACAATACACTGGCCAGTCATCTCACTGAAAATATATGTTTAGATGCCATGTGCATTACCATCAACAAGATGGCCTCCACCTCCCCTCACAGCCATCTGATCCTCCCATTTTCCATGTTAAAGTTACATACATGTACCAGTAAGGCATCCTGTCAGTGCCACCCTCTTATTCCTAGCATACATGGTACTACAAAGCTCTGAACACCACTTCAACTGTACTACATGTAGACTTTTCTACGTGGTTTTTGTCCTTGGAGTATCATGCAACTTTCCATGACTCCTTGTAAAATAACACAATTCCATGACTTGTCCATATGTAGCTTTAAATTCCAGGATTTTTCCAAGACGGTTGGAACCCTGTTGGAGTTACATGTACATCATGGTCTCACCATGTTCCTTCCTCCATCATGTCCATGGTCTCACCGACATGCTTAATTGATGTACATTTGTACACATGTACAATGCATATATCAGTGTGTGTTTGGATGCTCTTGCACAGGAAATTGCAATCATTCAATGGGCCTCCAGCGGTGTGCGGCATGTCTATAATTAATTTGATTATTGCCAATTCAGCTCATTGTTTAGCGGCTGTCGTTTATTTTTGGAATCCAATATCACTGCAATGAGCGTGGATGTCTTAAGAATAGAATTAAAGAAACACAGGACGTCATTCATTGGTCGGTCACATTCCAGTGCGTTGGGTATCTGCGGAGGAATGCGTTGCATACGTATACATATCGTGTACCGGTACATGTATGTATGAGGATTTGTGTGTAGGGTTCATGGCCGACTGTTTATACGGTATCTCTAAGGAACAGGATTTTGTGGTGTGTGTAAGGGGACTGTCTTCTGTTTCAGAAAAATTCTCAAAATAATTTATAAGCCCGAGTATTATTAACCATTCATGAACAAAATTAAATTTCTTCAAGATTGAGCACCTCATTGATGGTCTTTTGTTCCAAACTCAATGAACATTTTATGATTTTAAAAAACAAATTCAAGTGCCACGTGATAATGTATTCATTTTGTACACACATTTCTCCAAAAAAAATTTCATTGCTAATGACAAAGTAACTTACAGTAGGAACAAAAGACATTGATGTTGACGTTTAGTAATGGAATATTTACTTAATTTGTTTTGAATTGTTTGCAGCCAGCGGGACAAGAATTCAGGGGTATCCTCTGTGCGTTATGGGTGCAGGAAAAAAAAATAAAACAGTATTTTCAGAGGGTTGAAAATTTAAAACTGATAAAAGTACAGGAGCTATTTCTGTTGAAAGAAAACTACTTTATTAAAAATTTGTTGGAAAAAACAAACCAAATATGTTGAATAACATACCGGTACATTAATTAAACACACACGTACATACCGGTACGTGTAAATTTTGTTCAAATTTCTACATGGAATTATTATTCAAATTTGTAGTAATTCCTTAATTAATGAATACATACAGTTACATATATGTGTACACATATGCAGCATCTTTACTTTGCATGTATACCAGTATACATGTAATTGCATGTTTTTGTTACAAATACATGTAGTTTCTTAGACACCAAAAATGTACATGTACGTCACAGTACAGAGGCTTTAGACACATGTCCGACTTTCTTTGTGTGCATGTGTGCACCGGGATGTTTTTGCTGTGGGAGCCAGTCTGTCGGATGTGTTTATCCAGAAGTGTTGTATAAACCACTCCATCTTTCAGTCAGAGGCAGCCTGGCCCAGGGAGAGATCAGGAGGGTCTGATCTGAATAACTCAAACCGACTGCCTGGATGTTATTGTGCCAACTCCACAGGGGGAAATTGCCTATTGATTGCTGCCTGCCCTACCGGTAGCTGTGTGGGTTTTTCTATTTTGTGGCTTCGGTTGGCACAAATTTATGAAATATTTATAAAAATTTGAATTTTATAATACATTTGTTAGTATGTATAGTGTACATGAAATATGCATCCTGGAGTTTATGAGGATGTATTTAGTGGTCTTAAAACTTTTAAAAGCAGTACAAAATTTGGCCTTAGTTTTTAATTTTAGGGTTTTTGTTGTAATCAGGCATACCAAAGTATGGCGTTCCCCAACACTTGCCCGGTACCAGAAAAATTGGGAATTTCCTCAACTACCGGTACAGAATGTGCTACATACCGGTATATACATGGAAAATGAAGGCGCCACCCTACCTCCCCCCCCCCCCCCCAAAAAAAATGACATTATCTTCATGAATATTACTTTTGCTGCTCTATTTGCTTATTTTAAACACTCTTCCAAAATGACTTCTGGTAGGAGATGTCTTGCAAAATCCAGGATTTCTTTTTCTCAGTTTGTGTGCATTTTTATCTTTTTGACTTCCAGGGACCTGTCCAGAAATCGACTTGGGAGCGTCAACAACAGCATGTTTGTGGGCCTGGGTAGTCTAGAAGACTTGTGAGTGCTACATCGTGTACATCTTCTAAAAAATTAAGGAATTGATGCAATGCATAGTTTGTAAAATTTTGATCAAGTTTCAAGAGAACCCCTACTACACATGTATCTGACTTCTGAAGTCAAGAGTGAATCCTAGAGAATCCAACAGTTGCTTGCAGGGAATGAGTACCTGCAGAACACACGCCTGTGTTAGAGTGATGATCCAGGGACCGATTTCACAAAAGGCTAAGATGCGTCTTAGGAAGGGTAACTCATGTTATCTCGTGACTCGTCCTAGGTCTTATTTCACCAAACTGAAGATGCATTCAGTACATCCTAATTCCCCAGCAACGCGTCTGAATTCGTCTTAACTTAAGATCGAAAATGCATGCATTAATTTGTATATTGTCTGGAAATCAGTGCCGTTTAAGACAAGTGTCGGCATAGAGTTATAGCTTTGAGGTGGAAAACCGCTGTAGAAACAGATTTGAAAAGATTTCTGATACGTGGGTAGTTTTAATAAAAATAGCTTATTTACAAAATTTAATTATACGCCAACACCTAGTCGACTTTTTAAAAATAGCGTAATGAAACAGGGAGTAAGAATGACTCTATCGTATGTTGTGTGGAACTACCTTGTGTGTGAAAGTTATTGAGTAGAGTAATTTTTCTGGCAAACGTTCGTGTTCTTTGCGTGTGGGAAGTTAGTTTTGAACAGGTTTTTTTCAACGACTGTTTCGTCAACAAAACAGCCATCAAACATGAAACAGCCATCATATTGGTAGTTTTGATGCATCTTGCTTAAGATGGGTTAAGTGAAATCAGTCGTAGGATCGATCTTAAAGCGAGGACTTGTCATAAGTCATAAGATGAGTCGCAAGATAAGAATAGTTTCGTAAAATCAGCCCCTGAGGCATTAGTTAAACCAAATTATTCTGAAGATTCCAAATCGGTACATGAAATTTGATGTTAAGATTGATTGCATAAAAGGATTGCAGTATTGCAGTCATTCAGAACTACTCCATTGAAAGGTCAAAATAACAGTACTGTTCTGAGATGCATCTTGTTTTCTATTTGCAGGAATATCTCATTCAACCAGATTTCCACCATTGCAGCTGCAACTTTCGACAGGGTTCAAGAAATAGTTTACCTGTAAGTTTATTTGAATGCTGTGCTGCAATTACCCGCACATCCCCCCTTTTGTATTGCTAATGGATTGTTACTAGTTTAAATTCGAAATTCCCACATGTGACATTTTTTTTATTTGGAGGGGGAGGGGATTAAGGTATTGTATTACAAGACATTGGTCACATATCAACATTAAACTTTTTATTTAGCTTTGCATGTATACTTATGAAGCCAAAAAAAGAAAAGAAAAAAAAAATGTATTGAGAAAGTCACTTATCTTCTTGGTTACATTGTACATTTAGAATGTTTCCTTCCTCCTTTTTTCCTATGGCAGCGACTTTGCCTCGGACTATCTGGTCTGCGATTGCCAACTCAAGTGGATCGTGCGATGGATGAAGGACAACAAAGTGCGCGTAGCCGACACAACGACGTGCGCCTTCCCCCAGTCCATGCGGGGGGAAAAAGTCAGGCAACTCAAGAGAAAGGAATTGCACTGTGGTGAGTCTCTGGCAGTGGCGTAAAATCTTTGTCACCGACTGGGTTTAATGTGAAATGTTGATGTTACAGCAAAAATGACCGGGTCTGCATGATCCTTCAAAATCCCTTTTTTATTTTGAAGCATCCGATCCATATTATTTCACCTTTTTCCCCCCATTTACCCGGTATATGTACTCCCAATTTATAAACTTTCCAATTTATAAACTTTAGCTACATGTACCTTATCATTGCAAAAGCACTAGACTTTATTTTATTATGTTCTGACTCACAAAAAAGACATTCATTCTCGGACGGAATTCCACAAACAGTAAGTCAATCACAAGTCACGACAAGCTATTTAAATGAACTGTGGTGACAAAGGCATTCCTTTGTTGTTGTTCATCTGCTGTTAAAAGTGACCAGACTTGTTATAAACCGACTTGTGATTGACGTGCGACCAGACTTGTGATGGACTGGACTACAACACTCCTGATTGGTTTGTTTGCAGACTGGCCGTTAGAACTCCCCATGTTCGAACTGGAGCCAGAAAACAGCCAGGTCGTCTTCAAGGGCGACACCATCCCCATCGAGTGCCAGGCCACGTATCTAGAGGGCGCCAACGAGCGCATCCAGTGGTTCAAGAACGGCCGACCGATCCAGACCAACCTGACGGAGGGCATCAACATCACCACGGCCGTGCTGCGGGACCAGGCGCGCATCCGCAGCACGCTGCTGCTCTACAAGATCCAGATGGACAGCACCAGTGTGTGGGACATCGAGTGCCGGGTTACCACCTCGCGGGGCAACAAGAACAAGCACGTCACCGTCATCATCCTGGACAACAACGACACCAAGTACTGCCCGGCGACGGTCACGCAAGACAACCGAGGTAAAGTGATTCCTTTCCCGACTGCCTGAACACAAGCCTGCAGTCGGCACACCAGATGTCAGATTATTAAACAAAATATCTTTGTTTCATGCCAGAATGCGATTGCCAAGTGCCGGTATTAATGACCGGCCAGAAGTCTTTAACCCATTAGCACCTTTGCAACATTGTATTACATTGTATTCAATTCCTGATGAATCCATAAAAGCATAGAGTGCTTTGCAGTTTCAGGCGGTTCAGGGAGTAACAGGCCAGTTATCTCTGTTCTAAATTAATTTACGATAACCTTGTCGCATTCAGTTAGCCGACAACAAGTGTGAATAACATGCCAGAAGTCTTAAAACAAGAGCCGTCCTTTGAAACCAAAACTATTTGTTAAAATAAAAAGTTAGTGTCTTTGTTTCATTGCAATTCCTCTGTCCGTTTCAATTAGCTGACAAGTGTGAATAAGATGCCAGCAGTCATAAAAAAAAATTAACGGTTGAAAACTATCTGGGATATAAAGTGTTTTTTTTGTACTCCCGTTACTGTCCGGCAGACTGAAAGATAATCTAGTAAAAAATATTCCCACTTCTCGGCATCTGATGACAAAATAACTAGACTGAAACCCCTGTGGTATGCCCGTTAATTAACTCTAGCTGTGCCTCATCTAGTGCTGGCGCTCAGATATCTGCATCCAGTTCCTAATGGGGCATCGCAGGTGAGAAGAAAAGTACGCCAACCTGCGTGCATTGCCTCAGGGGCTTTAAGGTTAGCTGCTGTATTCAAAGACCTGATGCAGTAATGATGACATGGGAATACTTGCCGTCCTGCCCGTTCTCGTAGATTCATCTTGGAAGAGTTTAACCGAAGCCTGGCTGAACTTTGTCATGACACATGCTTTACGTGTAACTCTAGTGCATGATCATTTGAACGGGTTTTGGGAATATACATGTATGCTGTTTCTTGTTGACATGTAAACCGACTCACATCTCGGCCTGATGCGCCATCTGTTTATGAAATCAGAGTGCTCCAATGCTTGTTTAGATCTGTATCGCAGGCCAGGCATCAAAAAGCCTTTTACTGCAGTCTGCTCTGCAGGTCACCATTACCTTGAATATGAATTATTACCCAATATATTTGAAGTTCAACCGCATAACTAGGCAACTCTCCCAGGGTTCATATGTTTGGCAAATTCATTTTCCCCCTCCCGTGACACACAGTTTAGGCATTGCTGAGTTCAGATGTTAATAGCTGGAACTGCAAAGGCCATTGGAATTCCATTTTGATTGCAGTATAAGGGACGGTATGCATACATGCATGTACATAATACATTTTTTTGTAAACACGTGCATTTTTTCTCCAATTCTCCCCGGATTTTATTGAAATTTCAATAATGTTTCATGTGCTCGAGTGTCGTAATAGCAGCCGTGCTAAAGCCAGGGTAATATTGGAGCGCCAGGAGTGTCACTTTGTGACAGACATGAGCGCTACACAAGAAGCCAATATTATCATTATTATGGTTATGCTTTAATCATGCATTAAAATTTTATTTTAATGGATTTGATCTACATGTATATTAAATGACTTTTTCCCTGGCTTTGCTGCCATTGACAGCATAAAAGTTAACACGTCTCGTCAGTCCCAAACATCTGGAGTTTAGTACACAGCAGTTTAGTTGCAAGCAATGGTTTATATCTGTTTATTATGTTACAGCTTGAAAAGGATATTTTTTTTGCGGGTGGGGTAACGAGACATATACCCCGGTACATGTACATGTAGTTGATTTTTCCCTCCGAAATTTTTATAAATTAATAAAGCAAAACAGTATGTCAAAATCTTTATTACCGATGCAATTGGCATTGTTTGCTTCAATATATCCATTCAAAGCATTTCCCCCCGACTTTGATTATCTGCGAGATTTTATTGACCTTTTCAATATGGAGACTATAAAGAAACAGGCATTTTGGTATACGGGCCCTTTGTCCATGCACACGTGTAACATCTGACTTGCACCGTATGACTTAATAAATTCTGGGTGCACTTCTGGAGAGAATGCGAAATTAAACAGGCAGTAATTTGGGGTTTACCTGGATGCTTTTCCAGGGTTTTACGGAGTACGTACCACAGGTTAAACCTTGAGTTACCCTTTTACTCGTAGATTGGCTAGAGATATAAAGCAAACTTCCCTCTCAACAAATAAAACATCATTTGAAGTCATTTGTAATGATACTTGAATGGCAAATCACAAGCTTCAGGGACAGCAGAAATGTCACACTTTGGACCTTAAGTTTACCGAATGACCCATTACGGCTGTGCCTTCTGACTGTAGCACGTTGTTATAAATCTAAGCTAAAACACCCAATTGAAAAGCCATTAATGATATTGAGCATACTGTGCATGCGATGTGCACCATAGAAGTGGCCTGGATATGAAGCAAAATGATAGAACAATATCGTAGGAAGTTTGTAATTTTTTTCAACTTCATTGAAGCTTTAGATCGAAAAGGCTAAATGAATCAGGTTAACAGTGTGAAGGAGCAGTACGTTGTTAACATGATGTTTAACACCAGTTTGGGGTCCTAGTTGCCATAACAACCCATTCCTTTGGCAGCTACCGGTAGGCCCCTAACAAGTTATTAAACCCCATGTTTACTAATCAATCACACTTGTATCCCCTTTTTATAAACGCATCATCATTTGGCTCGATCTCCAGGAACTTTCAACTGGCCGCGGACCATCTCCGGCATCGGCGAGACCATCGCCTGCCCCCACGGTGCGGGGACCAGTCACATGGGCTCCCCCACCCCAGCCGTGGCGACCAGGAAGTGCAACCTGAACGGAGTCTGGGCGTACCAGGATACCAGCCGGTGCGAATATGCTAATGAGCTGACGCGACGCCTTGAGTCGGCCTCCCTGGTAAGCGTGAGAGTCTGGGAGGGAAATTTCAAAGAGCTAACTTAGCCCAGAAATTGTGCTCAGTGAAAACAGGTCACCCGCTGAAATCTTGTGAGGGAGGGGCTTGTGACTCGTTTGCAGCCGATCTTTGCTTAAAACATATTAACCCTCCTATGCAAACATACATTCTGTGCCAAGTTGTCCTTTCAGTCAAAATCAATCAAGTGACTGTTTTCAACAGTTAAAAGCTCCTAGCCTACATAAAGCAGGATTGACTGGCTGTGACTGTTTATGTAACTTGACGCAGCTTTGCTTTGAGTGTAGGTGACTGATACATTTAAGACAGCTGTGTAGTTTCCTGCTTTTGTCTGTTGACTGAATTTGACTATTCATAGTGCTTGCTTGAAATATGATCTGATTGTTGGTAACTAGCCTACCGAGGGCATGGCAGGGGAAGGGGCGGGGATTTGTGACTGTCTGTTACCGTTTAAACAGTAGAACGGTTAGACCTTATGCCTTGCAAGTATCTCAGAGGGTGTATTTTTGTGTTATTTTAACTATGTTACATGAACGTACAAAAGATATACTCATGCCTATCCGGGCAATACAAACTATTGCAGGTCTTTAACCTGGGGCATAATTCATGGAACTGCTGAATTTAGAACTTTGTTAAGCTTTGAAAACATTTGCTTTGCCAAAATAAGAAATACACTATCAAGGTGTGACGTCCAGCAAAAGAAATGACAACTGTCTTGATCGTAGCTGCCCAAAATTCGGGTATTCACGCTACACTGGTACTTGTGCACAGAGTTAGTGGATGGTTGTAATTTGGAAGACTGATTGTGTTACCGTACTTCTCTGGTTTGCATTGCGTACGTGTTTAGATGAGTTACGGCAACTCAACCATGGCCCTACCCATTGGCAGAGAGATAGAGAGCAGCACATCAGACCCGTCAGCAATCAGAGATAAGATGGACATTGTCTTCATTGCTCAAACGTTGGAGAAGTTCAGCACGCTGAGAAACAAAGAGGTGAGTAGATAATGATAAAATTGGGGTGCTCATGTAGCGCTTTACAGTTTTTATCCCTGTTCATCAGGCCAAGAGATCGGTTTTTCTGCAGTAGCTTGAGATCAGCTCAATCTGGTCTCTGCCTCACAGGTAGAGGCTATTGTAGTAAAACGTCTTGCCCAGGAACACCGTGACCATCACTTCACGGCCCTCCACAGGTACCCAAGGTATCAGGCAGGCCTGTTTGAGAGGGGGACTATTTGCACTAGAATTAAGTTTTGACACCTTTTATCTTCAGAAAGTCGAACAATTTTGGCAAATTTTCTGGCTATTCCTGAAATTACGCAAGCCTGAAATAGTTTGAAAATTGTGCTTTAAACTATATATAGTTTGTTTGCTTTAAACAGTTATAGTTTTGGGCTTAGTTATTGTAATGGCATCTGCCTAATTGCAGTATTACGAAAAAGTTATTTTTTTTAAATTAAATAATTATACCTGGTGGCAAAGAAATTGTACTTGATTTGTACATTATGGGTATGCACTGGTATGTCAATCATCAACATTTCTATAAGTTGACTCGTTAAAGTCAAATGTCTGTGGTCCGCTCATTAAAACTGACAGCAATTACATTGAGACATTTCAAGGCTGTGGACGGAAATGTGGCGCACAACTTAGCAGTGCATAACGTAGTTCATTGCCAAAATCAAAAGCCATCTCATTTCATTGCAAGTACGGGTAGTAAATCACCTGGAATATGACCTTAGCAGAGCCAAACTGCTAGAACCTTACCCATATGAGATGACACAGACAGCAGTTTAAGACTTACATGCGCTGTGGGAAGAGCATATGCATGCTCTTCAACAAATTCAATTTTTTCCCTCCCAACAAATTTATAAATGGTAGGTTTTATTTTATTAAGGAAAAAAAAGTAAGCTGGTTCCCGGTGCCTACATTAGCTGTCCTGATACAGGAGGGAGGCAGGAACCAGTCTACCCCATGAAAACTGCATTATACATGTATACAATGTACATGTACAGTACTTGCATATAGAACGTTGTAAAGTAATTATTCCAGAACTCAACTTGGGCCGATTTTGTCAGTGGCTTACTCAAAAGTGAATGAATTATGTATTGCCAGCAAAGTAGCAATTTATCAATTAGTAGGCGGGTCCATACTATGGGTATTTTGTACATGTACCTCCAGGGAGTAATAGGCAGGGTGTTTTTGAGCACTACAGTACATGTAAATAAAGGGTAAAACCGATTTTTTTTGTTTTTGGAAATAAGCTAAAAAATAAAAACATGGTCAGTACATCTTTAATAAATTCATCTGCATGTACAACACTTGTTGTAGAGCAGACCCCAGCTGGCAATGTATTCGCCAAAAGTCTTTCTCACAAATTTACTACCAAAAATATTTCAAGGTCTACGTAAAGTTCACTGCTGCTTTACACACTTGTACACATGTGCCCGGGATTTCACTGTTTCTTCAAAGCACAACTGGGCAAAAACTCCCACGGGAACTGACCTCCATGCAGTTAATTTTGTAAATCACTCTCAGCAATCCTTTGGCACTTGGCTGCCATTTGGCATTTCATCCAGCGCTCCCCCTCAACACACAGTGCCGGGGCTAAACTTGGAAACCATCTGCTTAAATGAGCCCACAGCCTGCAACATTAACCCTTCTACATTCTTCAGCTAATAATCCCTTGGGGATATAGAACTAAGCTTTTTAACCGAGTCCCCCCCCCCCCCCTCCCCACACCCCTAAGGCATCTATATTCTGTGGCCGAGTTTAACCTTTTTTCTGTGTGACCTAAAAATAACTGAGTTGTGGACCCTTTTCTGCCTGTTTTAAGGGGTGGGGGATTTGTGTCCCATGAGGTGACCCCAGGGTTGCGGCTCACCCTTTTGTCAGGGATTATGCCTAGAGCTATGGCAATTTGATAACACTGGGAGTATTTGTATTGTGTAGGGTGAATTCTCATATTGGATGCCCGTGACCCTGTACTCTGGGACTGTTGTTATTAGACTAAGTGGTTCCGTACCATTTCCTCTCGTAATTATTCATTTGAAATATTTGGTATTTCTTTTCAATTTCAATTCTGTACTGGAATTTTCAAAAAGTAATAAAAAAGGTGAAATTCTATAATTGAAATGTTTTCACAATACGTGGAAAAAAGATTGACTGTAAAAATACTATGGTGGAGCTCGGTGTGCAAAAACAATTTTTTTTTTTGGGGGGGGGCCTATTTTTTTTTCGTGATCATGGCATACCGGTACTACGGTACATGTATGTGTTCCACAGAAATGTTTGTGTTGCATTGTGAACTGATTTTGCATTCGCAAGTCCTACGCATAGTTGATTCCTCTGTTTATCGCAAGTACCGTAACATCTTGTGTTAGAGGGAAGACAAATTAAATATCGGTCCTTTAGACATTGTGGGGCACACAAGATGTACCGGTACATTGCTCATTAATATCCAAGTGTGTTGTCGTGCATCATGCATGCTTGTGCTTTGGTTTAATTGAAACCGACAATCCTCTTATTTCCACGTCAGTGTTCATTGTCTCTGGAAAATAAGTGTACATTGTAAATGTACCGGTACATACACGCACATGTATGCTTGTTATAGCTACTTATTGATGAAATATTTTGTTTATTTGTCAGCGCAGCCCTTTATAAAGTTATTCATTGTTAAGATTTGTTCGTTATTAATAAAGAAATTGACTGCAGCGGAGTTTGAACCTGCGACCTCTGGATTTACCGTTCCAGCACTCTACCAACTGAGCTATCCAGCCCTGTGTTGGCGGTTCCCACTTTTGTCAAATGATGTCTTTGTTGAAAGGGCACTAGTCAGAAGCCATAAACCTTTATAATTTATTTCAAAAAATGATTTTCAGAGGAGGAAATTTGTGGCTGGACATTACATGTACCTTGTACATATGTACATATTATCTTAAATACATGTTCATGTACAAGTAGATATTTGCCTACGGTTTTGTACTGTAAACTTGTGCATTTACCTGAAATGTACATTTTGTACAGTGAACATGTACAAACATTGTACATGTGTACATATATATGGCAGTTCAATATTTTCTAAGATATAATGTGAATAATTGCAACTACATGTAATACAGTATTACATTTACAACTTTGCACATATTGATCAGCATTTACCATACAGACAAGCATGATACTTTTTAAGTTCATTGGCAGCACCACTCAGCCAATTTATTTGCATGTACTGTAAATGTCCGTGTACCATACCCGGTACTTGCATGGGTATTTGCCCATTCAACATCCCCCCCCCCCTCTAAAATTGATTACATGCGGCCCACGCAGCCTTGATAGCCATAGCAGTGTGATTAAGGGGGTTGTAACTTGTCCCGCCCTTCTGGGAGCATTGCCAGTTCCCTGACACTGTGACAGTCCTATGAGAGAGGATCATATGAGGACACTGACCGCAAATGCACTAGTGCTTTTTCTTTTGCTTTTGCCTTGAGGTGTTGGTTCAAGGCCTCTGTACAATTAGAGAGTAAAGAAATGCAGGGATGGTCTTAACAGTTTGCTGTGCCTAATCAAAATATCTGAATATAGGGAGATTTATTGGCCGGTCATCATGATCAAGGCATTTAACACAGAGATACATGTGTATATTGGATTATAATGCGAGACCAAAGTATGTATAATAATTGGAATATTTTAGAATTGAAATATGTTTTTACTTTGATTGAATTGTAAACCCTCATTGAATTTAGTCAAGGAAGGTTGATACTTAGGCTGGTATACCTGTATGTGCATTTATGTGTGTATTTCAGAACTTTAACTTTTTTCTTAAGACAATTTCAGCCTTAAAATTTTGTGTCGTTTGCTTTAAAAAAAAAATGCCTACATTCAATCTTGAAGAATATTTTGTAGATTTGTCAGTGTCTTTGTTTTTTTGGTTGTTTTATAGTGTGATTAAATGCTAACCATCAGTTAAAAAACACAGTCCCCCCCCCCCCCCCCCCGAAACAAAATCCAATTTACATGTATCACTCATTTTCCTTTTTTGGGGAGGAGCACAACTATTGGTATGCTTTACGCATTAAAGTGTTAATCATGTCATGCATGTTGAATTTATGCATTCGAGACTGAGCCCCTTATTTTAATTAGGGAGACATTATTTCTATTTCTAGGCAAAATGTTATTATCGCAAATAAACTAAATCAATTCCTTGTGATGCAAAGCCTAAATTTGCAAAGTTTGATGATGGTATGGGTTCGGTTAGGTTAGGTTAGGGCAAGGGTCATTTAAAGGGAATATACAACATTTACAAACATCAAAAAACAAAACTAACAATTTATTATGAAATACCTTACTGGACTGTTTTAGTGAAGGACAGTCTAAAGCATCCTGTAAAATAATGGCACCTGGTGTGCTGTCATTTTCAAGAAAAGTGGTATTTTTGTATCAATTTCCAACACTGGTCGGCCGACCAGCGTTGGAAAAAAACTTGCTTTTTCAAATACTGCCCCCAATTTACCATATTTGGTTAGTCTGCATTTTGTTTGCAATTGATTACACACCTACAATGTTTGAACGAGTACAAGCCAGCTAGACTGGTTCCCTGACGTCTATAAATTGTTCTGTTTCTTCTTAAATGAGGTCAGGGAACCAGACTACAGGAACATGATTGTTTTTCTTGGTTTTTCCAGCATCTACGAGGAAAAAAACTTCAAGTTAGCGTAACAATGTTTGCTATAAAATACTTATCCCCCAAATCCATCCATTTCAGAAAATTACAGCAAAAGCAAATGTTGTATATTCCCTTTAATTAAAGTATAGATTTTTTTGTGCACAACTCTATGGGGATGTCTCTTTAAGGTACAGCTTTTTTTTAAGGACAACTGAGGGTGCTGTTGCTGTGATGTCATTTCAGGAAAACACTGTTCAGTTTAGGGATTTTCTGTTCAAATTGTCAACTCCAAAATTTGCTCATTGAAAACATCTGTGAGAAAAGTTTGCTTATCACCGCCATGCACTGAACAACGAATCACCAAGGAACAGAAAATATCAAAAATTCTGGCAACTTTTTGATGCTGAAATAACCGTCACATTGAGATTTCAGCCTGAAATGACATCACACTTTTGCTCATGAATATGGAAATTTGCATTAGCATAAAAAAGAAAAAGGCACCAAAATACGGTCCCCTTGAAAATGACAAATGAAAATTTAAAATATGAAATTGGGATACAAAGGTGCATTTTCAACGACATGGCATAACAAAAAATTACATTGCATGGACCCTATTGCATTTAAACACATGATGTTCTGTGCACAAAACACTAGGTATGGGGGAATGTCCCATTGCTCAATCCACACAGGCAAATTCCTCACTTGTTTAGATGACCCGTCAAAATTCACATTTATCACTCACTCCTCGCTGCTCGATTTGCGGGGACCCTCTTGAACTTGCAAGCTCTAGAATTCCTCCCATTTTTCATTCTTAATCATAAACCTTTATCTTTCCCCATGACTTGGCCATTCGTGCCATTTGATTTATTCGTCGCATCTAACAGCAAAACCCATTTTGACCATATATTTTGTGCATTTGGGTGCCAAATATTTATTCGTTGTTTTTATGATTCTAGATAAGATTGCTAGTACTTGAGAACTTCACCGTTATTCAATTACAGTAGGTCTTTAAAATTGTGTAATGGAGGTTTTACGATATCTTTCTTGAAACCAGCCAAGATGAAAAATGACCAATTGAGAAATTGGTGAATTTGAGCATTTGAGAATTTGGCTTCATTTGTTGTTTTTCATCTTCCAATTGCAAAAGTAACATTTACAAAAATGCATTTTCTTATTAAAAATGGGTTCCTTTTTTTCCCAAACAAAAAACATTTCAATTGTAAATTGTTCTCCTTTTAAATTTTTTTTTCCTCAATAATTTGCTTATTTGCTTTTTATAATGTAACAAGCTTGCATAAAAATACCCAGTGGTACATGTACCATGAAACATGTTTATTTTTGTTTACTTTCTCTTTCATTTAACACTTTAGAGCCCAAAAAATTCCAACAACAGGCATTCAAACAAAATGATATCCATGTAGGATCACATTCACTGCTTTAAATACGATTTTAACTGCTCATCCGTCAAACCACTTTCTCGTCGTGTTTGTGAAAACATTGAGCAGGGGGAAATAAAGACGGTGCAATAAGATTTAGAATGATTAACATTTTTTCCTTACACAGTCTGCAGCATTCGGGCTGACCTTTGTCTATTATGTTCTTTTTCTGTTTGTTTGTCTATGCAGTTGGGCCGGGTAATGATTGACATAGCCAGCAACCTGATGGAAGTCAGCCCAGACGTTCTGAAGGAGAGCCAGTCCTACACGGACGAACAGTCTTGTAGCAAGTGAGTTGGGGGTGGGGTGGGATTTAATGTCCAGGGTTCCAACTTTCCCCAGTCATGGAAAAATCCTTGAAAAAACTCCAAAGCTACCATGGAAAGCCATGAAATTTTGAGTCATGGAAAGTTGATAGTCCAAGAAAAATAGTCACGGAAAAGTCATGGAATCCTGGACATCCCATATGCTATGGCTGTATTCCAGTTTACTATACTTCCTCTTTATCCATGCATATGCTCTTTACATGTTGTATCTTCAGTGCACCAATGTGTTGCGTTTGTGGTGCTACATGAAGGCGGACTTGTGTCAAACTGAAAGGCTGAAGGGGCACGGCGTCCCTTGCTTCTGTGTTATGACTGTATACAGGCTTCTAAGATGCTAAAACTGCGCAGGAATTGGTCATGGAAAGCCCCAAGTTTCTCCTGGAAAAGTTCTGTGAGAGTGAAGGGGGGGGGGGGGGATTATGAACTCTGTACATCAATGGTAGATAGCACTTTATGTCCTACTCGCGAGAGGTGTAGTCTGAGGGACACTGCACATGCTCACTGATTTCTACATACACTTATGGTTTAAAACTTGTACATGTACATGTAAGACCGTTTTTCTTCTCCATGGGCACATGACAGCAGTGATGTTAAATGTCAGTATACCTCTTGTATGTGTCTGTTGTGATGGGGCACAAGTACTTGTGGTCTTGGGCACAGTGAATTTGCCAATCCCAAGATGAGGGTTGAATCCAAAATGATGTTTATATCTACATGTTTTTGTTATTTAATATCCTGGGCACCCTGATTTGCTTTAATATTTGGGTAAGTTTTGTGGTTCCGCTTCCACAAATTCTCTGCATTTTTATGCACAGCATCGGCACCAAAATACTAAACAAAGCCTATGAGCTCGGAGTGCTTAATAACGGGCTGTTACTGTTGTTAGCATTCAGATTCTTCCAATGTACACAACCCTGAATTCGGGCAGTGTTTATCACACAAGTTTTTGCAGATAATAATGTGCTTAGCAGCTTCTGATTTTGATTTTGAATTGTTTACTTTGGAAGGATCATACAGTCCCTGGAGAGGCTTGCCGAGGAGGTTCCCCGCGACCGTGGCCAGGTCTTCAATCACAAGGCGGCCAACATCGCCATGGAAGTCTTCAACTTTGACACGGACACGTTCTCCGGCATGGCCTGTGCCTCGTTTACGACACCAAATCCGACAGATCCGCAGGAGGCGGGGCTTCAAGACTTCAGGTGCTTCATGGGAAATACGAACGCCACCAGCGTGCGACTGAAACAGTCCAAAGCGGTAAGGAAATGCCTAAATAAGAATAGTAACCTGAAAAATAATAATAATAATGATAAATATTAATAATAATAACTGAAGACGGTACTGGTACCTTAGGGAGACAATCCCATAAACTTGTGCACAAATAATTTCTGACTTTAATGACTCCTAACCCCAATTTTTTCCTTATCCTACCCCAACGAATTTTGGTATATTTTACTATTTAGATCGCAAGCAAGCAATCTAGCCTACCGGTATTTGCGACGATAAAATGTACCTCTAAATAGGAGCTGAGGCTTTAGGGAGTCATTTGAATGTCTCCCTAATTCCACATGTCCCCCAGTGGTATCTGACGCTATGGTGTCCCCCAATAGTTCTATTTGCAAATATAATCTTTTTTATCGATGGTAGCCATGACACCCCAAGGATGATTTTCAGTGGGCCATCATAAAAATATGACAACTACAAGAATTAAAATACATTAACCCTAACCCACCTCACTCCTCCAAAATCCTCCTGGCGGTTTTGGAGGATTCTAGAGGATTGAGGATGAATGGTGATTGAATCAAATGAGGATTCTGGAGGATTGAGGATGAATGGTGATTGAAGCACATGAGGATTTTGGAGGATTGAGGATGAATGGTGAATGAAGCACAAGAGGATTTTGGAGGGTTGAGGATGAATGCATTTTGAGGCAGGACTGTCTGATGATTTTGAAGGATTTGGCGTTGGTTATCCTTCATTTAAACACGAGTGCAAAGTTTTGGGATGAGGAGGATTTTGGAGGATTGAGGATGAATGCATTTTGAGGCAGGACTGTCTGACAATTTTGAAAAATTTATGCGGAGTTGAAAAATTTTGGAGGAACGAGAAGCAGACGGCTAGACTAATAAACATGCTGCAACCCTAGGGCTTGGGGATATGTGAACAACATTAATGAAGCATATATGAGATCTTTTAAATAAAATACACTCTGTTTCATGAATGATGGGATCATTTGAATTTACATATTAAAAAAAAAAAATGGAGAGCAGTTTATGCAATCTAGTATTTGTGAATGATATTTGGGTCCTTCCACACTAACGGTTACAAAAGTGTGACATGTAGAGGGAACCATGGACAGGAGTTGATACATGAAGCAATCTGTCATGTTTTCCCTCTTTCTACATGCAATATCCTAGTAAGAACATTGCCCACCAACAAGTTTGGTAAATTTCTCAGGTTTCGAGAAATTACAGAGGATGAACTTCAAGATTTAACGTTCATAACATGGACAGACATTTCATTTTTTAAGTGTTGGGAAGCAGTAATGAAATTCATGTACATGAATTATCCCAAATTGTGTTCTTAATGTAAAGCTATCCGTTGACGGATTGCCACTGGCCAATTTTAGGTTAAAGCTCTAGGTAATTTTAAACTACAGGGTGTACACATCTTCAAGACTAACACATTCATAATGAAAGATGAAAGAGAAAATTACTTAATTGCTAAATTCTCTAAATTTCAATCATAGCATTGAATGTGGTAATAAATTGATTCAATTTAGTGTGCATCTTACTTAGTGACAATGTGACACTGAACTGTCCTTCTTACAGATGGTGGAAGCCTCCATTCAACTCCCCGGTTCCGTGGTTACCAAGGTGATGGAGGACTACTTCAAGCTCCAGTTTTTCGTCTACAAGAACAGCCGGCTCTTCCCGAGCGTCACCAACTCCTCTGCCACAGCGGAGGACCGGGGAAGGAGGCGGGTGACCAGCCAGGTCATATCCAGTAAGATTGGTGAGTATGGACCGTGAGGAGATTTCCATGAAGCTATTAAGCAAGGAAATTTGCTAAGCAGAGAAAATATCTGCTTAGCAAAAACGGGTCACCAGCCAAAATGCCATGCTATGCTAACTGCTTGTGACTGGTCCTCTGCTGATTTTCGCATAGCACATACATTTGCTAAGCGTTACTCTGTGCTATATAGCTCCATGAATTTTGCTCAAGTGGGGGACTGAATGTTTGTCACCAAGATTGACAAATGTTAGTGACAAAGGCTAACAGTTTTCCTGGGTCATTTGCTAGGTTGTCCAAAATGGCCGACTCACGCAATTGACATTCTATTGTAACTAACATTTTTTCATTTTCTACATCTCCAGTAAGTAAAAAAAAAAGAAAGAATTTTAAATTAGAAACAAACAGTAGAATTAGCATACAGAAAGCCGTCACGTTGACAGGATATTTTGCAATGACATTATCGCACCCCTGTTTAAATACAAAATTTGATGTTGTGTGGTCACGTGATGCTGACTTTCAGCAATACTGTCCTGCTCTGAAAATATAGGTGGCTCGAAATTCTTGACATTTACTGTTTAATGCGGGCAAAATAACATGAGAAAGATGCTGAGTTGGTTATATTTGCTTGTGGGTTGTCTGCATACTGTCACAGTTGACAAGATCTTGATGACTGCTGGGAAATGGTTGCCATAATAGTGGCCATGTGAGCTGAATGGTTTATTTTACTTTAGAGCTGTTTTTATTTTGGGAATATTTTTTTAAGGCAGATTGTCAAGTCACTAGCTATTCACATGAACTGTAACACATGCACTCATTTGTCATTGTTCATCCAGTTACTTGGGACTTGCTTCATGAAAGGACTTGTGATGGACTAAAAATACAACACTGACAGAGATTACAATTGTTTAATTATATTTCTTGGTTTTTTTGTCTCTTCATAATCACTGTTTTTCTTTATCACCATCATCTTCCAAGTATACAGATCTATTAAATTAGGGTAAAATTGCAGCTTTTTGGGCATAAATAGATATCTTTCTGTTTACGTTTTTAAGCACTAGGTTTTGTGTGGTTTGAAGGACTCTAGTACTGCAGGGCGTAAACACCACTACTTTACACGGGGTTCAAATATCCAATATTTGTACAAAAATGCCAAGAATGTACAATTGTTGCACTATGTGCAGTGTTGTACATGTATTTGGGTGAATTGGCCTAATTGACCAGGGTTTTAGCTGTTCATTTTCATTGAATTAAATTCCTTGTTTTCAAAGCCAACCCCGAAAAACGCACAAATTTGTATCAGTTGCATAATTGTTCTTGCCTTTTGTCCCCTTACAGCTGGTTCCAGCGTTCGCAATATCAGCAGCCCCATCATCCTCAACTTCAGAACGCCAGGCAAGGGTCGCGACCCAGTCCCTGGATACTGGGATTTTGACCTACGTGAGTACCGTACTCCGTGATTCACATCTGTTTCACGGCGCTGAATGAAGCTGATCCAGTTACTTTTTTTGTGTTATTTTAACTGGCACTGATCTGTCCTTGAGACTGAGACTAAATAAATTCCAATGACATTACAGCACTAGGACAATTATTTTTATAAAGGTAAAGGTAGACATTTCATTGAAAATCAATTGAGTATCCACTGTCTGTCTGATGGAATATTGTGTCATGGAATTGTACACTTTGACACTTCACAGACATAATTTTATAATGGGGGAAAAAAAGAATCAGAAAAAAAAAATTCACGACCCTGCTTTAGTGAGACCGAGTATGCACATTGAATATGATTGGCTTCAAATCTTGAGCATCCAGTCACCAGCTTTTTCAACTTTCTGTTCTTAAACAATAATGCAGCTCATGTAGAGAACTTAAAAAAAGAAAAAAAAATACCAGTTTATTCGGGTTGTTATGTTTCAAACTGACAAATTTGAAAAAAAGGCACAGCATTTGTCTCATACAGGGTTATGCACTGAGAAAAGTGTGGTCAATTAAAGATGTACTGTCATTGCTGTTTATGAGTTTCACCATGGAAAATAGATTTATTCCTTACATGTACATATGCATTGTTATTTTTTTCTAGCAATAAAACAGTTTTTCACTTTCGATTGAGACTTTGAATGAAAAAGTCGGACCATGTTTAGTCATGGAATCTTTTTATTACAAATTTCAATTATTTGCAGCCCGACAATAATGGTTCCTGCCGCCTTATCAGGATTGATATTGTCGGAACTAGGAACCAGTCTACTCGCAGGGTGGATCTGTTTGTGTTTAAAAAGCAACTCAATTTTTTGAGAGGGAAGTTCATCTTTAAGAATAGTGAAACTGGGCAAGGTAGGCATTTTATTGATCATTTCTCATCTCGTGTTTACCTGTGTAGTTTCCAAGGGAGCATGGAGGAGCCACGGATGTACCATCATGAAGCAGAGCGGCAACACGACCACAGTGCATTGCAATCATCTGACCAACTTTGCCCTACTCATGGTGAGTAACGAGAGGGCGTACAAATTCCGGATGGGGTTGTTGGTTGGGGTTAAAAAGGGAATGGGGTCAGCACATGATAACAGAGGGATGGTATTTTATGGTTACAAACACAAACAGTACCCTAGGGAGACACATTAATGTCTCCTTAATGCTGTAACTTGCATTTCTAGAAGGAAGATTATCGTCAAAAACTGCTTACAACGATTCTCTAGGGCTAGAATAGTATTGTTGGAAAGGTTTGGGCATAAAACAGCATTTAGAAATGGGGTTGTGGGATTTGTTTTGTTTTGTTTTGTTTTTGTTTGGGGCACAATTGTCTCTCTAAGGTACTTTTCTCGGTTATAAGTAGTATGGGTATTGTGTTTGGTTTTCGATTAATCTTTGTTTTTACGTTTTTTCCATTGTGAGAGTTTTCACTTGTTTCAGCGTTATCCTAAATTTTGTTGACTACTTTTATTTTTGCATTTTTAATTGTATTGCGCATCATTTCCATTAATTTAATATTTAATATTGTATTAGTTTAGGCCTTTTATAAATTTGATTTTATTTACCTTGTAAAGCACACCGGAACATTTGTTTATAGAATTTGCGCTACATAAATGCCATAATTATTATTATTGTTTATGGTTATGAAACTAAGGACAGCTCAAACGTTTCCATGGCACTGTAGCCTGCAAGCCTCAACAAACATGGAGAGAAGACAATGAAGTCAATAATTTCTTAAACCAAAAGTCTTTCATGTTGAAATATTTCTTCCCTCCATCCAGGATGTGACTTCCCCCGGTATGATTAACTCCGCTTCCGGTATTGACCTGCTGCATCCCGCCATCTACATAGGCAGTCTCATCTTTGTGGTCTTTGTCTTCATGACAATGGTCAGCTACATCTGCTTCAACAGGTAAGCCATGTCCGAATTATTTTGGCTACGGCTTAAAATGTACACACCCGCCTATGGAAGCGGCTGCAGCCACTTCTTGTAGACTATAGAAGCTTCCATCATGTCCATAGACGTTTGCATTACGACCAGCCATAGAATTTTGTATAGAAGTTGATTTTTTATTAAAGAGGTTGTGGAATGCTCGAAGACATTTCCGTCATTCTTCGGGTATATGTAGCCTAAGGTGTGATGAAATATAAACGACTATTGTTTCTGTCATAAAATGAGTACAAAAGGTACTTTTGAGAGCTGTTTTGACCCGAACGTGCAATTTGTGTAAAAGTCGTCGTTGTGGGCAGCAAACAAAACACAGTAAATCGTGACGTAATAAACAGGACTCCCGATGCAGAGAAGCATAAACGAGTCCTGTTTATTACGTCACGATTTACTGTGTTTTGTTTGCTGCCCGCAACGACGACTTTTACACAAATTGCACGCTCGGGTCGAAACAGGACCTGAAAAATAGCTCTCAAAAGTACCCTTTGTACTCATTTCATGACAGAAACAATAGTCGTTTTTATTTCATCACACCTTAGGCTACATATACCCAAACAATGACGGAAATGTTTTCGAGCATTCCACAACCTCTTTAACATAACCCCGGTCCCTGTACAGCCCCAAACTGCCCCACGTGACACTCTTTGTACACCCGCCCAATTTATGGATTTGTGGATGTTTTTCAGAAAAAATAAAGAAATGAAAGTCGTAATGGTTTAAAATATTCTTTTCAGGGAGACAAGTTGTAACTTCTTGTTCAAACTAATATGACTTCTTTTTTTTTTTATAACAATTAGGTGTTCTGCATGTGTTTTACCACATATATGTACATGTAGTTCTATGGAGTTTTTAATATACATGTAGCATGTAGTTTGAAATCAGTACTTTTGAATGTTTAAAGGGAATGTACATCATTGGCTTTTGCTGTAATTTTCAGAAATGAACTATTTGAGGGGTTAGTATAATAGATCAAATATTGTTTAACTGACATGTTTGAAGTTATGCGTTCGAAAATGCTTGATAAACCAAGAAAAACAAAACTGTTTAAGTAGTCTGGTTCCCTGACTCCACTAAAGATAAAATGGATCAATTTATAGATGTCGGAAAATTGTAACGTAAGGGAACCAATCTAGCTAGCCTGCACCCGTTCATGAACATGTAACCAATAGCAAACAAAATTTGGACTGAAAAAAAATTGTTAATTTGGAGCAGTAGTTGAAAAATAGTTAGGTTTTTCCGACGGTGGTCAGCCGACCACCGTTGGAAATGTATACAAAAATACAATTTTCTTGAAAATGACTCGACACCAGGTGCCATAATTTTACAGGATGCTTTAGACTGTCATTTACCAACATTCTAGTAAGGTATTTCGTTAAAACTTGGTAGTTTTATTGGCGAGCTGCGAAGCAGATGCGAGCCTATGTAATACCAATTTCCGTCCGTCTGTCCGGGCGGGCGGCCGTCCGTCCGTCGGGCCGTTCTGACCGGGACCACTTGTGGGGTACCTGTCCTTTGTTCTAGGTACCCCGCAAGTGAAATCTTTAGAAAAAGGGTACCCCGCAACTGAAATCTTTAGAAATAGGGACAATGGGACAACAATGGAGGTACCCCGGAAGTCCATCTGGGAGGTACGGCCGCCCGTCCGTCCGTCCGTCCGGCCGTCCGCGTTCAGATAAAAATGTTCAAGTTTTTGGTTCTAGTTAACTTGGGGAAAAAAATTAAATGCAGTTGTCAGGTATCGTCTCTAGGCCTATAACTTCAGTTAGGTTCATATCATTGCAGTAAATTTGATGATTTTATTGAGGAACTTTAATTCAAGGAAATGTTAAAGTTTTTAATTGTTACATGTACATGTATACTGGTATAACATGTACATGTGTGTATACCGGTATAACATGTACATGTACACTATGCATTTTGGGGATGTGCATGAGCTTCTGGTTTGATCTTTTAGTTTATGGGGTTGGAGTAAGGATGGGGTAGGGGAGGGTGGGGTGGGGTGGGGGATAGGGTTGGAGTTAGGGTTTGTGTGAGTAGGATGAGTAGGGAAGCTAGGATGGGTGGGGCGGGGCGGGTTGGGTTGGGGTGGGGTGGGGTGGGGTGGGGAGAGGGGTTGGAATACTGGGTTTGGGTGGGGTGGGGAGTTGTAGGGGTGGGGTGGGAACAGGTAGGGAGAGATAGGTAGGGAGAGGATGGGCATGGATGTAGGGGTTGGGTTAGGAGGGGGTTGGGCAGGGGGCGGGATATAGGATCGGAGTAGGGGTTGGGTTGGGGATGTGTAGGGATGGGTTGTTGTAGGGGTTGGATAAGGGGAGGGGGCAGTATATAGGGATCAGAGTAGGGGTTGCATGGGGTCAGGTGGGGATGTATGGGTGGGGGAATGGGGTGGGCGGGATATTGGAATTCGAGTAAGGGTTAGGGTGGGGATGTGTAGGGGTGGGTAAGGACAGATAGGGGAAGATAGGGTAGGTGGGTGTAGGGGGTTGGGGTAGGGGAGGGAACGGGTCAGGGGAGGGGGAAGGAGATAGGGATTGGAGTTTGGGTGGGGTTGGGATGTGTAGGTGATAGGGTGGGGATGATTAGGGGAGGATGGAATGGGTGTGGGTAGGGGGTTGGGTGGGAAAGGGGGAGGGGCGGGTTGGGGATGGGGTAAGGTTTTGGGATGGGGTAAGGTTTGGGGGAGGTGGTGATGGTGCTGTGTCTACATGTACATGTATGCCCATTCTTGTTCTGCATTTGTGGTGACTACACAAGAGTTTTCCCATGGTAATACAAGTATGGGGAGCAGAAGACACTGTTGGGGCTGCAAAAATCCACAACTGGGTCCTAATTACCCTAACAATGGAAAACTCCCCCATAATACAGTGACGGCTAACCTACCGTATATACACATGTATTTATTAGGTAATCTGTTGACTTTTTATGTTGACATTTAAAAACTGACCCCTACACCTAGGCACATCAACAAGAATCCTGATCCCCTTCCATCATGCCCATCCCCAACCCTACCTTCAGCCTCCCTTCCTGCCTTGGACAGCGAGCCATGGCGGCTTCGCCGTTCTAGTTTTTCGATGTTTGCAAATGTTGTATATTCCCTTTAATGTCTTTCTGAATTTTTTAATCTGGTGTATATCAGGATGCAACTTTCATGTATATTTGTAAACAATGCATGTCGAATAAATTCATCTTTTCTAATCCATCACAAAAATATTATATTTTTTGTTATTGACAGTAACATCCGACTCAAGCGCAAGTGTCGCCACTCCCTGATGAACATGTGCTTCGGCTTCCTGAACCTGGTCATGTTCTTCGCTGGCGGCATCAACCGCACCGACCCGCCGGTACTCTGCCGCATCGTGGGCATTGGGATCCACTACTTCAGCATCTGTTGCTTGCTGTGGATCGGCATCGGGGTGCGGAACCTGTACAAGGGACTGACAAGGAAGGAACGTACCTTACCCCCCGGGGAGGCACCCCCACCCCCACGGCCCATCCTCCGATTCTACTTCGTGGGATGGGGTAAGATTTTCAAAGATTATGTTGCACCAATGTTTCTTTCAGTTTCTGTTTTTTTGGCTTGAAGATGCACTGTCATGCAGTGCATCAGAATTGTAAATGTCAGATGTACATGTAACAGGGACAGGACAGGTAAAAAGAAAGCAGACTCTAGATTTATACCGTTCATCTCTTGCTATGATAACTATGAAAACAAAGCCGTTTGTTTTGTCATTTTTATCAGGGCCATTACTCATTACCTTTGTTTAGAATACACTGAGTCATCGTTTGGACTCGGGGCACAGACATCCGAAAAAGCTTTTATGCTGAGCTCCCGTGGGCAAGAATCTTTGACTAATCAAATTTGAGGAAAGGGTAGTGAATAATATTACAAAAAGAAAACCCATTACAATGGACATGTTCTCCTATTGATGTTTAATTTGGTGTCTTCCCAAGCCAAAGGCTATTACTCATTTGCATGAGTAGCTGATGTTATCTTGACCTGATTTCAATGCTGTTTTGACCCGGCAGGTATTCCGATGATCGTCGTGGGCATCACAGCGGCAGCCGCGGCAAATATCGGCAACTACGGCGGAGAACAAATGTAAGCAAATCTGAAATTAAATTATTACAAAAATAAAATGGAATACACAGGGAATTTGGCAATGATCCAGAAGGGAATGGTTTTCTCCAGTTTGGCGTACATGTTTGTGCGTTTTGTGTGCCGTGTGTCCAAGTTGTGTCCATTGACTGACTGGCAATAAAGCTGTAAGTTGAGAAGCGAGGGCATCACTTGTCAAAAAGTTGCCTGTGCACATGTAATTTTGCTTTGCTGCGAGCATCCTGTACATGCCCTTAAACAAAGCTTACTTAATGAAAATCTAAAGAAACTGTCATCGTTTTCACCCACATATTCATCAGGATGTAAAACTGTAAAATGAAGAGCTGAGTGTACTCAGTTTGGCAAGTGATTAGCCTCCCCTGTGTTTGTTTAATTCCAGCTGAACTGTGTGATTCTTTCTCTTTTTCTTGTCACAGTTGTTGGATGGACTTCAACATCAGCCTGGCCGCATGCTTTGGAGTGGCCGGCCTCTTTGTTCTAGTCACCTGCATCATGTTCGTGGTCATCGCGGTGCGAGTAGGCTGCAAACCCTCTGAGGAGTCCAAGGCAAGCCGACCGAGCACGGAGCCGGACCCGCAGATTAACGTGGACAGCGAGTCAGTGGTGACACACAGGACGGGGTTGTCTAATGTGTCCAGTATTCTTGATGGGGAGTATACCAACCTTAGGCAACTCCAGGCTTCCGTAGTTCTCCTGTTTGGTTTCATGGCTACCTGGACACTTGCTGCTATGGCCATCACGCAGAAGGGCTTTCTCGCCATGCTGTTCAGTTATTTGTACGGTGCGGCTATCGCTTTGCTTGGCTTGTTCATCTTCCTGTACAACTGTATTCTGCGGGGAGATGTCATGTATAATTGGAGGCGGACGTGCGGTTGTACCAAATCACGGAATGCGTACGCAGTCGCGCTGTCCAGCTCGCACCCAGGCTCGCAGGCAGGGTCGCAGGTCATCCCGCCTGGCAACGGCCATGTGGTCCAGCGCTGCCAGTCGGCAAGCAGCGTGGATTCCAATGCCACCAACCGGTCGGCCAACACCAACCAATCCAACCACTCGCTGAAGTCGGGCTCACGCAAGACCTCCAAGTGCAACTACGTTCCCTCACACACCAACACGGGCACGGACGCCTCCATCGACAGCAGTACGCAGGACACGGTCACCCGGCCGCACATGTACGAGAAAGTCCGGGGGAACGGGTACGCGCACAGGTACCACCACAAGGGGCGGACTCGACCCAAGGGGTATAAGCACTCGCGGTATTCGCAGATCGCGAGGGACACGTCAGATGCGGGGGCAGGGCCGGAAGTCAGCAATGCTTTACAACCGACGGGCTACGCAGACAGTGTGTCGAGTGGTTCAGTCATGGCCCGAGTGCCCCAAGTGGCCACAAACTGCATCGGACTCCAGCCGCAAGCTGTCAGCGTGAGTAGTATGCATAGCATGCCCTCTGGCTCTGCGGCCGTGCAACCAGCAAGACCCCCGTGGCCGATGGGAAAAGCACCCGAGTTACACAAATTGCATCCAAAGAGCTTGCCTGTGGTAGCAGCTCACAACAGCAACACCAGCATCAGCAAGAACCTGCCTGCCAATTCTCAACATGCCCCCCACGTCATGCCCTTGGACCGACAAGAGGGGGCGGTGCTCAAACGGCGATCCTCGCGCGAGGACTCACGCCGGTCCTCCGGCAAGAACAAGGCTGCCAAAAGCAGCAAAGAAATGGAGGAAAATGCCCTCCAGAGGGAGGAAGTACCATTGCTGGAAAACCGTCCCTCTGTGTCGGAGCCGCCAAGCTACGATGAAGTGACCGCTGCCAAACCATTGGACAGTCAGGTCGCCGAGGGACCACTCGAGAACAAAGACATTGAGGAGGTGCCGGTGTTCGATGGAGCGGCCGTAGAAATGGACTCCCTGAGCCAAACTGGGCAAAGTGACAAGGACGGCTCGGACAAGGACGGCTCGGACAAGAGAGAAACTAGTGTATAGCAGTAGTGTGAAGAAGCCTTAACATATCTTTCAACTTTTTAAAATTGCTTGTTATATGCACTTTAACATAACTGTTGATAGTAATAATAGAATAGTCAGTACTGCTCTCTACCAACTGGAACTTCATCGAGCCACATCAGGAATGCAGTGAGTTCCCTCTTTAAGATTAAATCGTCCCACAATAGACTCTTTGTCATCCCAGCTCACTCTGACAAGGTTTCGACCGAAATTTCACTGAAAGGGTTGCCTATTCATGCTATTAAAATAATTTGGGTGGCTGTAATATTCCCTTGCACTGATTTTTCATTGTATTTGCAGATAAATCTTTTTTTTTTTTTTTTTTTTTACAAAACAGGGTGTTTGGCCCAAGCCATTATTTGGAACATCTGTTTCAGTTGAATAGGAAGACATGTGGTTAACACAGCGCATTTTTGGCATGAGAATATATTTGGAGACAATTGTACTCTTCACCACACACTATTTCAAACCATGACTTGTAAAATGATGTAGATTTCTCCGTCCAGCAAACTGCCAGATTTCCCCTAGTGTTGAATGCACAAAATATAGTAATAAAATAATAATAATTGTAATGCTTACCTGTAAATAGCGCTTTCCATCGTATCAACAATCTCAAAGCGCTGTACAATTATTACCCCGTTCATCGGGCCACGGGACCACGGGGCAGCCGATTTCAGCGCACAATCGGTCCTCTACCCTCACAGGTAACCATTCATACTGGTGGAGAGAGGCAATTGTAGTTAAGTGTCTTGCCCAAGGACATAAACACCGTGAAGTAGTCGTCCTGTTCTTCTTTTTCCTCATCACAACAATGTTGTACTCTCTTGCTAAATTCTTATGGTATTATTTGTTTTACTATACCTCGTACTCCCCAAAATATTGTCTTGGCAAAGTGTTACTGTGCGCGTGCCACCATCTTTATGTCGCTAGGGTATCTTTATGTCGCTAGTATGTTGCTAGGGCATGTAGGGCGACATAAAGATACCCCCGTGCATGGTAGTTCCATGATTGCTTCCTACAGCGTATGGAGTCTAGCGTGTGGTTGCGACAGTCTACTATGCACGCATGCATATTTACACTGTGCGCAAATCCTCGGATGCGAGCTTGGTAAGCAGCAAAACTACAGGCAAACATGTGATGGTGAATGGACCAGTGAGAAGTCGGCTCTCGATCATGAATATGTATGAGACATACATGTAGTAATATTTTTGGGGCCCCTTCTGAAATCCATATCGGTTTTTTTTGTATTCAGTTAGTTTGTTATACATATACTTCAGGGATGCTTCTTTTGTCAAAGAGATGTTTATTTTCTTTATTTTTTTTTTTAACTTTTCACAGTTTCTTGGTCCACATAAAAAAAGAAAGGCCTCAACTATTTGGAGTTTTTTTTCAACTGTTTATTGTACTTAAATTATCGTTTTTCTACAAACAGCCCTTAGGAATGTCTACTTGTACATAATGCAGTGCTTTTATTGGACATTGTAAATAGCCATTCAAATTATTGTCTGTCAAAGTTTTTAATGTATCGGATGGTCTTTTCTATAGTGTGTATTCACAGTGTATGTATTCACAGTTCACAGTACAAGATGTGTTTTTATGCACGCACGTCTTTTAACCAAAAGAGACTATTTTTTCTTCCAGATATTGAAATATTTCTGGTGGGCTCTTGAAATGAAAAGAAACAAAACGGAACAAAATACAAAATGTACTTGAAATCAAAAGGGGAATGAAATCTGTACTAAAATTATGAAACAGGTCAACATGTTGACATTAAATGTATACAGGTTTATGGCTTCTGACTAGCGCCCCTTGAACAAAGACATCGACAAAATGGGGAACCGCCAACATAGGGCTGGTTAGCTCAGTTGGTAGAGCACTGGAAAGGTAATCAGGAGGTCGCAGGTTCAAACCCCGCTCCAGTCAACTTCTTAGTTCAACTTTAAAAAGGAATCTTTTAAAAGGCGTAAACATTTGGGCGACAAAGAGTTGTCAATTGTACTCTGTGTTGCATTCTTGTGTATGTTGCGTCAGTACATGTATTCAGATTAAATCATTGATCAGTAATTAAAGAAAAATCTGTACTAAAATCATGGTACATGTAAGTATTACATTTTTTTCAAAATGACTTTTGTATACATATTTATGACATGTATACATGTATGATTAGGCTCTTTATATATTTAATTGCATTGAATTGTATCATAGTTTGAATCGTAATAATGACCAATGTACTAGTTGTACTGATTTTTGTAATTTATAGAAATAGAAGTGGTAACTACTTCCACTAGTTTTTAATAAGTTAAAGAAAAAGGAACAACACGAACCAACTTCACAAATTTCAAGGACTGGTAAAATATTTTAAATTTGGTCCGACTGGATCTTCCAAATGTGGATGTGTATGGTAAAGGCTCCGTGCACAAGTACCCCCTCAATGGTAAGAAAGGGAGAGTTGGGGGAGACCACTTGGAGAGACATTGAAACAAATTGCTGATGTCGCCGGACGCTCACGCGAAGACGCTATGGCTTTGCGCACATTCAGAATAAAATAGTTGTGTGTACTTTGCACCATATGCACGCAAACCAGTACGCACAGTGGTCATTGATCTCCATTAATAAGACTGGATAGGACTCGGCTCCCTCCATCTTGCGCATGCACGTGCAGTCATCGGTGAGGGTTGGAAAGTTTGACATGCGTTTGTCACACACAGACCATGCAGCACGCGCACGTCACGCATGCGCAGTCGCTAACGTTAAACCCGCAATGTACTACCCAGCTGTTCGTTTGCGTTTTCCGAATCTTCACTGGGCGCAAGTATACGCGTGTCCTATCCAGTCTTACTAATGGAGATCAATGACAGTGGTCACAAAGCGCTCTCTGTTGTTCGTTAAGATCGTTGTTTTCCAGAATACCTTTAAAGGTATTCATCACTCATATATTGGACATGTTTTTTTTATAAAGTTCTATTTTTGTCGGAACCATTGATACCAAATATTAAGTGCAAATAAATTGCAAGTCCCAGAATGTTTTTTTTTTTTTTTAAATTGGGAATTCAAAATACAGTATTCGTCATCGGAGATCATGGGTTTTAAAATTCTTTTGTAATCGCAAAATTTGATGCTTGTTCTGTCAGTGCGACACGCCATAAAAAAATTCATCGCATTAAAAAGTGTTCTGTATTTACAAAGTTTTTATGCAGTTGTTTTATCAAAGCTCCGTTCAGGTTCGTTTCATATTCCTTGCTTGGTATTCATAAGTGTTTCAGTTGCTTTTAAAAACTATTTTCTCTGTATTTATTGGAACAAATACAATCATTTGCTATTTCACATTGAAAAAAAAAGTTTTATCCAATTCTTGTTCAAATTTTATGGGATATTTGATGTCACAATAGGGAAAAATCTTCTTACTGGGAAACTCAAGGTCAGATGTTACGACAGTGATCCAGCAAAATTTGTTTCAAAGATGACAAGCTTAAAAACGTGGTTTTTTTTAGATAAACGTCCAAAGACATCACAACTTCCGTATATGTAAAATATGTAAAAAAAAAATTGGAAACATCTCTTGCCTCTCGAATATTTAAATCACCAGTAAAATGTAATGCAAGTTGGTAGGAAGCAGGAAATTTGTGTAAAACCATTTGCAGTGTCTCGAGCAAACTGGATCTTGGGTCCCTGAGAGATTCATTTGTAAAGTTCCTCATTTACTCTGTAAACGCGGTTCATCATTTGTTCATGTTGTTTGACATGTATACCCGGATATTTTTCAACGTTAACATTAATAATAACCTGCTTGGGAGGGTTTAAATACGCCCACTAACTGTACACGAGTTGTTATCAACAAATTTACAATTCTGTCAAATGTAGCGTTTGTAATTTCTGAAATTTACTTGGAGCCAGGAAATAGCAAAAAGATGAAACAAATGTTTGAATGAACAATTCATGTAAGATAGCATTACCTGTAAACTTGTTTAACTGTCTTCGTGTACATGTACTTGTGCGTGTACATGTACATTTTTTGTGCTAAAAATGCCATTTGCATAGTTAAAGATTTTTTTGTGAATAAAAACCACAAAGGCTTAAAAAAAATTAAATGATTTGGTTCAAATTTTGTTCAAGCGTTCAATCTCAATACAATAACCATAGATTCATGTTTTTTTTTGTATATTTGGTTTTCATTCCATTAGGTTCCATAAACTGAACAAAACCCTAAAAAAGTAACAATTAATTTTTTTTAAAAAGTCAGACTCAGACACAGGGTCATACAATGTCATGTTTGGTGGGATTTATTGCAGTTCAAAGTGCAATGACCTCAGCTGCTTGGAGGTAACACAGGATAGTTACATGAAAAGGACAGGAAAAAAAATGCTGATTTCTCAACAAAAAAAATCCTACAGCTTTGCTGTGAATTAGTTTAACTTTCTCAGCTGGCAGAACAAAGTGTGGAAAGAATGGTGCATGCTGATGCCACTTTTTTTCAAATATTATCTCAACGAAGGTCAGTCATTCCAAATTTTTTGAAAAGACATGAATCTGGGACTGAGAAACATTTCCATTTTGGTTCGAAAATACTTTGAAAATGCACTCAATTCTCCATAGACTTTGTACACAACCAAAGACGTGGCGTCTGGATACTACGTTCTTTCCCAAAGTTTTTTGATAATTTTTTTCAATTACTTTCAATCGAATTGTCAGAAAAAAATAAACCATTAAAAAAACTGTCAATTTAAAAAAAACCGTCAATTTAAATCCAAATAATGTCTTTTCTATTCCAAAAATCATGACGGACACGGGCTTTATTATCAATTGTCGGATATAACAACCAAATTAGAAGAACAAAAAAAATCCTTTTTTACACTACACTAATAAAAAGAACCTGACATACGTAAATCATACAACTCATGGTATAATGTTTAAAAACCACTCCATTTTAAAAAGAAATGAGTATACATCACAAAAGATATGAAATTGAACAAAAATAAGGAAAATGAGCTTCTTAATGCTCAATCCTAAGGCAAGACAAAACAAAATAAGACAATAGACCCAAGATTGAAAAATACTGAAAAAATAATGAGCAAATACTAAAACCGACAAGTTTGACATTTTTTGTCTTTCTTCAAATCCCCCATCAGCACGTGATATTTCTTTAGGAATAAATTAGGGGCACTTTCCCTCTCATAATTTGATACTTTCTCCAAATTACATTAACCGTAACCCCCTTGTATTCCAATACCATGTATGGTAAACTCTACACCCAAACTGTTGGACTCTGATCATGGTGGTAAGCCAAACCTCGTGTAAAGCATAATCATCAGTACTCACTCCAACCGATTCCAAAAAACCCTGGTGTTGGAGTTTGACTGGATGGGGATTGTTTAGGGTTTAAGCAACTCCGAAAACCTCGAATACGTGTAGCTTGAAAAAAAATACAGTTTTGATTCATACTTGGGATGAAAAAATGGCAAGGAAAAGGAACTAATATTTTAATATGGTCAGCTGTTTTGGTGATTATAAAGGTACAATCAGTTTTTAATGACAAGTGCAAGTAACTGGTCATTCTTAAAACTTAACCAGTTTGCGCCGGATGACGTGTATACACGCAAAGGTTTTGTGGTATTCGGAACTGATGACGGATAAACACGCAGGGAGCGAGGCCGGAAATATCTGTCAGCGACCCGCCTGCAGAGAGCGAGGCCGGAAATACATACATGAGTGTGCTGCCCGAGGGTGATCGAGTGAAAATTAATCCCGCGCCTCGTTCCGTTCTTGTCAAAATAATCCCGGCGCGAGCTGGTTTACAACATCAAAAATTCACACACCGGGAAACTTAAAAAATATAAAAAAATGTGAATACATTTTTGGTTGAAGCTTTTCGTCTTAAAATTTATCGAGACACCATTTTTGTGTCTTAATCTTAAATCTTAAACTATTACAAACCCCATATTTGTTCAGATATCAAACATATAATGGTCGCTTCTCATTTTTGCAATAAAATTCATGCCTCTTTCTTTTGCAGTGCATGATGTCGATTTCCAAACTTTACTCTTTATGAAGTGGAAATAATTTTGAGAATGATCTGCATATTGATTCCACTCGCAAGCACATGATCATGGGTATACCGGAATAAACAAGAAAAAAAAATGAAGAAAGTAATAAAAAGAAATATCCCATGATGCACCTTCTTTCCAATCTCAGACGAGGCGATGTCAAGACAAGCTGCATCCAGCTTGACTTTCAGACGGTGACCAGTTCCGTCTTGCTGTCTTTGGTAATGAGCTGCACCAGGCTTCCAGTGGCTGGCCTTGGCTGGTTCCCCACTGACCAGTCAAACAACAATCTGTGGTAAAACAAACAAACAAATTATTTGTTTCAGTTACTGACCTCTACATGTATACTATCTGAGCTGGCTGCTACATGCTGATTGGCCTTTTAGTTTTCACAAAACTGAAGTCAACCTTTGAAAAACGCTCGCATTTTCCTTAAAAAAAAAAAAAAGCTTCAAAAGGTTTCAAAAGCTGCAAGTGCGCGTCTGTTCCACCGATCGACGGCAGGCTTAAACTTTTCACCAAAGGAATGTACCCAAGTGTTGCGTGAGCAACAGACACGTTTCACAGATACCGCCATGTTTGTGATTACGCGGTCACCTCTGGGGGCATTTTGTTGAAAATATGTCCAATGATGAGGAATAGCTTCAATGCATGATGGGACGTATTTGGCTGTATTATTGAAATGCCCCTTAAAGTTTACCACATGATCACAAGGATGGCGGTATCCGTAAAAATGGTCTATGGAAATTTGGGCTGAATTGTCCACACTTGTATTGCCTTTTCCAGCAGAAGGAGGCCACAACGCACAAGCCAAAAAACGTTGGTACCAAATTAATTGGATTGCTAACTGCGCCTGACGACCTACCAAACTTTTCTGGAGTGACAGCTGAAACCCAATTATTTTGTTTAAATACAACTTAAATATACTTACGAGGCAACAAAGTCCAGTGGCGTCCATGCTGAAAAGTCTGCATTGGGCATACCCTTGCGATTCATGGGTGTGTCCAGTGTTATCCTACAAATACAGATTAAAACAACAACCACATTTTGAAAAACCTTGAGACTTATTGAAATGGCAGAATTTGTGCAGTTTACACGAATCAAAATCAAGCAAATCAGGGCACAAAAGGTCATGATAAAATGAAAGCGTTATAAAAAAAAGGCTTTGTACTTCCATCTTTGCATGATGCCTTTTTCTGATTTTCAGAGACAATATAAAAGTTGAAGGTGAATTGGTCGATTCAAGACAAAAACAACACTTTACAAAGTAAGGACAATTTGTAGGATTTATTAAAAGGCTGTATGAACAGAACTCAATGTGACAGCATTACTTATTTGCAGTGGAAAGTTACATCAACAAATTCTTGGCCACAATGCATCATACAATGTACATTAAACTGGCTTCTTATAGACAATTAGGTCTTTCCCTTCAGATGGTCACCTTCCAAAGTGTTCTGCTTTTATTGCTGTAACAAAAAAATAACTGTTGAGAAAAATCCATGTGACTACAAATACCGTAATATGTCTACACTTTTTTTTGCTTTTGATTTTTCAGCTTAAAGTTGGACGGGTAGCACTTGTGTCTAAAGCATTGTTTTTTTTATAACTTTTAAAGTCAAGTGACATATGTGAGCATTTACAATCCAAAAACCAGTGAAGGATTTTGGGGCATTAAGGAAGGTCGTCCCAGCCACAACAACTTCACAAGGAATTAAGTACCCCTACTTAGTTGTATTAAAGTAAATAGACAGTGCAATTGCAGTGGTAGATTTTAGAGGAATCGGGAAGGGGTCTGTTAACAAAAATTCCTAAGGAGTTAGTTTTGAAGAAAGCTTTGATTGCACTGATAAAGAAATGTGCGCCACTCGGCAGGTTCTTACGGGCAAATGGCCAGAGCCGTGGAGTTGGCTGGTAACCCGCTCCCAGACATTCCCAAACCACGCACAAACTGGTGCACGGCTGCTTTAGCCATCCCATAGCCAAGCATTCCTGGAAAGAAAAAAAAGAACAATTTTGCAGACGATTCATCTCACCAAAGTTGAATAGTCGATAATTAGATACAGAGCTAATTAAGTAAATCAAGTGTTACCCTCAAGTTATAATTTATGCCCTCATTCCAAACCTAGGCTCGCGCTTTTTATGCTATACCCGAGCCTAAAGTGTAGGTACCAGCAAAAACCAGCTTCTGGAGGACCTTGCCATTATGTTTTGCAAACATTGAGCGGTCTTATATCCCTCAATGTATTGACTACATTAGTAATGAATGACATGGGGACTAGCAACAGGAGAATTATGTTAAACCTACGAGTGCAGTATTTGAAAGTGTAATAACACAAGGTTGTAAATTACCATTGAAGTCTTTGAAGAGGAAAGCTTGGGGGTTGGTGAGGAGGTGGGGGTTGGTGAGGAGGTGGGGGTTGGTGAGGGGGGGGGGGGGTGTCAGTCTTACCTGGTGTACCCCCATCCAGGGCAGCCTTTGCCCCCGTCAGCTGCAGCAGGCCCCCATCTTTGAGAAATTTAGCGGCCAGCCCGGCGGATATGACCGATGTCCAGACACTCTGTTTGCACATCAGATCACTGCTCTTTACCAGAGCTGGCAAGATTAACCACAAATTAAAAAAAGAATGTGAATACATTACGGACAATAAAAGCAAAAACTGTCTAATTGTAGAGGAACCTTGCTCTCTATTCGTGACGGATCCATAAAATGATACAATCCTGGACACTATGGGGCTGTGTACGGAGTAACAGGAAGGACGGTTTTGAGTACACCGACTAATGGGTTAATGTACACTGTGCTAAAAGACTACTGTTGGATCTGCAAACCTTTGGATGCAGCATTGCCGCCGGCCCAGCCGCCAGCCACACACAGGATAGCATCGAGCTTCTCCCCAGACAACGTCTCCTCCACTCTGCCCATGATGGAGGTCTCCTGTTCTGTCCAGGACTGGGCCGGGTCCACGATGAGATTCACCTGGGCATCCTCGTTGGGGAAAAGGTCCATGGAGCACACCCACTGACAAGGCAGAGAAAGCAGGGGGAAACAAATGATTTTGAATGGAGTAACATTATAACCCTCCTAGTCTTCTGCACTTCACAACATTTCAGTTTTTCAAAACCACTTTTACCACTAGAGCCAGCACCCACACTTCAAATTCCTTTGAGGTAATCTTCTGTAGAGTATGGATAACACTTCAAATCCCTGCACAATTATTTTGTGTGGTTAAGCTTTGGGGCAAGCAGGTGGATACGGTCACGCCTCACTGCTCTCCGCAGTGCAATTTTTGTGTGTGCAATGACTCTGTGTGACAGTTACTTTAACGCTTATATCCCTTCACCTGAAGCTGACCTGCAGTGTTTCAAAGGGCTCTACTCTGAATACTGATTTCCCACTAGGAGAGTTAGTCATCAGGAAAAGAACAATTTGGGGAACATACCAAATTTTCTTCAACAAGTTGATTGATTGAAGTACAATTTGGTAAAAAAACGAGTAAGAAAAGGCTTGTACAAGTATGAGTACACTATGTGGGACAGTACACTTCTTTCCTTTTTTTTTTAACCATCACTGAAAAAACTCAATGCAGGTCTTTTAATTTGCCCCCAAAACCCCCATTTTTTATAATAAACTGGTTCCTAGTCCCAACGTTATTGAATCAGATGAATGGGGGGGGGGGGGGGGAGAACTGAATTATAGTCGGGCCACAATACGTAATTCTAAATTTGTAAAGTAATTAGTCCATAACAAACGGGGGCGGAGTTTTGATCAATGTCTCATGTAAAATGTGTACAACAAACGACAATAAGTGAAAAGCTAAAAAAATTAAAGTAACCCTTGAACAAAGACATTGACAAAATGAGGGACCGCCAACATACATGTAGGGTTGGATAGCTCAGTTGGCAGAGCACCGGAATGGAAATCTGGAGGTCACAGGTTCAAACCCTGCTCCAGTCAATTTCTTTGTTCATCCTTAAGTTGAAATAAATGACAGCAACGTTCATGATGTTACTTAGGGCCTACATCATCCTGGAAGTATTTTTTTTTGGGGGGGGGGGAGGTAATGAAAAAAAAAAGACGGAGCTCCCATCAGTGCTTTCAATTTTGTGAACAAAACCATACACACAAAAGACACGTACGTGCAGGCCGTCTGACTAATTTACGCGCATGCGTACTTAGTATTTACATGTAAATACCAGCACACGTAAACAGTTTCGTGACGTCGGATAATCCTTTTTTTTATAATCCAATGACATCGTTGTCTGTACATGGCACCTGATGAATATTCATAAAACATATGAATATTCAGGTAGGGCCTACATAGTCTTTTATCAAGTTGTTTCTTTAGCTGACAATATCCACACATTTATAACATATTTGAGATGGGGAAAAACAAGTGATTGTTTTGCCAAATTTCTGATTTTTCCCATTTGTTTTTACGTTGTCCCGTGACACTAATTGTCAGGGTTTTTCCAGTTTTAAGAAATCACGAATTTAAATCATAACCACCACCAAGAATTTTTACAGTGATAGGGCCTATTTTAGGTGCAAAGTTCTTTTTTTTCAAGGCTGAAGAAATGAAAATTGTAGTAATTTTGAGCTGTTATACATAACCGAAAGCAGAAGTATTTTTTTTTTTGTGGTGGCCTTATGCAAAAATTGCATTGTTCAGCCATTTGTCAGTCATGGGCATTGCTCACGTCCACACGAGATGTCGAATTGGCTATAAAATAGCGCCCTCACTTGACGGTCCTCATTGAGACAACAGAAAAGTAATTTTGAGTTGAAATGGAAGCAGTTTTAACCTGTAATTTCAGCAAAAACGGTTTTTGTTCATTCTTCATGCGAAATATACATATCTCAACTCTCCTTACCCATCCTTTTGATTTAAAATGGTTGACGACAGCTGTGCCTAACGCCCCTTTTCCACCGTAAACGAGAACACGATTCGCTGTCGTGGCCGCCATGTTTGCAAAGTCTCGTTCTCGTTTTTGGCACGGGGAAGGCGTTGTCCAAAATATGAAAGTTTCGAATCAAGACAGTTCAAACTACAATTTGTTATATGAAATCAATATTTAGCAAATTTGAAATATTTTTACAAGTATTACAATTATTTAATTAGTACGATATCGGTAAATAATATTTTTGATGATGACGAGAAATCTCGCAATTAGCGAGAACATGACGTCACATTTAGCACCCGTGAACTGTGCACGAAAATCTGTGTGGAGTATGGAATTCCCTTCCGGAAGATAGCGAAAATTATTAATTTATTACATAAAAAGGGAACATTTAGACAGTCATATGGTTGCATATACTCTTCTGTAGATTGTTGAAGCATTCAAGGCCTCTGAGGGGCCGTACTGGATCTCTACGATGTCTCGACATGACTGTAAGTATCACATGATAATGACTGAGGATTTTTGTTGCACATGTCAATGTACCCAATGTACAATGTACATGTCTGACATATGTAGGCTAGGCCTACAAATTACAATGTTGGGCGCGATTGGTCGATCGCGTTGCGCGATGGGTCATTCAAGAGATAGGCATGCAAGATAATTCCAGCAAATTTTAAAGAGAGAATGAATGTACATGATTTTGAAACTTTTGTCTGCAGCGTTACGGCCATGTCGACGGCACGAACACACACGGACCGAAAACCTTTGACTTGTTTGACCCATCATGCACAGAACACGTACATGAGTAACGTAACATCTGAACATGAAATCGATTAACCTGCTTGTATAAGTTGTAACTTAAGTCATGTTGTAAGTTGAAGGATGGGACTCTGTATTATCGCGGTCATGTGGCGGTACTTATCCCGTTTCTTGTCTTGTCTTTTGTGTTGTACTCTTTCAAATAAACAAATCCGACGGTGGAGTGGTTTCGTTTATTCCATGTAAGATGCCTGTGAAAATAGACATGCTCGGAGTTAGACCCGTGAACGTGGCTTGTAAACTACGCCACGTTCTTATGTCATTTCGAACCTGGCGAACGTGTCCTTCTGACTCCCTACGTTACACACACTGGACGTTATTTTGCCCATGTAATAAGTACTCACATATGAAGCTGTCTTGAATTCTATTTGTACGTCAAAACTTGCATTTGACGAAAATTGAGGAAAATTCTGGCCCCGGTTCATGAAGTCCGTCCGCTACTGCTAGCTGCCATTTTCTCCCAACTGACGCATGCGCATTGCGTTTTATTTTCGTATGATTCGACGGCTGTTTACTGTCGCAGCTAAAACAGACATCGTTTTAGACAAGTTTCAAGTCCTTTCCTCTCTCACCGCACTGCACGCGGTCGCACGTGCGCCCGCGTGTGTGTGCACACACGTACTGTACACGAGATGAGCCGAGCAGCCAATCGTCTGCGCTGCGGGGGGGGGGGGGGTTTCGTGGTTGCGACATGAAACAGCCGTCAATCTGTCCAAGCGACTCAGACGCGTCCGGAGTTATTTGTCAGGGTCAGGTTAAAATCTAATTTCTACACGTTCGTATGGGTCTTTACTGATGGGCAAATTTCGTCGAAATTACACAACCGAAACAATCGGACGGGCAAATTTAGATTTCTAGGTGAGTACTCAACACCCATACGGAATTATGTATGTCGGATCGATTTCGCCAGGTTCGAAATGAAACAAGAACGTGGCGTTGTATACAACGCCACGTTCACGGGTCTAGCTCGGAGTGTGCGAACGGAGGTGGACTCCCTATTATCGCGGTGTGCCGGAAATGGTTTTGTATAATATAATGATCTCAACTTTTATTTTCATAAATAAAGTCTGATATTTTTCCTGTAACGTTCAAGTTGAATAGCCCTAACAGTCGTGCATCCTCCAATTTCAATACGATTTTTCATACCCCCTAGGGAGTTAAGGTATATGCCTGCAGGTTGATTTCTTAAGACCCTGCCCCTCCCCAGAAAGGAGAACAAAAAACACTGAGACAAGTCTACTGATTGGCGATTGGGGAAGCCATTCACTGTACACGGTGTGCCGTTTTAATTTTTTTTTAACGCGCCGTCCTTATAGAAATAGCGGTATAAATATCGTCCTTTGACCTCATTTTGCCAAGTTCCGGATCGCGCGTGCACGTAGGACCCAACTATACGCGGGTTAATCAATTTTTATGTGACGTATTCTGTGATAGGTCAAAGGTTTTCGGTCCATGCATGTTTTTGTCGTCGTGCTGCAGACAAAAGTTTCAAAATCATTAACACTAATTCTCGTTTAAATAATTGCTGGAATTCTCTTGAATGAACTGTTTTTCGAAAAATTAAATAATACCTTATCAGAAAATGTGCTTGATTCGGGGTGGTTCTGGCTGAAAAATGTATTTTCTCGTGTGATTTTGTTTATCGCGCGAAGCAGTTTTTGATCGATTCGGAACTGATTTAACCAATCCGGAACTAGGAAAAGTGGCATCGGTACTTTTGACGTCACAAAGTCAAAATTAAAAGAGCTTAAATTTGGAAATCTAATAATAATAATAATAATAACTAGAGGTTCTGTGTCTGTTTGCAACAGAACATAGGGCTTTTTCGCATTATGCTTATTTATGAGTAATATTTTTTTCATTGTACCAAGTTTGAAATCAATCCGATGAAAGGAAGTGTACAAGTTTGGAAGCAGAATACAATTTTCAATATTAAAAAAATCATAAAAAATCAGCAGATGACGTCATCGTAACGTCACATCGGATTTTGCATACCAGTACCATTATCTACCTACCCACCAAATTTCATGACAATCGGACCTTCTCTTATGTGTTTTAAAAATCGCATTTTTGATGACGTCATGATGACGTCACACATTTTTCAAAATTTTTTGCATACTATTACCTAACAAACCAAATACAAAAAGAATTTTGAATTTAGCAAGTTGCGTTCATGAGATAGGGCTTGAAGGTCCAAAAATGCAAAAAGTCATATAAAATCGCACAATGATGTCACCATGACGTCACCTCATTTTTTTCTATAACACATACCGGTCTACCCACACACCAAGTTTCAACCCAATCGGACTTACAGTTCTGTAGATATAGGACTTCAAAATATGCACGTTTGTGATGACGTCACGTGACCCCTGATGACGTAATCATGACGTCACTCTTCGGGACACAACTTTGCCATAAGGACAATGCATACTGGTAAATGCTTAATTTGAATGATGTATGACAAAGTGCAATGCCAAAAGTGGCGTGTACATGTACTAAAATCGTGTACAAAGTCTATGGGAATTTTGCGTGAAACAAAAAGAAGAAAGGAAAAAACAAAATCAGAACAAAAACAAAGGCTTTTTCGCAAAATTGCGAAAAAGCCAATGAACAGTTGGTAAAGTGCCAGTATCCACCAGGCATAATGCTCATGGCACATAAAATACAAAAAAAAATTAATTACAAAAACAACGTAAAAAAAAAAGAGGGGTTTGAGGTTAGATTTGAATGTACAAATGTAGACAGGGATTTCATTTGGCGTAGTTCAAGTGGGAGATTGTTCCAAAGTTCCGAGGCAGCATGAGCGAAGACCGTTGACCCCACGAGTGATTGGTATGAGGGACAGTCAATTGGTGCAGTTCTCATTAATGGAGATTTCTAGCTGGCTGGTACAATGGAATGGAATACATGAAGGAGAACCTTGAAGGCAATGCGATTGCCGATCGGTGATGGGGAGCCAGTGAAGAGACTTGAGTATGGGGGTTATGTGGGATCATTATTTTCTCCATCACTCAAGGTAACCAATTTCTCTTGAATTTGTGGATCAGTTGAGCGGAAAGCAGCCTGAATGATGTTTGCTATCTGAAACTAGGAAAACGAATATACGACTGCAGCGTACGATCAAAATATTCGAAATCACACGATCCAAGTCATGTACCGAAGAGAAAATTTATCGTCGATTTCTGACCTCTGCGGTCGTACTCGGGTACCCGGTTCAGAAGCACACTCCTAGTGTCCTTGTTATGTTGTATTTTGTACAAAGACTGTGCCTTTGTTCATCACATGGTGCAGGATTGTGGATTTTTGGAGACAGTTCCCCAGGATGCAAAAATACCTAGTGGGGGGTTAGGAGGTTAAGTTGTAGATTGGGTAGGATCAGTGGGAATCTACGTGTATGTGTAAGAATAGTGCAGTGTGTAACAAGTACCAGTTAGAGTGCATCAGTTGCTAGATGTTGATTGACTTGAGTTTCTGTGTACAGTGTAAAGGCGTATATGGGTACTGTAGTCTACACATATGTACGTACGTTGATGCTTGCCCAGCAAGCATAGATCTGCACACTTGTGTGCAGATTCAGCCCCCAGATTTTGGCCCAACAGCAGGTATCTCTCATCGTGCTTTTGGCAAACCAATGACATAATTTACAGGTCAAACCAGCTGATAACTTTTCCTGTAACCAGTAGGGAGCTGAACAACTGCGTTTGTTAAAACAGCAAAAATTGCAGTTTGCTGTGCCTCTGTCAGGCCACACTGACATTAATGTGTGGAGAGAGTTCAAAACTGAATCTTTCACCTGTAGTCGCTCTGCGTAGGCCGCCATGTTGCAATAGGGATAGTTGGCAGCTGTTGACCAATCAGCAGCTTTTGACACTGTCCTGTCCAAGATTGTGTCACACTTTCAAAAGTCAGCTCCGATTGGCTGGTGCGGGGTCATATGTTACAAATTTTGCATTTTACCCTAACTCCCTAAGCATTTTTGCTAGGATGCAACCTCAATCCTTCAAAATCCTCCAACTGCCTATGTGTAAAAATAGCATACAGCCTCAGTCCTCCACAACCATCCGTTAATTCTTGAATGTGTTCCTTGGAGGGGTGACCACTGCCTCAATCCTGCAAAATCCTCCAGCAATCACTGTCAGTATGTTGAGGCAGAGCCAGTGACATCCTGGAGCAGTGCGGAGGATTTGAAGTACCGGTATTAATCTAGGCCTAATGTATGCATGGTTGAGCATAATCTACACAAGATCCGGCCTACATAAGACCCTGACACAGTGCATCCTCCAAAATCAGCCACACATTTTGCCATATAACCTCAATCCTTCAAAATCCTCCATTTTGCAAAGAGGATTTTGGAGGATTAGGGAAGGTTAGGCTTGAGGATACAACGTTTGTTGCAGAGTTTATGGGCTCCTTCAAACAGATGATACTCAAACTAGCAGGATGTGTGTATACATGGAATGTTTGGAAATAATTTATTATCATATCCCAACCGTAAATGTTCAGGGGTATGGACAAATTGCACGACCTCTTAGTTCAAGATTTATGGAGGTAAAATTTTTGTGCAATGGAGGGCATCTAACACAGTTTTCTGGCTGGCCCTGTTCTACACAGAGCCATCATAAAAATGAGTCTTGAAAACAGGTTGTGCCAAGCATTTACGTAACAAGTATTCTTTGTTGTCTTCTCATGTTTTCTGTTCCTTTCTATGGTTGTTTATGAAAATAAAATCTTCCAGAATTCTTTTAAATAAACTCTTGACTGTACTTGTCTCTCATTTTCCCTCGCCAGCTGTCAGTTGCGATTCCTGCCTAAAGGGTAACTTCAGGGGGCGCCGATACAAGTGTCTTATTTGCTACGACTACGACCTGTGCGCGGTGTGCTATGAGAACGGCGCCACCACCACACGCCACACAGCGGAACACCCCATGCAGTGCATTCTAACACGTTCAGATTTTGGTAAGGAAAACATACACATCAATTTTCTTCAATATTCCAAGTAATTCTTCCAAATCTGCCTAAAGTGCGTCAGTGTCCCATATGCCACAGGCCCGAAGGCCGATTGGCATATATGGAACGAAGACGCACTACGAGTACTAGTGGGATAGGAAATTTATCTTCAAGCAAACTTGATGTAGAGTAAAGATGGAAAGCGCAAGCTTTTGGAACTTTCCAGAAGTTATCCTATTACATGTGCGTGCAGCAGGAATAGCGCACATCTTAAAATAGCCTTATAGGCCAAGTGCAGCATAGACCGTGCTGTAGTGGATAATATGTGACCTGTTCTGTCAAAAAGCAGACGCTTCTGGGCAGAGGTTGAAATTGAGATAGGGCCAAAAAACGCTGTGGGGGTCATTTTTATCGATTTTCAAATTTTTGCATATTTGTAATCCTGAACATGTCTAAAATATAAATGTCTAAAATATATTATAAAAGTTTGAAACCCTAATTTGAACTCTACATATACTATTTTTGATGATTTTGATAATGTATATCAGTTAAAGAAATAACTGTTTTGTGACGTTCGTGGCCATTTTCTCCGTTTTCTACTTTTCGACACAATGAACTTCAAAATAGCATAACTCTGCCCAGGAATGACCGGTTTCAAAAATTAAACCACCTATTAAAAGGAAAAAGAACATATGTTAACAGTATGTAAAAATATCATTTTCGACCTTATGCCCAGATTTTGACAGAACAGGCCACATATCACTCTGTTGTTGCCATGGATCGACCGATCAGGATTGAGGATTCAAGTTTGCTGGAAGATCATACCTAAAATTTTCTATACATTTCCTTAATTTCTTAAGTTTTCTGACCATAAATAATTTCTTATTAGCTTTAGAGACCATTTCATATACATGGGCATCCCATTTCAAATTTTGTTGGAAGATAACTCCCAAGAGTTTAGCCCTTGTAACAAGTTCTTGTTGAGAGTTGGATATACCGCACATCTGGCGGATTTCTCTTGCCAAAGTACGTTTGTAAAGCTTGACACTTTTACAGGGTTTAATGTCAGCCCATTGTTACAGGCCCAAGTACTCAGACTTTTCAAATCTGTTTGGATTTTGCTTTCACTGACGGAGGATCTATTTTCACCAAGGGTGAAGGTCATCAACGTATTTCCAGCATTTGCTGTTAGCTGGGTCAACTGCACTGTTAATACAAGCCAAACAAATCACTGGAACCAGTTATGTCCCCTGTGGCATTCCATCAGATAGTGTTTGCCAGTCAGAAAATACTTGTGTGTATTTGACCCTGTGTTTGCATTCCTTTAAAAAATCAACAAGCCAATGCACAACAGCAGGCGAAACCCCAGGTCCAGAAGTCTTAATAATACTGTATTTTAAATTCATGATTTATATCATACAGAAGTTGAGACCTGATTCTGTTTACCGTAATTCTCCAACAGATTTATACTATGGAGGGGAGGCAATCACACTAGAGCAGCCACAGTCCTTCACTTGCCCATATTGTGGCAAAATGGGCTTTACGGAGTCCACACTACAAGAGCACGTCACGTCCGAACACTCGGACTCCTCACTAGAAGTGGTAAGTTTAAGTTCGAGTTTACAACACCAAATCCTCATGACGCTCCCCTGCATAGGCCATGCCACAAAGGAGGCGCTTAAGATAAAATACCTTGCCTGTGGTCAGAATCTGCACTTTGAACTTGTAGTGAGCTTACAGTGAGTGATGGGCTGTGTCACGGCTACAGGTATTCACACATCAGCCAATTTCACCTTGGACTGATACATGCGCACTGTGCACAAGTAACCTCGTAGAGGTTGAACACTGCTGTCACTGCAAGACACTTCCTAGCTATACAGTGACTTTACGGTTTAATAATACAGAATGTCAAAAAAAAAGTGTCCGTCTGACTGTTTTTAAAATAACCACAAAATCATGTGGTCACTTTTGAAAAGGTTTGGTTGTGCTGATACTCCTAAGCCTTGGCCTCAACCCCTACGAGTTTCATTTAATTTCAGTCACGCATCACTGCACAATTGTCAATTGTTCACAACAACATTTTTGGGCACTGTGACCAGGTTCCTTGCCTTAATCAATTTCAGTGCTGTTTTATGTAATCTGTGTAAAATCCTGCGTATTGTGAAGAAAAAAAACCCAGGCTGATGTGGTTTGGGATTGGAATCATTTGCCCTTGAGCATTCAACTGAGGTCTTGCCATGATGACTGATAGCCAGGCAAATGATTCCAAACCCACTTGGAAGCCCTTTTCACAACATGAAGGATTTCATTGTTGCCAAAGATGCAATGTTTTTATCAAATTCAAAGTCATCTTTTGATCTTTGATGAGTGTTTTGAATCTCCTGTGCACCCTTTGATAGCAGGGATTGTCATGTACTCCTTTTTTTTTTACTCTTTCTCTGTGAAGGTGTGTCCAGTCTGTGCAGCGTCGATAGGCGGAGATCCCAACCATGTTACAGATGACTTTGCCGCTCATCTAACATTGGAACACAGATCCCCTAGAGATCTGATATCCTTTTTGTTATTGTTAATTTTCATTATCATCAACAATTTTGCCACTCCTGTTGATTTAATTAATAAGTTATTGTTCCCTCTCTGGCTGGCAAATTCCACAAAGCCATCCCAGTAGTCAAAATCAATCAAGTGACCAGTGTTGTAGTCGAGGCCACAACCTCCGAGGCCAAGGCCGAGGCCACAACCTCCGAGGCCAAGGCCAAGGCCGAGGCCACAACCGCGAGGCCAAGGCCAAGGCCGAGGCCACCGCCTCCGAGGCCAAGGCCGAGGCCGAGGCCAGCTATCAAAACACGTAATAAAATATAAATCACTAAAACAAGGCTAAGATTATGTTGGAGTTTTAACATCTTTTCAGTTGAATTCACTGAGTTTTGGAGTGCCTGGCTTACAAATTTACAGCTTGCAATGGGTTTCCTCTTGTAGGGAGTCCGGCGAATTAAATTTTTTAAAGAAAGAAATCTCAAGTTTTGTATCACTGAAAGCAAATTACACAACAAATCAATGGCGTTTGAATCAGTCTCATAGGTGTTTGCCCTTTGGAGATACAACAATTTAAATGGCCAACTTTGAGTTTCTATTCTGTAAGATTTACATCGGTTACTTTTAGCATGTCTTATAAATCTTATTTTAAAAACCTATCAAAATGCTTAATATCATAGGAATCCCCATTAAATAAACAACAACTTGATTTTTGAGTCAGGTTTTTACCACTTATTACCAAAAAGTTACGACCCCCCCCCCCCCCGACTTTCGCACTGTCCAGGCGCGCGCCCGAGCAAACACCGCGATGCGACCAGACAATGCCAGATGGCCCGCCGTTACGCACGGGCAAAGCATAGTTCCAATCCAGCTCGTACAACGGATAAGTGTCCACGCATTATCACCGTTAATACCGCGGTACCAGACAAAGTCTGGCAATGGCCAATCCCGCTCCAAGTAACACGGAACATGCGTGCATGATATCACTCACTCAGTTCATCAAAGTGACCATGAATTCTCGGATCATCCGATTTGAATCCAATGGCTTCGAAGAATTTTAAGATCATGGCAAGAGGTAGGGATTCCAGAGGTTTTGGCCTTATATCTGTAACCACGCAAAATTAGTCAATTTCAAACCGTGCTTATGCATGTAATAAGTATCAACATGGCTCTAAAAATACAAAAACGTATCCTGGTACCACGAGGAATACTGACTCCTATTATTAAAACATTCATTCAGAACTTTGCATTCATTTGGATGGAAAAACGAATTCTGAAATCGCGCTTTCCATATTGACCATTTGCGCCACACATTACCGTGTGAGCCGGAACTTTCATTGAAATTGCCGTTTAAAAATAAAATCTACTTGATAAATCGTAATTGTTTTTATCATATCTTTATGGGGAAAAAATGGTACGGACTTCTACACACGATCGTACCCAGAAAGTTCAGACTTTTACTGAAACAGTGGCCTATAAAAAGAAATGATTAAGCTTGCCGCACCTTGCCGCAAATTATTTTTAAAGGTCGGGGTACAGAGGCGAAACGAGAAAATGTTGTACAACACTGCGATCAGACTAGTCTACTACCACATGTTATTGTACGCAAATGGGAATGGTGCTAGACTTATGTAGTCTGGCACGCGGTAACAGTTATAATGCTTGCACGCACTTGGAAAGCCGAAGCGCAGGCTAGGCGAAGATGCTACGTACGTGAGTACGTATAATGCAACCATTTCCAGTTCATTCGTGCGTATACATTGTATGCGTTCGTTTCACGGAACCCACTGCGGCAGAATCTGGAGGGTTTGATACGGTAAACAAATAAAATTAATTAGAATAGAAAACACATCAAAATAGGCGGCCTCGAGCCGGCCTCGACCAATTCGCCGAGGCCGGAAGGCTCCGAGGCCAAGGCCGAGGCATTGCACCTCCGAGGCCAAGGCCGAGGCCGAGGCCATGAAAATCGGCCTCGAGGCCGGCCTCGAGGCCGAGGCCGGCCTCGAGACCTCCAACACTGCAAGTGACCTTTTTGAACAGTTGAGTTCTCCCTGTCTGTGACTGTTTATGTAACATGATACAGCTGTGCATCGACTGTAGGCGATTGATAAGCCTCCCATGCCAACCAGTTATCTGTTTTGGTCTGTTGAAAGAATTTGACTACATGTACCTGTAGTAGTCACTGTGCTTAAGCCTGCTGCACACTTTTCCGATTTTACTGGTTTACCGGATCATCGGGCTATCAGACATAGAGATCCGAGAGGTGTGCGCTGAAAAATTGGACCGATCTGACTGCACAGGGGGCGACCGGATGAAATCAAACATGTCTGATATTTCCGCATCCGATTTCATTAGATCCGATGTCACCAGAAAGGTGTGCGGGCAGCGCTCTGATTTCTGACATGATTCAGAATTGACAGCTGCCATTTTGTCATCACCTGACTGGTCATCATGTGACTGGTCATCATGTGACCGATTATAGGACTGAATCGGGCATGTGTGGCAGTAACGTTGCGGTCTCCTCAACGGTGAAAAGAACCGTACCTTTGATCCGTTGAACCGCTAAAATGGAAACGGTGTGCAGCGGGCTTTACTCACCAGAAGTATGATCCGACTGTTGGTGACTAGCTTATAAATTGCCTGTGTAAGGCATGAAAGTGGAACGGACTTGATCGTTTGATCGTCTGTGACCGTTCAGACATCAGGAGGGTTAAACTGAAAATCCAACTCTACGTTTCAGAAGAGTCGGTTCTGAGTACGGAATTGACGACATGCCCATTTCATGCTCACGGTTTAAAATTGAACATCTGTGGAAACTCTACTCAGATTTTGAATTCCTCATGTTTGTGACCCTTTCAAATCCATGTCTGTTTCCTTAACTGTCAAGTTGCCCTCCACGATGAGACAGGTAATGTCAGACACCTTCGTAGAATGTTCCACCCTGGTCGCGGTATTGGCCAGCGGACGAGGAGACCCAACATGCACTTCAGCGGCGGCAGCGGCCTGTCGTCGGGCCAGAGCTCCAGCTCACCCAGTAGTAGGGAGACCATGGATCCCATTGCCGGTGAGTGACGGGGCACTGGAAAGTGTTGCAGTTGAGTCTGGGCGCCAGGCGATAACATTTCCTCAAAAATGGATTTGATTCAAACTCCGTGCACGTCAAACAAAATAATGGGGAAAAAATGGAAATTCAGAAATTGACTTAAGCCCTGCAGCCAATTTCATGAAATAGTGCGTGACTTGCGCTATGCGACAGACAAATTTACTGCGCAGCTGCGCAATAAAGTTACGGTCTTTTTCAAGAAACTTGGCATAGCTGGGCAACGTTTTAAATAAGCTAAACATCTTGGATGAGGATAATAACATATCCAGACGATAGTACCTGAACTTAATGCACTTAACAATATTTGAGGTTCTCAGTAATTTTGCTTACACACTAAGTCATGTGGGAATACAAAAAGGAATTATGCAGAAAAAGAGTTGTATTTTCAGGGATATTTTAGAAGGACATAAATATAAAGAGCCTTTTGTTTTTGTCCCAAACTCATCTTAAGTTTGTCTCAATTTACTAGGTCAAAACTGTATCTCATTTTCAAATTTGGGGACTAAATTCCTTTTTTTTTTCATCTTCAAATGATAAGTTTTGAAGAATTGGTTAAAGACTTTGTCAGTGCTATCGTTATGTTGCCAAAATTAATACACACGTGTTGAACAAGTCCGTTTCTAACATTTTTATATTTGCAGAATTGCTGTCTCAGCTATCAGGAACACGGCGCGTAGCGGGTCACTCCTCCACAGCCTCACAGCTGCAGCAGCTACAAATCATGCAGCTGCAGCTAGAGAGACAACAGCAACAGCAGCAGAGCCAGCAAGGCACAGCAAGGCAGCAGGTATGTACAATCACCATGTGCTTGTGCTTAAACAGAGCATATGGTCTTTCTACGTTTTTCTGTTTACAAGTCTTATTTGTAAACACAAAAATGAAGAAAGTATGAACAAAATATCCAAAAATTAAAATTTCAAGTCAGTCTTGATTTAAGATTTCAAACTTTGCAAGTAGACTAAACAGAAAAATCTTGTATTGTTTTCATTTTAATTACTTCGAGTCAAATGACGATATCATCGTGATGTCTCATTGCATTTGTCTCATACCAGCTTGAACCTAAAGTTAGTTACAACTGGGCAATTCCAGCGTGGAATATGGCATGTCTGTGACAGAGCTTTTAAGAGCTCACTGCATAAACCTGAAAATGTATTTTTCAAATCAAGGAGATAACAGACGAGGAGTTTTGGATCATTTCTCAGAATTAGATATCATTGTATTAATTGCCAGTGTCACGGACATGACACTTCTTTTCAAAGCGATGGAAATGCTCAACTGTATAGTTGAATTCCTTGACAGATATATCATCTAATTCTGTCCACATTTTACATCATTATTTACTTACATTTCTTTGATTTTTCCCTTTATTTCCGGTGCTTAGGTTGAAAGGTTAGCAGTACCAAGGCGGCAAGCGACTGCCGCAGCAGCAGCGTCTGCAGCAGCCGCAGCATCCAGTAACAGTAATCCGGGCCACGGCGCCTCATTGTCTTCATTAGGCGGAGCCGAAAGTGCAACCGTCTCCTCGGCATCACAAAAAGACTCCCAATTTCTCTTATCCAGGTCAGCACACTGGTCACAGTAGTATCGTTGCTTTAACCCTAAACCCCTAGGCCCTTTTTGCTATGAATTATCTTCAATCCTTCAAAATCCTCCAAGATTTTGCACTTATGTTCAAATGAGGGATACCCACTGCCTCAATCCTTCAAAAGCCTCCAACAGCCCTGCCTCTCAAAAATGCATTCAGCCGCAATCCTCCAAAATCCTCCTCTTCTTCAAACACCAGTTAGCCTCAATCCTCCAAAATCAACTGACAATGAATGTCCATGTGCCCTCAGTTCTCCACAATCCTCCAAAATTGTATGTTGCATTCAGCCTCAATCCTCCAGAATCCTCCAAAATCGGACAGAGGACTTTGGAGGATTGAGGATGGTTAAAGTTAATGTGTTCATGCAATGAAATTTTCTTAGGAACATATTCTGTGCAACATTTTCCTCTGAATTGTATGAAAACTATTTGACAACCCTTTTAGGTTAATTTTATTGTAAAGTGCACTTCTTTAGACATTCAAAATATTTCATGCTTTTCAGGACAACTGAGGGGGCTGTTGTTGTGATGTCATTTAAGGAAGACACTGTTCAGTTTAGGGGTTTTATGTTCCAATTGTGAACCCAAAAATGTGCCCATTAAAAACATGTGAGAGAACTTTGCTCATTGGCTTACTGCCATTGCACTGACACAACAACGAATAAAACATCAACTGAAGAAAACAAATAAGCCCTTGTTTTGTAATTGAATAATTACTTTGTAAATCTTGAATGATTTGCAGCCCAACAATAGTCCAGTTCTTGCGCAGTAGTCTGGTTCCTGTAGTACAGGAGATCAGGAACTAGTTTGTCGGGGCCAAAATGGGCTGCTTGTTATGTTGGGTATGATGGTGTTCATTACAGCGACGACCTACTGTGCGAACTTAATTTATCTCAAAGAGTTGCCCTTTCCCCTCGTTCCAACATATTGACAACATTTTTTGTTGTTAAAAATGCCTGATTCAACTAAATGGTACATTGGCATGATTGATCCCAACAAGCATGACAAGATGGCTCAGTCAACTTAGAAGTGGACTTTGCAAGAAAGTGCATCTAATCAAGATGACCATCTCAATATCCATTTCCCCTGTAGAATACAAGAGCCAGTCCTATCAGAGACCGAACAACAAACGCTAGAGGTAGAAAACGCAGACCGGAGCTTCTTCCTCCAAGATCTCATCCTCTCCACCCTGAATGACGACTACGGCGACGCGGACTCGGAACCCGAGGACAACGAACCCGTCATAGAGGGTGCTATAGGCGGCACCAGCGAATTCGAACCCCCCGAAACGTTACTGAAGCTAGATTCTTTGAATTTAAGAGAACGGGAGGGGCCGGCATAGCAGCAACCCAAACAAAGGGGGGACGTAGGAAAAAAATCAAGGATTTCTCTCATAGATTAGCTTGTGTATACCAACAAATTTATCTGTGTAAATTATATATATATATTAAAAATACACACACACACACGAAAAACTGCTAGTTCCAGAATTTACCCAAATTTGAACTGTTTCTGTCTGCATGTGTTGTGCAGGGGTGTTTCTTAAATTTAGTGTTGCACATATTGCCTTTTGGAATAATGTGTCAGTGTTTATAATACTTTTAAAGCAAAACAACAAACAAGGACAGTCTTGCTTTGCACGCTGTGCAGTGTTTCTTTTTAACAAAAAAAATGAAGTTATGTAAAACAGAGTAAAAGTCCATAGTGTTTCAATTGTCCAGCCTTAAAACTTTACATGAAAAAAAGTGATGTTCGTTCAAATATTGGCTATGTCATTTATACATGTACTTTGTGGTAACGTCTCTTTTGCACAATTCAGCGCCACAGTTCTTTGTGAAACGTAAAGGCCCTCCCATGAATTCCGTTGCGTTTTGTTTTCAGTTGCTTCCCCAAAAAATTTGCAGCCATAATCAAAGGAGTATGTCAATAACAGGTGTTCAAATATAATTTATAAATGTTTTAAAAGCCCTTAGTTTTTTCACAGGGAGACTTGAAATCTGCCAACTTTTTTTTTTATAATTGGCAAAAAACAAAATGCTTAACTTATTTCCAATCAGTGTAATTGCATTGCAGGTGCAGTCGGGCTCACCTGCTATCCGGTGACTGCATCATACACACACACGCACCACTGATCACTCTCGCCCATTCACGAAACATGCAACATTGCACTACTTCCGGGTTCCATTGGTTCCAGTGCTACACCATGTGCAGTATGCACAGTTAAAGCTATTGTCCATCATTTGCAGCCATCCGAAAAAGTAACTGGCGTATTATTGTTGAAAAACATACTTGGTTGAAAGATAGTAAGTGGACTAAACTCCCTGTGAAATTAATCTTTCTGGCAAGCTATCATTTTGAAGTAATCAACGAAAGAATGCCTTTCCAACGGTGCGTCTTAAGACGCACCGTAGGAAAATTTAAATTAGTAGTTCGTTTTGTTATTCGGCGAAGCGCGCGCAAGCATTGGCACGACGCACACGCGCGCGCGGTTGCTATAATTCGTCGGATCAGTGCGCGACGTCGCGTATAGCTGCAATTCAAAACAATTCAAAACATAATTCAGTAACTTTTGATTTGAAATTGAGATCCTAGAATGCTGTTTTTCTCGGAATGTACAGCTGAAGCTGAGCTGAAACTTCATCAGGTTAGGTGTTCAGTATCCTTCATTAGATTTTGAACTCTTTTGTTGCTTCAAACGAACAAAATGCACAAATTACAAATGATGGACTATATCTTTAAGTTAAAGTGACGTCACTCTTACGAACCAGATGGGAGTTGAAATTTGTATTATTGTTATTAGTATTATTATTTTTTAAATTTTTATTTGGAGGGGGAGGCGAAGCTTAGGGATAGACACTTGCACGGCAAGCGTGTATGCGTGCAGTATAGGCAAAACAACACTGCATCGCTATCTCGAGCTCCAGATTCTGACCATTCTGAATTTCTGCTCTAACTGACGTCACAACTGGCGCATTAAAGAGGCAGACATGCTTTCCTTGCATTTTTAAGTCTCAGTCGTGTGTGTTGCAGGCTTTCTCTTATAAACTGTTGCTACTCAAAAAAGCAGCTTGCCGACTCAACAAATCATAATACGTTTGCAATTAGGAGTTACTTTCTTGAAGCGCAAAACCTCAATGATTTTGTCACTGTTAACCATTTCACGCCAGGATTATTTTGACATTGACTGGACCCAGGCGCGGGATTGTCATCTGCGGGTAGCACACCCTGATATTTCCGGCCTCGCTCGCTGCGAGTGGGTCGCAGACAGATATTTCCGGCCACGCTCGTTGCATATTTATCAGTCATCCATTCCGAATACTTCAAAACCTTTGCGTGACGTGAACTGGTTAAATTCTTTTAAAGTTTCGCAATAAATGATGAATTGTGTCATTGCCGACAACCAATTACAATCTGTGAATTGTAAAAACAAAAGATGTTGAAAGATGAATGTGGTTTTTTTTAATATTGAGACTTGGAAACTCTGTTTAAAACCAGTTGTGTTTAACCACAATCTTTTTCCGGTTTCAAATGCGGACATTATTGGATAAAGCAGATAGTGTCATAGTTTTTGACATGATTTTGACAGTGTCATAGTTTTTGACATTATTTTGACAGTGTCATAGATTTTGACATGATCTGAAACACTAGTGACTGCAATATTATTTCACCTTCTGGATTTTCTTAGCAACAGGGTTTTCGCACCTCATGTTGTGCATTTATTGGTCGTTTCTCATTTATTATAAAGAGCTGTTAATAAAAATCGGCATTACGGTTCAAAGGTCAAACGTTCATAATGTCCAAAATTGTTGTAATAATATTTAGTGCCTAAGACTTGTCAAGTTGTCAGTTCGTCGTTTGGACAACAAATGGTCATATGTTGCCCATAATGGTACTTGTCAAAAAAACAAATGCATTGTGATGTCAATTGATTCCTTTTATTAAAAAAAACGAAAAAAATATAATCGAAGGAGTTATTTTCATTGCAACAGTTGAAAAGATTTAAAGTTTGTCACAAGGTCTAGCTATTTGTCAAAGTTTGGAAATTTTGAGGGCTTTTTTTGCTTTGGAGAGATTGACGATGTTCTGAATTATCTGTGAAATAAGAGGCGTCTTTTAATGTACAAATTAAAAGATATCCAGTTGCCAGTCCTGTTTTCATTTAATTTTACATTTAACATGTAGATTTTGAAAGGCAAATTTGTCAAAGGGCATGATCCGCTGGTGCTGGAAAACAATTTTCAACAAAGTTGACACAGATTTTTGTCTTGCAATGTCGTCAATTTTTCTTTAGATTTAAGCCAAATTCCTGATACATTTCTGCTAGGAATTTTCCTAAATCCTCACAAATCCACTACTGTACATGAACCTTACAATTTCAATCCCATGTTCAATGTCACTTTTAGGAAATGTTAAAAAAAATGTGAAGGTAGGCAATTTTCAATATTAATCGCAAAACAGGATGTTCATTATTTGAACACAAGCTATTTGGTCAGCTCCTATAACACAGGAGATTTCATCTTTCACTCGTTAGGAAAACGATCAAAGTTTGTCAGAAGCATTTTTTTTTACTCATCAACATGGTAGATGAAAAACAAAAAAAATAGAGTTGATTGCAGCTCCCACAAATAACCGCTGTTATAAAGCTCAACTTGGTGTTTTGTCAAAGTGTATTAAACATTGATTTTCCTTCTTTTTTAAATTTTCTTCTATTTGTTCCTTCTGTTGTTCTCAATTTCGCCTTTGTCCCTCCTCTTCAACCGTTCACCCCTCCCCCCCCCCCACGATTCCTGTTTTTATGCCCCACCCACTCTCCCTCATCAGATTTGGCTGTATAAAAAAAGTGCAACTGAGAGGTTATCATTATGCTGTCATTAAAAGTCTTGAGAAGCGATAGAACATGAGAAAATGCATCAGTGATCGTCTTATCTTTTCCAACATTTGTGTGAGTGTTTGTCGCCCAAGTTCCTTAGTGGTCTCACAACTACCACTGGGCGAGTAACTCGATTACTTGCGAGTAGTTTATGCTACTCATTCTACTCATGGTGTTTCACCTACTCGAATACTCGTCCTGGCCCTTGTAGAAACAGGTACTTACGAGTAGCAAGTTAGGGTTTAGGGTTCAAGGCTTAATACGTCCCCTGCAAACAGGGAATCTCTCCCTCCACCTCTCTCTCCCTAGGATTTCATTCGTCCAAAAACAAAATTGCCATAAGTCACACAGTAAGGATATCTCAGTGCTGAAGAATGTAGTGCGACTTGCACGCTATTTACTTGTGTAGCGCAATGCATTTTATGGAGGGCGCACTTAGTTCTCTACTGGTAGCCGGCGGGGTGCGCGTGCACTCACCCAGGTTTATGGGGGCACCAGCCAATTAGCGCCAGTGTATATAAGCGGCCATGCGCTCAGCTTCGCCCTCTTTCTGCTGTGGCCGGAACCCGAGCGCGGTCTCAGGAAAAGTTGCACTATTCTAATCTCCCACAATTAACCAATCACCAATCACCTATAGTCGCAGCGGAGGGAGCCTCATACTTTGTGTGAGTGTAGCTAATTAATGATTCCTGCATTATAATCCAGATAATTATGTAATCTCTGAGTTTGTAAGGGAAGTGATTGAATAAAAGATCACGTAGGCGAGGCGCCTGGGTAGGCGAATAAAATAATCTTCCGAAAGACATATCTGGTGTCAGGTCCCCATCCTTACCCAGTCCCCCTAGTTAGTCCGCTTGGGTTGTGTGAGCGAGAGAGCGTGTAAGGGTGATCCTTTGGTAGTCTGCTGCGGGCCTGGCGGTAAATCTCCGCCGAAACGGATCTGCGTACCGTAGAGGCTAGGCCGTTCGCCGCTACTCGCCGGGGCAGTCGTCCGAGGCAGTACCGCTACAAATTGGTGTCAGAAGTGGGATAGGCGCCGTTGCTTCACTGCTAAAAATCACCTACGCCTGTGACATCACCTAGTTAGGAATCATCACCCCAACAATCTACAACTACCACTATTAACCGACATGGCCGCCGACGAGATATCCGTGGAGGACGAGCTGATGTTGCTGGGTATGGACGTGCAGAAGGGCGAGGACGAGTTACAACAATCCCTTGCCGAGAACAGCGATCTGACAGAGATAAAGGAGTTGCTGCTGGCGCAGAATCGCCTGTTAAGATTGCAGCTTCGCCAAAGTGAGGCCAAGTCAGAGGCAGCACAGCGGAGGGAAGATAAGACGCCCAGCACGTCGATGACGACCCAGTTCGGCAGCCGTGAACTTTTCACATTCACAGACACCCCTACACCAGTGCCATCACCAAGGCCTACCCCCAAACCCAGAACGAGATTTTATAATCCCGTTGCACCAGCGCCTACACCAGTGTCTACGATAGGCGTCCCGTCGCGGACGGTGGACGAGTTGACAAGCTGCGGCGAGGAGGGCAGTCTAACGGAGTTGACGCCTACTGGTCATTCGACCGCATGCCGGCAGCCGGGGACCCAAGGAGGAGTTCCGTTGCAGTCTGAGAAAGACGCAAGCCAGAGGGAGGGCGAAAACTCCCCTGACCTTCAAGGAAAGGAGGTCGAAAACAAAGGAGAAGTTGAGGTGAAAAGTGAGGTGGATGTTCCTACCAGACGTCCGAACATCATCCCCGACAGATTCAGCGGGAAGACCCCGTGGCGAAATTACAAGCAGCATTTTGAGGCCTGCAAATTGGCGAACAATTGGAGTGATCGGCAGGCGAGAGTGTTTTTGGCGGCGAGCCTGCAGGGTGATGCGGTCAAGGTGTTAGGAAATCTAGCAGCAGGCGGTAGTCAAGTGACTTACACTGAGTTGGTTGGGCTGTTGGAGAAGCGGTTTGGACCAGGAGAGCTTGCGGAAAACCACCTAGCGGAGCTGCGGCATAGGCGACAAAAACCTAAAGAGACGCTGCAGGAATTGGGACAGGCGATAAGGCAGTTGGCTTCACTCGCCTACCCGGAATTGTCAGAGGAGGGGCGTGATCGCCTAGCCAGGGGGCACTTCTCTGATGCGGTGGAGGAACAGGCTATCCGGGAAGGGATCTTTCGAGCAAGACCGTCATCACTGGACGAGGCTATCAGAGCTGCACTAAACATTGAAGGGTTCCTTAAGATAGAGGAACAGCGGCCCAAGTACGCCCGAGTAGTAGAGGGCGATGCCGAGTACCCCCTGTCAGAAGTCAAGCGGGAGATGAAAGAGTCGGCTGAGAAAAATCAGCGCGAGGTGAGGGAGTGGCTGGAGAAGATGACCCAGCGACTTGACACCCTCCGGCCTCAAGAGAGGAGCGATCGTTCGCGTGTCGCCTACCAGAGGCGAAAACCAACCCCAGAGGACGTTTGCTTCAAGTGCAAACGAAAAGGTCATTTTGCAAGGAGTTGCAAACAACCCAGAGCAGAGAAGAAAATGAAGGTCGGGAAACGACCAGCAGCTGCCCCAGAGGCCCGTGGGAACGCAGGCGGAACAGCAGGGCCAGAAGGCGCCGGAGAGAATTTAGGCGAGAATATCGAAGGCGACAAAGAAACCTCAACAAGTGCAAGTAAAACAGCGGGCAATGGCCTATTTGTGCCGGCTATTGTGAGAGGGGTCAGAGTAAAACTTCTTGTTGACACAGGGGCAACACACACTGTGTTGTCGTCTCAACTTTATTTCAACATTTCCAGGGACCAAAGACCAAGACTTACAACCTTAGGCGCAGGAGTAAGGAACGCCGATGGGAGTAGGATGGAAACACTCGGTAGCGCATGGGTAGAGATTCATGTTGGCAGAACAACTTGCTCAACTAATGTAGTCTTCGGCAACACGGGTGAAATTCAAGGAATATTAGGAATGGATTTCCTGCTTCAAACTCAGGGCACCCTAGACTTCCGGACGCTAAAGCTGAAATTAAACGGGGAGACGATCAAGTGCACAGACGGCTTGTCACGTAAGCCACAAAGCGATGAACAGGCAGAAGCGCCAACGCTGACGACACCTGTAGGTGAAGTGAGGAGTGTGACCATTTCGCCTACCATCACTTGCACGGAGATAAGAGAGGCGCAGATGGAGGACACATCAAATAGCAGGGTGCTTAAGGCCAAAGAGGAGTTGACAGTTAGACAATGTAGTGTCTGTGCGAAGTTAAAATCCACTGCCAAGGCTTGGAAGGCGCCACCGCAGCAGCCCAAGAAACAGTCAGCAAGGAGAAATGGGAAAAACATGGAGGAGAAGAGTACACCTCGTAGCGATTCTGATGGGGAGAAGACGGAGTGTCCAAAATGCGGTCTGCAGCTGCACAAAAGAAGTCTGGAGGGACATCTGGCAGGCGAACATGGAGAGAAACAGGTTTTCTCGTGCCGTAGGTGTTCCCACAGAAACAACAGGCGAGACAATCTCAAAGCACACTATCGTGATTGCCACCCGGAACATGTTGATGAGGTGACAAACATCAAGAGTGAAGCGCACGAGTCCAGCAGGCGAGACAGGAGTCGAGGTGAAGGTGAGCCAAGGCGCATGGAGACTCCGGGGAGCCGTGACCGTGTCGATGTAAAGGTGACAAGGCGAGCTTCCCCTGAGAGGAAGAGGAAGCCGGAAGGAGCCACAGGCAAGCGGCATGGAAGTAAGGCTCCTCCAGAAGAGCAGCCTACCAAGAAGCAAAGAAGAAGTGATGCAGTGCCCTGTACTGTGTCCAAGGCACCTGAGGATGAGAAAGCTCTACCTAAAGGCGCGGAGGCGAAGAGAAGTCTTCCAAAATCGGCAGGGCCACCGCAGCGGCAGGGTATAGGAGGACCTGAGTCGCGTGGGGTAGCAGAGGCCGCGAGGGCGCCGAGGGCACAGCCATCAAAGGTGGGCGGAGAGGCATCCGGTAACCTTCCAGAGGTAGATGCGATGGTGGAGATCGAGTCGGCAGAGCAACTCGTAGGATCACCACTAGAGGAGGCAGCGGAGATAGCTTTGTCACCTATGTCAATGTCATGGGACATTGACGAGGCTCCTGTGAGCAACGTACGTCCGACGCCTGCAGGAGGAAAACCCCTAAGTATGATGAGGGAGATGAGGCAGCAAGGCGCCGAACAACAGGCGATGTCGTCGGATGAGTCTTCCACGGGGAGGCAGGAAGATGGCAATTCACCTAGGGAGTTGCGGGTTAGCTATTTGCTGTCGGGGCTTTCCGTGAGGATCACTGAAGGTGGGCACACAGAAATCATAACTGGCACAACCCAAACCGTGCACGAACGCCGTGCGCGCCACTACGACGTAGTATTCCTAAGGCCCCCGGCTCCCATTGTGAGCTCAGGAGCTGATGACGACAAACAACCTACAAGGATCTGCCGGCTGATGAGGAATGAGGACGCTGGTATCATAGGCGCCGGACCCCCGATGATTAACGAGGAGCTCGAGAGGAGCATGATTGGAAACATCACCAAGATAACGGAAACGGAGACGCGCAGTGTTTACCAAGAAGGAATGCTGGTGACCAAGGACCAGACCGAGCGGGTCTTCAATGTGAATTTCCTGGCAGGAGTTCGCTAAGATGAACATGAACATTGAACTTTAGGCGGGCAAATAGAAGAGATATTTGCGCCTTTCGTTAAACCTAAAGTCATGTTGGCTATATCTTTTATATAAATGTTGCACCTAAGTTTTGTGCCTCAAAGTTCTCGTTAAGGTTTATATAAGAGTTTTGAAGTTGTTAGATTTATGATGCTGTTAAGGTTTATATAACAGTTTTAAGCTTGTTCAATTTATAAAGATGTTAAAGTTTATCTCAGAGTTGTAACCTTGTTCTTTAAGTTCAGTTTATAAGGATGCCAAAGTTTATTTAAGAAGTTTAAACTTGTTGAGGAGAATCACCTACCAATGTTCTAAGGCGATAGTCGTGTAGGTGTCACTAGGATTATCTCTGTAAAGTGCAGCAGACTTTTGGGAATAATTTGATTTAGAGATTATGCATTGCTTTTATTTAAGTAATCAGTTTTGAGGTCAGGGACTGACCGAAACTTGGAAGGCGCCTGTGTAGCGCAATGCATTTTATGGAGGGCGCACTTAGTTCTCTACTGGTAGCCGGCGGGGTGCGCGTGCACTCACCCAGGTTTATGGGGGCACCAGCCAATTAGCGCCAGTGTATATAAGCGGCCATGCGCTCAGCTTCGCCCTCTTTCTGCTGTGGCCGGAACCCGAGCGCGGTCTCAGGAAAAGTTGCACTATTCTAATCTCCCACAATTAACCAATCACCAATCACCTATAGTCGCAGCGGAGGGAGCCTCATACTTTGTGTGAGTGTAGCTAATTAATGATTCCTGCATTATAATCCAGATAATTATGTAATCTCTGAGTTTGTAAGGGAAGTGATTGAATAAAAGATCACGTAGGCGAGGCGCCTGGGTAGGCGAATAAAATAATCTTCCGAAAGACATATCTGGTGTCAGGTCCCCATCCTTACCCAGTCCCCCTAGTTAGTCCGCTTGGGTTGTGTGAGCGAGAGAGCGTGTAAGGGTGATCCTTTGGTAGTCTGCTGCGGGCCTGGCGGTAAATCTCCGCCGAAACGGATCTGCGTACCCGACCGTAGAGGCTAGGCCGTTCGCCGCTACTCGCCGGGGCAGTCGTCCGAGGCAGTACCGCTACACTTGTAAGTTACTTCACGTCACACTAATGCATACATGTATGTCATTTTTCTGCTTTTATGGGAATTCGGTTATTACTACTTGAGAATAATTGACTACTCGCGAGTAATTTCTCTGCGAGTACTCGAGTAGAAAAATCCATTACTTGCCCAGGCCTACTCACAACACGGTCCAGATAAACAACTTCAGACCAAAGAAACAAGGACTTCATTTTTTAGTGTTAAATATCATTTATTGACTTGTAATGATGCACAAGAAATATTGGAAAAAAACAACATGATCCTGCCTGGATGCATAAACATGTAAATGTGGTTGAAAAATCTGTCTATCCTCCTTCCCTTTACAACAAACAAATATCCCTGTCGACACTCCTTAACCCTTAGTCCCCATCCAGTCAAACTCCAACCCCAGGGTTTGTTGGAATCTGTTAGAGTGATTACTGCACTAGTAAATTGATTATGCTTCACTTGGGGTTAGGCATACCACCAATAATCAAGAGTCCAACAGTTTCTGTGCACAGTTTACCATGTGGTGTTGGAATTTGCAGGAGTGAGGAAGATTCCTAGTAAATCACTCTAGGGGGTTAGGGTTAACGATAAGTTTTTGGGTCATTCTGTAAATTTGGGGTCCACTTTTTTCCTGTCCTTGTTACATCTGACATATATGATTTTATAATTTTGATGAATTCCTTAATGCAACACGATTTTCTACTAACAGAGCCTCCATCTATTTCACGGAGACCGTAAACAGTAAGCAAACAAAAGGCATGCTTACCTCGGAGGAAAAAATTACTTAAATTAGTGACGAAACAATAGAAATCACCATGCGCGCGCAGCCTTTTGCAAATGAAATAGTGCTTATAAGGTTAGCCCAATTTTCTGCTATAGTAAGCACAACTGTAAAGTAGCCCCATAAACTTGGGCCCTGCTGCACTGCAGGTTGATGAAGATGCTGATGTATTGCTGGCAGGTCCAACTTTGTTGAAAGTGTCGATCGTGCTTGAGCAGCGATGTTTGATTTTCAGGACGTTCATGATTTCTTGAACTTGAAGCTCTTCAAAGGATCGGCCGCGTTTCTCCTCTGTAAAGAAATGTTATTCATATGGCTTCGTAAAGGTGACTGTAAAACTGTTGCCTAGTGGTTAGGGTTTGTGACTCATGATCAGAGGGTCAGGGGTTTGAATCCAGCAGCTGGCCACATGTCGAGTCCTTGGGCAAGCAACTTCACCTCCGCCTTGCCTCTCTCCACCCAGGAGTATTGGTAGCGGGATTAGCTGGGGAGCATGCCGTGAAACCCTCTTTTAGGAGAAAACCCGAGTACAGAGCTTACATTCGGGTTTTGGCCCGAGCCCGTATAGTTGGGTTTTTGCCCAAGCCCGTACCAGGATTTCAGCTCTCTCTTATCTCAACATTTAATCCCCTTGGCAGAGTGGCCATCACCAGCAGGAAACGATTATTATTACTTGACTGAATGCCTTGCTAATTTTGCTTAACTCCTTTTTGTGTGGCCTAAATACACACAAATTTTCAATAAATATAATATCCAGAGCCACATTTGCTCGTGTCCATTAAGGAAGCCATCTACATGTATTGTATTTTTGATCGTTGAAATTGGTGCACAAACAACAGAAAATCCTGAATTGTGGGACTGTGCATATATCCATATATGACTAGCTGATATTTGACTGATTATCAAGAGGAAAATTAGGGCTAATATTTCTCACGGAAGTTCTTAAATCATGGAAACATCATGATCAAGTACCTCTATGACCATCTCATGTTTCAAGACTGTTACTCTCAGTATAATTTGAAATGTGACTGGCAATACCAATTGGAAGGCCACCATTTGATTTTCAGTTCCTCACCTTTTTCTTGGCAAATCTGGACTCCCTCGGGCCCCTGTGCTTCCGTTTCCTTGTAGTAGGACCTTTGAAAGAAGCTCCTGATGTGCTGGCTTTTAACGTCTTGGGCACTTGAGTAATGGAATAATTTAACACACAATTGAATACATCCAAATATTGAAATAAGATGGGAAATATGTAAGAAAATTTCCTTGAAGCAAATTTACCTCTTGTGTACAAACGCAGGCTTTGGTCTTGCAGCAAACAAAATAGCATTTGTCCAACTAATACTCAGTGGTAAAGGAGTTCAAACCCAAACGGGGAAAATGACGTTTGTGTTCTTGGGCAAGACACTTTGCAACAACTGTCTCTCCTGATCCAGGAGTATAAATGAGCACCCATGACAGTAGAGGAAAGTCTGCGTTGATGTTAAAACTACTGAACAAAAATGATCTTGTGGAAAGATAACACACTTGTGAAGCGTTTTGAGACCTTTTGATACAGCCCTATATATGCAACACATTATTTCAATTAACAATCAATATTAATTAAGATTTTATAATCAAATCAATGAACAACATCCTTAACGACTGCTGCACGAAGCCCATCTTAACCAGTGTTGCAGGCACACCCTCTCACCTAGGTACTCTGGAACGTTTCTGAGGTCCGAATGCACTTTAGCCGGGTGTAGAACCTTGTCATGGCGGAGCAGCTGGATGTCTCGCGGGTTGTCATCAAAGTACGTCTTGAGCGTCTTCGACTGGAAGATCTCGTGTTTGATCTCCTTGACGCGGGCTTCCCGGATCGCGACCCGCGTCACCGCCCGCATGGCGTCCTTGCAGCGGTAGCGGAAGCCCTCGATCTCAACCATCTTGAATTGGTAGGGACGGATGAGCGAAGTGCCATCCTCTGCACGATCAGAAAGATTTTGGGTGAGAAAAGGACAAATTTACTGGCATGTCTTAGGACCACACTATTATACAGCTACATCATGGCACACAACGAGGGGCAAGGCTGACGCAGTGGTACTTTACTTGCCTCTATGGCCGGAGTTCAAATCCCGTCCAGGTTAGACTGGGTGTTTAGTCCCTGATTTCACTGGGTTATCTAAAGAATATTTATCAGGATATTTCCTCCCACCTCTGAAAATGGACACTTCTTCATTGTTTTCTCTTTACTGGTTTCTCTAGAACTGTGATCTACATGCAGAGTGCCACGGCTGCTTTTCAAGGACTATATATTTAATTACCAGATATTACTAACTTTCAATTGACTAAGTGCATTATAATAAGTTTAACAAAGAAATTGACTGGAGCCGGGTTTGAACCTGCCACCTCCGGATTGCCGTTCCAGTGCTCTACCAACTGAGCTATCCAGTCCTATGTTGGCAATTTCACATTTAATCAATGTCTTTGTTCAAGGGGCACTAGATATTACTAAAAATAATTACTACCAACTATTTTCGGATGATTAGTAAGCCTACATATTTATTCCTAAAAGGAAGGATAAATATTGACATAGATAACAAAATAACAATGACAGAATTCCAAATTAAAAAGATTTTGTTTTATAGCACATCCTGTAGAATGTTTATTCTTGATTTCCCATGCCACTAAAAGTTCACAGATTATAATAGTTGAGTGAGATGTATTTCTTAAAGGGAATATACAACATTTGCAAACATCAAAAAATAAAACTACCAAGTTTTTACGAAATACCTTACTAGGATGTTGGTAAATGACAGTCTCAAGCATCTTGTCAAATTATGGCACCTGGTGTGAAGTCATTTTCAAGAAAATGGTATTTTTGTATACATTTCCAACGGTGGTCGGCTGACCAGCGTTGGAAAAACCTAACTATTTTTCAACTACTGCTCCAAATTTACCATTTTTTCCAGTCCAAATTTTGTTTGCTATTGATTACATGTTCATGAACGGGTGCAGGCCAGCTAGACTGGTTCCCTTGCCTTACAATTTTCCATCATCTATAAATTGATCCATTTTATCTTTTGTGGAGTCAGGGAACCAGACTACTTGAACATTTTTGTTTTTCTTGGTTTTTCCAACCTTTTCGAACACAAAACTTCAAAAATGTCAGTGTAACAATCTTTGATCTATTATACTAACCCCTCAAATAGTTCATTTCTGAAAATTACAGCAAAAGCCAATGATGTACATGCCCTTTAAGTCGCCAATAATGAAATGTTTTTACCTTTAACAAGATATTTTTCAATATCTTCTAATATTTCCGTCTCAGTATCGTTGACGAGAGACAAAGCTGTTCCTTTTGTATCACCACGAGCAGTCCTGGGGTACAAAAAAATAGAGAAAATTGACGATTACCCATTTCTTTTTCTCATTGTAGCCGACACCTCAAATGGCCAGTGTGGTAATACAGTCTATCACAAGTCCGGTCAAAAGTAAATATCAAATCAATTCAGACAATGACAGGCGATGCGCAACAACAAAGGAATGCCTTTGTCATTGTTCTTTTGAATAGGTTGTGACTTGTGATTGACTCGACAATAACATAGCATATGGCTTTGTCTTCTGCCTAGTGTTTTTCCTAAAATTAAAAAAAAACCTGGTAGAAAGTGCTCAACAAACGTACCCGTAGTGAAGGGAAAAAAGAAGAGTACAAATGCGTACTTTTCACCAATATACAAGTCAATGAAACACACTGATCTTTTCCATGACAATTAAACTACAGTTCCAAACTGCCCTCACTGGACTCCATCTTTGGAGTTTCAACACTAGAGGGCCTAGTTGGTACACATATCCAATCACTGACCTTTACACTAACCGGACTGGCTGACAATGCCCACGCATTGAAGCAACCGTCTGCCATCTTGGGACACCCATGATGCATACACAGGAAATGCAATTTTGTTTTTACGGGACGTTGGTATAGGACTTCTTTTGCAGAGTTAAGGTGGTGAACAGGAATTGTATTTTCTGACCAGCATTTCAGATTTAATTAATCCTAGTCCTAGGACTGGCCACCATCCAAAGAATTATCGATTATTTGGGGAATGGTTGTTTGAAATTAAATAGAAAAACCTCCACGGCAGAAATTTTTGGGGACCCAAGATGGTGGCTTAGTTGCTTCAAGGCCCATTGTAGCAGCTAGTCCTGTTAGTTCCAAGGTCAGTTTACCCAATGCACAGCCTACACTCACCTGCCAACCCTGTGGATGTATGACTTGATGGTCGGCGGAAAGTCAAAGTTGATGATGTTGGCCACGTTCTGGAAATCGATCCCTCGTGAAACGCCGTATTCTCTGCTCTTACCCTTTTTGGATTTCGATCTAAAAAGACATCAAATGTTTGTGCAAGTTACACAAATGTATGCACAAATGTATGCACAGTGCACAGAACGTGCACAAATATTCTGTGTATATTTATGCAAAATGTATGTAAATATTTATCTATAAATTGTAATATCGTGAGTCCGTATTTAAGAATTTCGTTTATGATAATGCTACGTGTTCTAAATCACATGAAACACCCACATATGACCTACATAAACAAAATCACCAAATAAGTCAATTTCTGAAATACGGCAAAGGCAAAAACAGCAAATTGTCTTACACCCACAAAACGTTTTAAAGATATTAAGTGAAGTAAACTTCTCCAATATTACTTAACAAAACACAAAAGAAATCAAGAAGCTTTGAACAACCTCATAAATACAAGTGCAACTTGCAAATACTTACTGAATAAATAAATCTGATTAATCTACTAAGTTCACTCTACAATCTACTAAGTTCCAAACTCACTTTTTCCGCTTGCCTCCTTGCTTGCCCGTGCCCAGTGAGCTTTCGTCTGACGCAACTATGATGTCATACAGACCGGTGTTGAACTGCTCCACTATGTGACATCTGGAGTTGACTGGCAGTTCAGAGTTGAGCACGCAGCCAGGGATCGAGAATTGCTCCAGAAACAACTTCAATCTAAAAAGTAAAGGCAGCAGAATTGGGCTTTCTTTTAGGTTGTGATGGCCGGAATGAGATGCAGGATTGGAGCAGTTTAAGAAAAAGTAACAGAGAGTTTTCACTCTTTTTAACCCTCCTAGTCTTCTGCACTGCCCAACCCTTCAAGTTTAGCAAAACCACTTTTGCCCACAGAGTTAGCAACCAAACTTCAACTTCTTCTAAGGTATTATTCTGCAGAGTATGGATAACACTCCATATCCCTGCACAATTCTTTTGTAAGGTTAAGCTCAGGGCAAGCAAGCGGATTCAGTCACGCTTCACTGCCTGAAACTGTTCTTAAAAGATGTTACATATTGCTCTGAAAATTAACCTCCCACTAAGAGGGTTGAATTTAAAAATTTCAGAGGAACTAAAGCAGAATTAGTGAACCTTTTGGCAATAAACTATCAAGTGGTATGCAAGATTTGGTTGTTTGCAGACTCCAATACCATTTCAATTAATTTTATGCTAAACTTTCTTGAGTTTTCAGATGATGTATTGCACACATTTTGACACCCCTATTTACAAAACTTGAGTATGTTGATTCCTATCTGAAGTGTTAAATGTTAACTTTTTTCAATTGACAATTCACAGGAAAAAGTGCCCGTACACGGATAATAGTGTGAAGTATAAAACGTGATAATTACGAAACAATTTGTGCAACTGGATTCAAACTTTGCAAACGTACTAATCTTGGATGTCTTTCTTAACATTCAAAATTTCACAAAATTCTCTGATGGGACAGACGAACACAGAATCTTTTCCGTTCCCTTCAGCTGTGACAGGGTCAAAACAAAGTCAAAAACTACTCCCTACCTGTAGGATTTATCAATGTCGTTGACGAAGATGATGGTCTTTCCCCTGACCAACCGCAGCTTGAGTAACGTGTACAGGAGCAGAAATTTGTCTTCCTCTCCGCATTTGACGTGGTACTGGGTCAGCTGGTCCATGTCTGGCAACTGGGATTCCTCCAGTTTTAGTGTTATCTGAGAGAAGGGAGAAAGTTGGAGACATTTTTTAAAGACCCTTTGATGGACTTTGGGTCTTGGAAGGAAAAAATTCCTTGCACCTTGTACCTTTTACCTTGTAGATTAAAACATCCAGAAACTTCCTTGTGTGAGTATAACTGGAGACTTGATGAGAGTGGATTACCCGACTGATCATCAATTGGAAACTAGGTACAGATGTTGCACAAACGATTGAATGGGATTATGTGTTCCACATGTCAAGTGATTAGATTTGATTATTATTATTTATTATTATTATACCGGAGTCTTATATAGCGCACGTATCTACCAACAATTAGGTACTGAAGGCGCTGGAAATTATGTCTATTATTAAAGACAGGTACATGAAGTTTATGAGAAATATGAGACCCATTATTTAGCACCTCATAAGGGTTTACCATGTGCTGCGGCACATATTACAGCCACTGCCAGAAACACCGGGGCAAACCCCTTCTCTTATCAATTAAGTGTTACTGGGTTTTTAATGTGCATTACACAACACATGGGACCTACGGCTTTACGTCGCATCCGAAGATTAGAACGTACCGTACTGTTACCTATCAGTAGCTTTTAGCCTTGTAATGGGTGATTTCCATTAAAAAAACCCAATTATTCCTCTGCGAACTTACAGGATTGTGAAGCACCAACTTTTTCAAGGCCACCACTTCGTCGCTCAGAGTGGCCGACATGAGAAAGGCTTGGTAGATCTTGGGCAGGAAGGGCAGGAGAGCCTTGAGGTCCGCCTCGTAGCCGAAGGAGAAGATGAGATCAGCTTCGTCGATGACTAGGACCTCTAAGCTGTCCACCAGGGTGAGGTTCTGGGCCTGGAGGTGGGCTAAGAGGCGGCTCGGGGTACCCACGATGATGTCTGGCTTCTCCATGAGGAGGGGCCTGAAATAGTATACAATGTGGGGCAAGTTTGAGTTAGAAATATGGTAACCATAATTTGTATATTCTCGGTCGAACCCAAACTAGTCAACGGTTTGAAATGCGTTGGAGCAATCAGTCAAAATCTCATACATTTACTTTATTTTCCTTTGAGGAACAATTCTACAGAGCAGTAATTTAGAAAGAAAAGGTGATCGACCGATGGCAGTGCGATCAACTGATAGTGGTACAATTGCCGATAGCACAGCGTGATCGACTGAGCAATGGCACAGCACAATTGGGCGGTAGCCCAGATCTACCAATGGTGCCCAAGATATACACATGTATAGATTTCAAGGAGGTTTCAAGAACCAACCTTTGAGCAGCCAAGTCTACTTGTACTGATACATCTGCACACTTGACCTCTCTGGAACAGCAACTCGTCAACTCCTGGGAGGGACAAAATAAAATGACAATAATGTGTCAATATGGTTGACAAATTATCTACAAAACAAGGCACAAATACCACTTCAAATAAAAAGGGAACACAATTATACAAAAAAAGAAATGAAGTGAAAAGCTTCAATGGAAATTTGAGAATTCCTGTTTGAAAGTTCAGGCACTCAAGGGGTTATAACTGAAAAAAATGTTTTAATCACAACAAACCACAAACATAAGTCGGCATTGAAAGACTTTTGAAATGTTGTAAATAGCGTAAACCCTAATACCCTGCAACATTCTTGAAAATCAACCAGAATCCTCTAAAATCAACCAGGCAGTGTTGGAGGATTGAGGCTGTATACCAGTTTATTGCCAGTGGATTTTTGATGATGTGCTGTCAAGGTCTAAAGCTGTACCTTGTGTTGTTTATGCCTAGCCATGAATAAAGTATGCCTAGATTATACTAGATATCATCCTCACTGCCTCAATGTATCACAGTAATTGTTGGAGGATTTTGAAAGATTTAGGCAGTTCTCACCCTTTTGCTGAACAGACTCAAAAGGATTGAGGCTGAATCCAATATTTACACGGAGGCAGTTGGGGTATTCTGAAGGATTGAGGTATGCATCGTGATAAAAGGTCTAGGGGGTAGAACACACTTTACATTGGCCGTGACGCCCCTTGGGTTTTGGCACACTTGAGGATTTTGGAGAATTCAGGAAGCTTACTGACAACAAAAAATGCATGACTGATGAAGTCCCATGAACCGACTCACCAAGATGTTCTTATATGCCTGACTGCAAAGCTCTCTGGAGGGTACCATGACCACAGCTCGTACAGCCTGCTCCCTGGCTGTCTATAGAATAAAAGACAAGAGAAACCAAACTTGAAATTCTTCTTTTCTGTCATAAACAATTTAACTGTAGTTATAAAGGGAGATTACTAATTAAAGATAGCAAATTTTTTTTTTTATTGATATCACAAAACACAATGCTTGAAGTAACCTAGAAAGAATCCGAACACTAATTAATAGAGGATGGACTTTACAGAGTTGAAAACACAGAATTGTAAGAGAAAAATATTGTTAATGCCAAATGTTGACCGAGTGGCATGTGTTGACATGCATGTTTCTTTGTCAGATTTTCGAAACAGATTTGAAAATCAATTTACCTGTTTACTTGACAGTATTCTCTGGACAAGAGGTATGGCATAGGCCGCCGTCTTTCCTGAGCCTGTCCGTGCTCTTGCAAGCAAATCTTTGCCTTCCAGGGCCAGGGGTATGGCTCGTTCTTGGATGAGGGTGGGCTTAGACCAGCCAAGCTTGGCTATGGCCTGCAGAATTAGAAAGAGGAAAAAAAGAGACAATGAGACAAACAGTTCTCCAAATTTCCTGTGGGAATTACATGGAAAATAGATTTAAGACTATCTGTTTTAGTTTTTCCCATATACTGCTCACCAACTTCAGTGTACTTCAACCCCAAAATAAAGTTGTAGAACATTCTATATTTCAAAGCTGAAAAAACCCACAAACTTTCCCCACATTCTTTTTCAGTGAATGGTTTTCAGACTTAACTTTCCCTTAAAAAATACCCCACAGCCAAGAAAGGTTATTAATGGGTGGTGTTAAAAAATGTTAAAAGTCCAACGTTTATACCCTGGGTCGGCTACATGGCTTACATGTATATGTAGCTACATCTGTTCCTTGCTCCATGCATGGAGGAATAAAAACACGGCTATGTACTTTATCCTGTTTTGGGTATCCTGCAACGCTATGGGATTATAAATCCTGCAATGATAGGGCCTGCTTTGAAAATTGTGTATGTTAGGGACTCTCATACACAGTACTGAGAGTCCCAAATTTTCGGACTAGGCCCGACCATGCCGACCTATCTGGATTTTGTGCCAAATTGCCAACCTCAAACTTTTTATTGCCATATTTTGCCGAACAAGACATAACATTCTTGCCTTCTTTCTTTAATTTTTGGAGTGGGGTAGCCTCGTTTATGTAATACTAATAGACCCTGGCCCTGGCGAAGCCGACCATGGTCTATTTTACGTAAACAGATTCGGCGAATAATTATGCAACTTGACTGTGTTTGACCTCGAGAAACTGACCAATCACTCAGCAGGCGCCATCTATACGCGCGTAATTCGAGCTCTCTGCATGCGTATACATCACGCCCAGGATGTAGCATTTTTGTACAGGTTGTGACTTGTGTACTATTACAAAAATGCGGCATCGAAATTGACCAATAATCACAATAAGTTAGTCCTGATTTCGGAATGAAATGACGTAGACTTAATACAGGAGACCTGGCTCCGTGGATAACGGGTGATACTCAGACTATGCATAGCCTAGCCACGTGGTAAATGCGAATGCACTGTTGTTAATGTTATGTTAGGTGTGAAAAATCGCCCCTTTATAAACGCTTCTGAATTGGGGCGACATGACAATCCCACAGAGATGCAGAAACTCTTGTATTACAACGGATCAACAGAAACTGTTGTCATCAGGGCAAACGAAGGAGTAAAACCAATACGAAGTCATCAAGTTTTTATATTTTGAAAACGGTTTACCTTTAAAATCCTGTCATCTAAGCCCATTTCATGAAAGCGCAAGTCGTTCATATCTGCGCTCGTGGAGGCCGCCATGTTGAATCTCCCATGAGCACATGTTCATCCGGGAGTTCCAGCTAATTTAAATATACCTCTTTCCCAAAACACCCAAATTGCATTGTATTTTGCACTATATTTCTGACAAATTGGCTAAGACTTGAACAATTACTAAACCAAAGTCATTAAATATACATTATATGTTATATTCATGATATAAAAATTGGTTTGTGTGTCTAAACATAAATGATTTTCAACAGAAATAAAAACAGACATTCTTAAACTACGGTAACAGATATTGACGGTCCGCTTTTCGCCGATCTGACGATTCCGAATAGACTTGACCATTAAATATCGTTTTTCGCGGTTGTGACCCAACAGTTCAGTGTTTCAAGTATGTCAAAACGACGATTGGACATCAATGACTCATATTCTTCAAAGAAGGAGTACAGGTGATGATAAAGAACATTTCTTTATTTCAATTTCTGCGGTGTTATGGTGAACATGGTGATCATCGTGATGGCCTGGACCGGCCATGCATGTAACATTCACATGTTCGACAGTGACAGGGGAGGAGTTAAGAAGGGGGGGGGGGAGTTCTAAATAGTTTACGTTTTATTAGAGTAGGCCCCTACATGTAAATGCAGTATCCTGACACCACTTTTATCATTTGGGAGCAACTATAGAATGCAGGGCCACGCCGGAGCAAGGTTTTTATTTTGCTTGGAGGCGTGGATGGATAGGAGTATAGTAATATTGTTGATGTACCCTAACGTGGCGCGGCCCCTAACGTGGCGCACTTTGATTTTTCGCCTGTAGCGCCTAGCTAGAGCAAAAGTTTTAACTGAAATTTCACAGAAAGTGAAATTTCATCAAGTTCTAAACACTCCCGTTCATAAATTGCGAGTTTATTCACCCGTTACAAAGTTAAAAGAAAAAATTATTTTGGCGTGATTTTCCGATTTTATTTTCAAGTGCAAAGTGAACCCTTTGAAAATGCCCCGAAAAATAAGAAAATAATTTTCTGACAAACATCTGGCTGGGTTTGTAAGTAAAGATAATAATGATTTATCAGAATTTATCAAGTTTACAGAAATTCTTAAATGTTAATTTGGAATTTTCTGAGATTTATTCAAGTGCGCCACGTTAGGGAACACTCCGCCAATTTGTGCCCAATTTCCGGACGCGACCGTTTTTGCATTTCGGATTAAATTTTATGAAACCGAAATTGTTCACAGAGGTTAAATAGCAAGCATTAAAAAGGTAAAAGTACCAGTATTTCACTGCATGAATTTGAGGTTTATCAACAAAGAGGTTTGGCAACACTACACGAGGAAAGTTGGGTAAGCTTCGAAGTGCGCCACGTTAGGGAACACGACTATAATAGATATGCAAACCTGCAAAAAGTGCTAAGTACACCGAATGCACTTGTCTTCTAAGCTTCTCATGAAGGATCGGACGGGCCCCCGGCGGGCGTGCTTGTAAATGTGTTGGGGCACGGTACGGATCGGAGTGGCGGAGGCGCGGAGTCGCGGAGTCGCAGAGACGCGGGGCACTGGAGTGGCGGAGGCGCGGAGTCGCAGAGACTCGCGCCGATAGAGGGCGCAATTCTCGGCGGATTTTTTTTGAGAACGAAGCATCCGTATCCATTTTAAATGGGCTCGCAAATAAGAAAGGGAGGAGGGCGACGGGGCACTGTCTGGAGTGGCGGAGGCGTGGAGTCGCGGAGACGCGGGGCACTGGAGTGGCGGAGGCGCGGAGTCGCGGAGACTCGCGCCGATAGAGGGCGCAATTCTCGGCGGAATTTTTTTGAGAACGAAGCATCCGTATCCATTTTAAATGGGCTCGCAAATTAGGAAGGGAGGAGGGCGACGGGACACTGTCTGGAGTGGCGGAGGCGTGGAGTCGCGTAGACGCGGGGCACTGGAGTGGCGGAGGCGCGGAGTCGCGGAGACTCGCGCCGATAGAGGGCGCAATTCTCGGCGGAATTTTTTTGAGAACGAAGCATCCGTATCCATTTTAAATGGGCTTGCAAATTAGGAAGGGAGGAGGGCGACGGGGCATGGCACTGTCTGGAGTGGCGGAGGCGCGGAGTCGTGGAGTCGCGGAGACGCGGGGCACTGGAGTGCAGTCGCGGAGTCGCAGAGACGCGCACCGATAGAGGGCGCAATTCTAGGAGATATCGACTGTGGCTCCACGACTCCACGATCGATTTTCGGAGGTACTAGTAGGTCGACTGCGGCTCCACGCCTCCACGCAGCCGTACGGAGGCGCGGATGTAGAGTAAAGTGGCCCTGCATTCTATAGTTGTACCATCATTTGTATTCCCTATACATGATGACCTCAATTATTGTAATTTGTATTTTGTAACTCATTTAAACAAGACCAGACAAACAGGGGCACGTTCAATCACGGGGACACGGAGGATTCCTCCGTGCAATACGTATGGCATGCCATTCCCGCATACCTTCATTCAACCATTGTTTACGGTGAAGGTATACAGGGATTCCCAATACTGGCATGCGTATTGCACTATTGAATGCACCCCCTGTTGATTGCATAATATTTATTTGCAAACTAGCCTGTGGGCCCCTAGACAATGCTATAGATGTAAATTTTAAATGTGAGCATGCATATTATAAATCATGTGTGTGATCAGTTAAATTATACCACGTGATATATATTTCCCCTTGCACATTCAAGTATGTACAACTGTCACTACAAGGGAAAACTATCGCAAACTTGATGTTGCTTGCCGTCTTTCAAACGAGAGGAAAAATTTGAGATTCTCCACACCTAATTTATACACAACCACCAAAGTGAATGGTTTGTGGTACATAGGCTAGCCTACATAAATATTTTAATGTCATTGTCTTATTTGCTTACGCTTGGAGGCTAACGTTGATTTAGAGATTCTTGTCCTTTTTTTTGTTATCTTGACACAGGGAAAGAGATCGTGACAAGGATCGAGATCGAGATGATCGTAGCAGGTCTTCATCGTCAGGCTCTGGGGCAGTCACGTCTGCTCCTGTCGCTATTAACCAATATTCCAGGTATTGTCAATTCAGATGGGTCTGTGCATGGTTATTCTGCTTTGTTTGAGCCTTTTACCTGAGTTCGTTTTTAACTATTAGTGTTAACGAACAGATATCCATCAGTAACCCACATGCATGGGCACTTCTTCTGGAAATTCAACAAAATCTGAGCGTCAGGCTCTGTGTAAAGAGATTGGGCTCATTGTACACTAACATCTAGTTAATCCCAAAATCAAGCAAAACCAGTTCTTTGATTTCAATGAAAATTTGTTTCTGTTCAAACTGTCAAACATTAACCCCAACCATCCCCAACCCTTCAAAATCCAACTGCATGTTTTGATGGATTCTGTTGGAGTGAGTACTGTACTAGTATTATGCAGTGTGAAAAAAAACTAGGATAACAGGATTTTGAAATCTCTGATTTTTCCACCATTAGCCCTAATCCCCCCCCCCCTTAGGCCCTCCGGCTAGGATGCAACCTCAATCCTGCAAAATCCTCCAATTGCCACAAAGAAAAAAATGGATTCAGCCTCAATCCTCCAAAATCATCTGTTATTTCTTGAATTAAGTCTGTGGAGGGTGACCACTGCCTCAATCCTCCAAAATCCTCTGCCAATTACTGCTATGGTTTGAGGCAGTGCCACTGGCGTTTAGAAGCAGTGCGGATGAAGTACGAGAAAAACACAGGGCTGATTTATGCATGGCTGAACATAACCAATGCAGGATACGGCCTACTGGCTTGATGTAATGCATCCTCTACAAAAATCTTTGCAACCTCTACATCTTTGCCTTTCATCCTCAATCCTCTCAAATCATCCAAGACCGGCAGGAGGATTGTGGAAGATTAAAGAGGGTTATGGTTAGAACATGCCCATTTTAAAAATAGACTCTTTCCTTTTGAGAATAGATCTTGACCTCCTGAAAATAGACACATGACTGAGCACTAGCATGATGTTCTTTCTATGCTACCATTACAGACAAAACAATCTAGGTATCAACCCGTACAACATGACGCCTTACTCCATGCGATACCATACGATCCTGGCCAAGCGACGCACGCTGCCCGTTTGGGAATACAAGACCAAGTTCATGGAGATGCTGGACAAGTACAAAGTCATGGTACTCGTGGGCGAAACTGGCTCTGGCAAGACCACACAGGTAATAACAAGTATTAGTATACCTCGTACATATTCATGAGCGAGAGCCGAACTCTCACCGGTCCATTAACCATGCTGTGTCGGCCGCTAGTTTTGCTGTTTACCAAGCGCGCACGCGAGGATTGACGCACAGGGTAAAAACGTATGCGTAGTGGACTATCGCCTGGGTTACCCATGAGTTACACATGCATTTTACGAATCAGTCGGGGCTGCACATGGTTACAAAGAGAAAGTTGGTAGGGACCCACTGGTAGGGATCCTCGAACGCATTGCCAACATGCTCGTGCACTGACGCTATAGGCTTGAGTTCATTCAGAATATACTAAGAAACGTGTAGTTTGTACCTTACATGCACAAACACAGTGTGTCCCTCCCACTCAATATCTCTTGAATGGCGACAAAGTGCCATTTAACAATTGTTGACTGCTGTGATGTAAGATATGATGTTTTTAACACCTGAAGGGTTCGCCAAGGGTGCTATGCGCACCGAGGGGGTTAAAAATGGTATATTCCACATCACAGCAGACAACAATTGTTTTGTTTGGTGTCAATAACATAAAGAGATATATGGTTGTAACTAAAAATAAATCAGAATATAAAATAAATCACTGCAAAGTAACCTTTGCAAAGTAACAAAAGTAACCTTTGGGCAATTCCACACCAAAGTGGACATGACACCAAAAAATTCAAATACATGTGACTTAAACAAATTTGGCATCAAATGAAAGCTAAAAGTCTATATTTTCAAGATTTGAAGTCGGAATTTTATTTTTTATACATTTCGGTACCAAAAACTAGGATTATGTAATAATCCTGTTTTAATCCTAAAAATGTGATTAATAGTGATATGAAAGTATTTTACCAATAGACACACAAAAATATGTACTAATGCCATCAGTTTCTGTCATGAGAAAGTATTGGTCTTGAAAAACCGACTAAAACTTGTTTTTAACATTTTGCGTAATTTGTTTCGCTTCAGTGACTTCTAATATTTCAGCCTTCGAAAATGTCTTTCCGTTACCGAAAAAATACATATTTTTAATTTATTTTTAAAACTTGCAGTATGAATGCATTGAAAGTTATTGTGCAAAGCAAGTTTAGGTAGGCCTTCAATATGACATTATAACTGACACTGCTGTACTTCTCGTTTTTTAATTACAATTAATTAAATCACGTCCTTCCGTTACCAAATTGGTAACGGAAGGACGGTAACGGAAGGACATATCGTATTTTTATCAAATGTTACGACATTTGCGCTCATGTTTGAAAAATGAAAATCACTGCAAATACATGCATGTATAATGAGCATTGAAAGGACATTCATGTGACCCACCTTCACAAAAGCGGGATAAGCAGGGCAAGGTGTTTATTACAAAGGAAGGCACAGGCATGTACAACATGTACAATGTACATGTACATATATGCCAATGTACCAGTACTTGTACATGTATGGAGTTGTTGCAGAAAATCAAATCATAAAGTTGCTGCCATCAGCATTCATGGACAAAAGAGAAAGATACAAATTCTGTGAAGCCATTCCAGAAGCAAATTAAGTCAAAAATGAGATGGCAGAAAGTACCGGTACTTTGGGGCACTTTCATTCAAATTACATGTGTAAGACATGTTAGGTGCAGTCTTTGACAAATTATGCCCAAGTTAACAACTTCAGTTTGGATGTTTATAAATTAATTGTTACTACTCTAAATCATTGTAATTTGATTTCAAACATTGATTTTAGAGTTCAAATAAAAGTAACACCTAACTGAAGCCATCAGTTCTACCGGTAGATGTTTTTACCTTAAATGTACATGTAGGCTGGTCCCCCCCCCCCCCCCCCCCACCCTTTAGGTTAACCTTTGAACCTACCGGTATTATTAAAAGTTGTTGGAAAACATGTAACCAATATACTCAAGTGTTCAAATACTGTGTATTTAAACTTTTAAGGATTGAGGTGATGGGTTTGAAGTCTATTTCTGTAGTAGTCCTGTGTTCGTGAATTATGTGTTTTGGGTTGTTTTCGTTTTTCTTTTGTTATCATTAATTAGCAGGCTTCTATCTTTATCTCAATAGTTTCTTGGGTATAATTATTTATGCCAGGTCTGCATATTGTTGATTTCACATTCAGTTACACATTTAAGCAATTTGTTTCACTTGTATAATTAGTGTAAATTCACATTTTGTTCATGCTATAATTGAGTAAACCTTTTGTCCTTCCGTTACCGTCCTTCCGTTACCAAATTATAATCTGCTTAAAACGTTGTAATTATATAACCGAAACACTTAAAGTCAAATGAAAGGTAGTATAGTATAGATAAAGCTCCAGGGATTCCATTTCCTACCTTTAAAATATAATTGCCCCATAAAATTCACAGAGTATTTGCAAAACGCGAGTAAGTTGGAAAACCCTTGTCTGTTTTACCGTCCTTCCGTTACCGACCTCATTAATATTCATAATTCATAAACGGGAGGTATTTATGCCCCCCAAAAGTGTGGAAAATGAAAGTAGCATTATAGCAATACAAATGTGACATTTGTTTGCTGTAACTATGAACAGTGTCTGTGATACACACATTTGAAATTTTGTTTAATGAGTGAAAACGTCCTTCCGTTACCGTGGAATTGCCCCTTTGCAAAGTAACAAAAGTAACCTTCGATAGCTGAAGGTTTTGATGTCCTGCCAGACATGAGACTTAGTGTTTTACATTGCAGTTCTCATTACACAAAGCTATATCGCGCCGGCAGGTTCCACTCGTGCGCGCAACGAGCACAATGAACGAAGTGTGATATCACCCTCAGTGTGTGACTGACATGCATTTTAATTGTCCAGACACGTGGCCGTCTTAGACCAATGAAATTACAGTATCCAAGCACACAATATAACAAAGTGGAGTCTACACTAAGGGAATAAATTATGTGCTTAGCCGGTTTGAAACAAGAATGTTTAAAACTGGCTAGGGGCAAACGTACTTGTTTCAAACCGGCCAAGCACATTTTTATTTTCCCATTCATCAATTAGATTAATACCTTTCGTTCAAAAAGTAAAAATGAATCAAAAAATTCACAAATTTGTTCAACAATTATGTTCAACAGCTTAAATCAACAATTTACTTCATATTTTGTGAAGCAACCCTCTGGCCATGTCTGTTATTAGTGTCCTGCGTGCATAGTGCTAAAAATCTCTTCATATGGACATTGGCACACGCACAATGTGGCGCAGAACGTAGGAATTGAGTTTAAAGGGAATATACATCATTTGCTTTTGCTGTAATTTTCAGAAATGGATGGAATTGGTGGGTTGGAAATATAAAGCAAATATAGTTACACTGACTTTTTGGAGGTTTTGGGTTCGAAAATGCTATAAAAACCAAGAAAAACGATCATTTTCCTGTAGTCTGGTTCCCTGACTCCATATAAGAAGAAACAGAGCAGTTTACATACATTAGGGAATTGTAAGGTCAGGGAACCAGTCTAGCTGGCTCGTACCCGTTCATAGATTTGTAATCGATTGCAAACAAGTGCAATGGTCAATTGGGGCCAGTATTTGAAAAAAAGCCAGTTGTTTCCAACGCTGATCGGCCGATCAGCGTTGGAAATTGATACAAAAATACCACTTTTCTTGAAAATGACAGTATACCAGGTGCCATAATTTTACAGGATGCTTTAGACTGTCATTTACCAACATCCTATTAAGGTATTTCGTAAAAACTTGGTAATTTTATTTTTCGATGTTTGCAAATGTTGTATATTCCCTTTAAAACCAGCCGGTGTTTTATCAGTGGTTTAAAACCACCCGCTCTTGAACAGTAGGAATTGGTTAACTGTCTCAGGTATTTATGAATAGAATGTTACTGGGAGTACAATTTCTAAAATCCATATTGATGATCAATACATTAAACCTATTTTGTGAAATCCCAGATTCCCCAGTGGTGTGTGGAGTACGTCCGCTCCAAGTTTGCCATGTCCAGCAAGAAGGCAGTAGCCTGTACCCAGCCCAGGCGAGTGGCTGCCATGAGCGTGGCCCAGCGCGTCTCTGACGAGATGGACCTGGTCTTGGGCCAAGAGGTGGGCTACAGTATACGGTTTGAAGACTGCACCAGCTCCAAGACCATGCTCAAGTAAGTAGCCGTTCTCTTGCGGCATTCAGTACCTTGGATGTGTCAAAGTTTATCCAAAATTGATGAAGTCCAGACAATGCTTAAGTATGAAGCCTGGGGACAAGTACATGGTGTTGCTTAACAGTAAGCAGAAAAAGTTGTGCTAACTATAGCAGAAAATGTCACTAACCTTAAGCACTATTTCATGGCACGGATGTGCTTACGGTTGCGCACACATGAAGATTTACATTGTTACCTCACTAAGTTTAAGCAACTTTTTTCTCTGAGGTAAGCATGCCTCTTGCTGTGCTTACTGCTTAGCAGATGGGGGCTCTGTTAGCAGAAAATTGTGTGCTTGGCGGCGCCATGAAATTCGGCCCAGGTTCTTACCTGCCCCTTGTGACCCTAGGTTATGATGAGCGGTACAGATAAGTGGGCAAAATCATCCATTTTTTAATTGTTTACGTTTCTCCATGCCCTAAACACACTGCGTAACCTTTGTAAAATGTGTCATAACCTTGGTAAAATTTGGCGCAAGTTGAATTTTGTCATTTTTCTGAAATTTATGAATATCGACCGCTAGCTCTAGTCTGATCCTACTACCCTAGACCCATGCAGTGTTAGAAAACAAATATTGAGTGCTCAAACTTGCTCAAACTTGGAACAGTAAAACTAGCCTCTATTTTTTGATCTGATTTCCCAAAGCTAGCTGTACCCAGTCATGAAAGTACTGCAACGATACAAATTCCTGCTTATTTTGAAATTTTAGATAACACTTCAAGCACCGTCTACTTTTCCTGTACACTATATATTTTCTACAAAAACTGTCCGAGCCCACTTGCGTCCCCAGTTTAGCAGTAGAATTTTCCCCTCGTCTCCAGATACATGACCGATGGTATGTTACTACGTGAGGCCATGACAGATCCCTTACTGGAGCGCTACGGGGTCATCCTGCTCGACGAGGCCCACGAGCGCACCTTAGCCACGGACATCCTGATGGGTCTGCTCAAGGAGGTGGAGAAGCAGCGATCGGATCTCAAGGTGGTGGTCATGAGCGCCACGCTGGACGCCGGCAAGTTTCAGGTAATTCAAACTGATTATGAAAAAAAAGAGCATTAGCCTCTAAGGGCGGCCCCAGGTCGACCTGCAATTTGCTTGCGCCCCAAGTGAACTGTCAATATCGAGCAAATCACATCAAGCAGAGAAGTAACGCTCAGATCACAAAACTGAGAAACCGTGTGATTCTCAAGGAGCAAGCAGCATCTCGACACAAAATAATTGCAACCATGCTAATGACGCGACGACGATTCTTCGGCATAGGAAGCTTGAAGCTCACTGAGAATACTTCTTTGTTCCTATCAAGAATGTATCAGGCTTGAAGTAAAGCACTCCCAAATTAACAACAACTCAAGCTCAGCATTCTTATTATTGTACTCCATCCATTGTGTTTGGCCCTCTGTAGGATTACTTTGACCACGCTCCTCTCATGACGGTCCCCGGTCGCACCCACCCCGTGGAGATCTTCTACACCCCAGAGCCAGAGAGGGACTACCTGGAGGCGGCCATACGCACCGTGGTTCAGATCCACGTTGGGGAGGACATAGACGGGGACATCTTGCTCTTCTTGACCGGACAGGAGGTAAGATCTTATTGACACATTGACAGTGATTGCTGGAGGATTGAGGCAGGATTGAGGCAGTGGTCACCCCTCCAAGGACCACAGTCAAGATATAACAGAGGATTTTGGAGGATTGAGGTTGCATCCTAGAGAAAAATCCCCGGATAGTTAGGTTGAAGGCTCTTCATGATCTTGCTCCCAGATACATTATATATGTTGAAAGGTAAAGTCCATTCCAACTATTCCCTACTGTCTAATGGGAGGTTGCTGTTAGATTGTCCATCTGGGAGACTGCAAAAAACAATGGGGGACCATGCATTTGCACAAGCCGCTGCCAGCTTATGGAAGTAGCTGACACTTGAGGTTCAGTCTCTTTCAGTTTTTAAGACCAAGCTTAAGATTTTCTTTTTAAAAAGGCATTCGCATAAGGTTTTACTATTGTTTCTCTTACATGTAGGCTTTAACTTTTGTAATTTTCAGTTTCATTAGTTTTGACAGTGTTCTCAAAATAAATAAAACAATTATTATTTTTATTATTATAAATTATATCAATTTTTCTTAACGACAAGGAAATCGAGGAAGCCTGTAAGCGGATAAAACGAGAGGTTGACATCCTGGGAGCTGACGTAGGCGATGTCAAGACCATCCCACTGTACTCCACCCTGCCCCCAGCCCTCCAGCAGAGAATCTTTGATCCGGCCCCGCCCAACAAGGCCAACGGAGCCATCGGCCGCAAGGTGGTCGTCTCCACCAACATTGCTGAGACCTCTCTCACGATAGACGGTGTGGTGTTTGTGATTGATCCGGGCTTTGCCAAACAGAAGGTTGGTGTACATAATGGACTCTCAATAGGAGCAGTAGATTGCACTTTTTATGCCCCAACTACAGGCCTGTCCCAACTATAGTCGGGCCTGTCCCAACTATAGTTAGGAACGTTCCAGCTGTAGTTGGGACAGTCCTACAGTTGGGACAGTCCTACAGTTGGGACAGTCCTACAGTTGGGACAGTCCTACAGTTGGGACAGTCCTACAGTTGGGACAGTCCTGCAGTTGGGACAGTCCTGCAGTTGGGACAGTCCTGCAGTTGGGACAGTCCTACAGTTGGGACAGTCCTACAGTTGGGACAGTCCTACAGTTGGGACAGTCCTACAGTTGGGACAGTCCTACAGTTGGGACAGTCCTACAGTTAGAACAATCCTACAGTTAGGACAGTCCTACAGTTGGGACAGTCCTACAGTTGGGACAGTCCTACAGTTGAGACAGTCCTACAGTTGGGACAGTCATACAGTTGGCACAGTCCTACAGTTGGGACAGTCCTACAGTTGGGACAGTCTTACAGTTGGTAAAGTCCTACAGTTGGGACAGTCCTACAGTTGAGACAGTCCTACAGTTGGGACAGTCCTACAGTTGGGACAGTCCTACAGTTTGCACAGTCCTACAGTTGGGACAGTCCTACAGTTGAGACAGTCCTACAGTTGGGACAGCCCTACAGTTTGGACAGTCCTACAGTTGGGACAGTCCTACAGTTGGCACAGTCCTACAGTTGGGACAGTCCTACAGTTGGGACAGTCCTACAGTTGGGACAGTCCTACAGTTGGCACAGTCCTACAGTTAGAACAATCCTACAGTTGGGACAGTCCTACAGTTGGGATAGTCTTACAGTTGGTAAAGTCCTACAGTTGGGACAGTCCTACAGTTTGGACAGTCCTACAGTTGGGACAGTCCTACAGTTGAGACAGTCCTACAGTTGGGACAGTCCTACAGTTGGCACAGTCCTACAGTTAGAACAATCCTACAGTTGGGACAGTCCTACAGTTGGAACAATCTTACAGTTGGGACAGTCCTACAGTTGGGACAGTCCTGCAGTTGAGACAGTCCTACAGTTGGGACAGTCCTACAGTTGGGACAGTCCTACAGTTGGCACAGTCCTACAGTTAGAACAGTCCTACAGTTGGGACAGTCCTACAGTTAGAACAGTCCTACAGTTGGGACAGTCCCAACTACAGCTGGGACAGTCCCAACTACAGCTGGGACAGCCCCAACCAACTGCCTTTTGGGTTGGGACTACTGTAACATCGTTGTCTGGCCACTCATGAGTGTCTGTAAAGTGTCTGTCCCACTCTATGTAACCATTGAGGAGGTAATCACAGTGGGCGATATGGTGTGGGACACACTGCGGATGCACATCGGTACATGGACGCATGGTGCAGAATATGCAAACCTACTTTATCACCTGAGTGTTTACAGACCCTTGGCACCTTTGCACAGGCACCTTTGCATGTTTGCCTTAAATGCAACAGCCAAGTGTCTGTCGCACTTTATGTAACCATTGAGGAGGTAATCACAGTGTCCGTACCAGCCCCATTTGTTTCCCGCCTGTCGTAATCTGGTATAAAAAATCAATCATTCATACATATGTCAACATTGTTTTTAATTATTCAGGTGTACAATCCTCGCATCAGGGTCGAGTCTCTCCTGGTCTCCCCCATCAGCAAGGCCAGTTCCCAGCAGCGGGCTGGCCGTGCCGGGCGTACCAAACCCGGCAAGTGTTTCCGTCTGTACACAGAGAAGGCTTACCAGTTGGAAATGCAAGACAATACCTACCCAGAGATCCTACGGTCTAACCTTGGCACGGTAGTGCTGCAGCTGAAGAAACTTGGCATTGACGACTTGGTGCACTTTGACTTCATGGACCCTCCAGGTAAGAAAGCCCCTTCCCTTCACCTCATCCCCGTACCCCCACCCCAACCCAATTTCTCTCTCCCCATCCCCATCCCAAACCCCTACCCCAACCCCACCCCAACCCCACCCCACCCCTACCCCCACTTCTACCACTACCCCCACTCCTACCCCCATCCCCACACCCACCCCTACCCCACCTCTACCCTCACCCCCAACCGCACCCCCAACTTCACCCCCAACTGCACCCCCACCTTCACCCCCAATTGCACCCCACCTCCACCTCCACCCCCAATCGCACCCCACCTCCACCCCCAATCGCACCCCACCATCCCCTTCCCTCTTACCATCCCCTCTACCTTATCCCATTTTCCTCACCCCTGTTCCACACCTCCCTACCCCACTCCCTACCCCACTCATATCACCCTCACCGCAAAAATGGTGCAACATGCTGGAAAACTTTGTGCAACCCCAAAAATGAGCAATGCCATACTTAAAATGAGCTACACTGCATGCTGGACTGCAGTACGAACTACACTGCACATTAAACATTCTTACTTACCCACCCTTTAACCCTAACCGCCCCAATGCTACAAAATACTACTGAGGAGTAACCTGTAGTATGAATTACTTTCCATACAAGTGTGCGAAGCACATGTAGTATTCTGTGGTATTTGGTACGTGACCCCCAAACAGCCCTTTGGGGGTTAGGGTTAAGAAAAATTCTCCAACACTTATGTCTATTTTTGGTCAAAGCCTCTATTATGAATTTTCCCCACCCTGAGACAGCCTCTTGTCAGACAGACATTAATATTGAATATTATTATTTCATCCTTACCTTGATGCCACTGGGTTTGATTCTGGTAATATCCCCCCCCCCACCCTCCCCCAAATAAAATCAAATAAAAAAGGGATTTAAGTCAATTTGTCAACAATATTTCCTCAATCTAGCAATGGATGTTATTGTTGGTCTTTTTCTCCCCTCAGCCCCTGAAACTCTAATGAGAGCCCTGGAGCTGCTGAACTACCTGGGATCGCTGGACGACAACGGCGACCTGACAGAGCTGGGCTCCATGATGGCCGAGTTTCCCTTGGACCCCCAGCTGGGCAAGATGGTCATCGCTAGCGCCGACAACAGCTGCTCCAACGAGATCCTGTCCATCACGGCTATGCTATCAGGTAATGCAGAGGGGATGACGCGGCATGCGAAACCCTCGGGGTCTTGGTTCTCCAGAATTCAGACCCGGTCTTTGTTGCTTCAGACCCGGTCTTTTTTGCTTCAGAATGGCTCAAAGTTGCGCGTTTGTGGCTTTTTTCTTGCACCTTTGGTGCTGGTGTTGGGATGGATACTGCAGTACCCGATAACCTGACCAAAAGTGGCAGGTACCCAGTTTCACTTTTTTGGTTTTTAATACCTGAAAGCTTCTTAACGTATTCTCACAAAACCCTTGTGAAGGAAAATACAACTGTTTATTGATCAGCTGCTGATGCTTTTGCGTCTGAGGAATACTGAATTTTACTTTTTGAGTCCAGTTGGGATTTTGAAAGCTTGGGATTGTACATTTTAGGTTCGGAGATGCAGTTTTGTACCGCTGTGTGATTTGCATGCAGTGGAGAAAACCTCGCTTTTTATTAGTAATTATGGTTCTGCGAGTACCCGATTAGTTACGGCAATGGGGACCCGATTCCAAAATTAACCACAGAAGCGCACCCCTAATTGGTACCAATCCCCAGTGCTACGCTTTATGTTCCAGCCGTGCATGTAATACGTAAGATGCGTGCATGCGAGACTTTTGTAGGGCATTTGGTTGCATAGCTTCGGCTGTGATTGGCCAAAACACCATGGAGTGGTGCTTAACGGAATCGGTCCATTATTCAAATAACGACACATACGCTCAGGCAAGACTTGTATTATAAGTACACTGGTATTTGGAACTCAGAATGAGACAGCTGAAAATTATTTCAAACTTGTTTCATTTTTCTGAGCCGTTTTCGTGTTTCATTTCGTTAGATGTTTTGGGAGTTCCTATCAGCTTGTCCTTATCAAATGACCTATTCCAACCCAGTCCAAAATGGACAGGTTTCGAACATTTTAGGGCATCGTTTTATCCCAAAAATCTATCGAAACAGCCCCTTTAACTTTTTAGCTGGTTCCTATTGGTAAGTAGTGCAACAGTATAAATTTAGATTTTTTTTTCAAACCGTGCCTGTGTAGTCATGGCCGCGTGTTTTTGGCTCGCTTGTACTAAACATGGGAATGGACGGTCGTTTTTTGGCGGCCACCACCCAACATTAATTTAGTCCCACAGTGTTTTCTGCGACCCAACGAGGCCAAGAAGGCAGCCGATGAAGCCAAGATGCGATTTGCCCACATCGACGGCGATCACCTGACCATGCTGAATGTCTACCACGCCTTCAAGCAGAGTAAGTATAAACTCTCCAGATTTTTGTTGCGATGTGTTAGCGTGGAACATTTTAACTGTTCTCACTTGAAGGTGCAGCTTGTCAGACGAGTGTTGTTCACAATCCAACAAAGAATTACCAATATACATTTGTTTCTTAATTGACCTTAAATTTTTGAATTATTTTAAGGAGCAAAAGGAGATTAGCTCTTGTACAACTGTGTACACCAGTTCTTACCGAAATCTGTTTCTGTGTTTTAATTCTGTGGGTTTTGCATTTGCTAGTAAAAGACCATGGTACGGACCATGTGCCCTGTGATTTCATGCCAGCAGGCAACCGCCGGGCAACCCAAACATTTCAGCATCTTATGAATGTTATGTGGCCCACACTAAACAGTAGATGTCAACACTTATAAACCAGTCATACACTCAACCAAAAAAGAAAGTCCCTCCCCTTCCAATACTTTTTGTGTAACTCAAAAGCTACTGAGCACCTCTCACTCAAATAACGACTAATCGATACAGAAATTCCTTAGCAATCCAGCCATACTCTCTATTTGGCCCCAAACAGTGATAATGTGTACAAATTTATGCAGTTTATGACAAACGATACCGAAAAAAGTTGCACTTTTGTATACATGCAAGTTGTGGTTCACACTCACCTTGCACGTATACAGAAGTGCAACCTTTTCTTCGGTACCATTTGTCATAAATTGCATAATTTTGTACACATTATCACTGTTTTGGGCCAAACAAAGAGTATGGCTGGATTGCTAAGGAATTTCTGTACTGATTAGCCGTAATTTGAGCAAGATGTGCCCAGTAGTCTTTGAGTTAGACGGACAAGTATTAAGGGGGGGGGGGAACTTTCTTTTTTGGTTGAGTGTATTTCAAGAGATTTACAAGCAGTGCAGAAGAGGACCATTTGCTGAAATATGGCATCACGTGACCACAACATTTAATTTTGTAAACATATGGTCTATAAGTAGATAAGCCCAATTATTAGATACAACATCATTTTTTTTACTAAGTGAAACAAACTAAAGCATTGGTAATTCCTATTTTTGAACCATATGTTGTTTCTCCCGTGTCGTTAACAGACAACGAGGATGTGCAGTGGTGCTACGACAACTTCATCCAGAGTCGGTCCCTCAAGTCGGCCGACAACGTCAGGCAGCAGCTGGCCCGCATCATGGACCGGTTTGCCCTCAAGCGCAGCAGCACCGACTTCAACAGCAAGGACTACTACATCAACATCCGCAAGGCTCTCGTCTCGGGATTCTTCATGCAGGTAGGTTTTAATAAATATTCTGCTCACTGCTCTATGCCAGTTTTAAGACGCTGTATCACTCCAAAACGCCCTGCCTATTTACTCCACCCATACACTCTACAGTTGAATGGATTCATCGATGAATATTAAACTCAATGTAATACAGTGAAAGTACTCGTGTTAACCCTAACCTTCCCAAATCCTCCAAAATCCTCTTTGCCAAATTGATGGCAAAAACGTGTTGCTGATTTTGGAGGATGCAAGGCTCTCGTCTCGGGATTCTTCATGCAGGTAGGTTTTAATAAATATTCTGCTCACTGCTCTATGCCAGTTTTAAGACGCTGTATCACTCCAAAACGCCCTGCCTATTTACTCCACCCATACACTCTACAGTTGAATGGATTCATCGATGAATATTAAACTCAATGTAATACAGTGAAAGTACTCGTGTTAACCCTAACCTTCCCAAATCCTCCAAAATCCTCTTTGCCAAATTGATGGCAAAAACGTGTTGCTGATTTTGGAGGATGCACTGTGTCAAGGTCTTAGGCCGGACCTTGTGTTGTTAATGCTCAGGCGTGCATAAATTTAGGCCTAGAGTATAAAGTAAAAAGATTGCGAGAACACCATGTGGAAAGTAATCTCTTCTTGGAAGAAGTGTGGTTCTGAAAAGAACCGGTTGATTGAGTGTAGAACTCGACATTTCGGACAGTGTGCTCTGTCCGTCCTCAGGAGGGAGTGTATACTCGAAATCCTCAGCACTGCTCCAGGATGTCACCGGCTCTGCCTCAACATATTGACGGTAATTGCTGGAAGGTTTTGCAGGATTGAGGCAGTGGTCACCCCTTCCAAGTACCACATTCAAGAAATAACAGATGATTTTGGAGGATTGAGACTGTATGCAATTTTTACGTGGAGGCCGTTGGAGGATTGTACAGGATTGTGAAGGATTGAGGTTGCATCCTAAATGTCTAGGGGGTTAGGGTTAATTACCTTCTACTGTGTACTCAGTGCCTTGAAACTTGGTTAGGACAAAGAACCCTTTGATGAGTTGAAACGGTATTCGAAGCACAAACTTAGCATATTCAGGTGCAGAGGTCTTACCTACTTGTCGTTCTCTTACCAGGTGGCCCACTTGGAGCGGACCGGCCACTACTTGACCGTCAAGGACAACCAGATTGTCCAGCTGCACCCGTCCACGTGTCTGGACCACAAACCGGAGTGGGTGCTGTACAACGAGTTTGTGCTGACCACCAAGAACTACATTCGCACCGTGACCGACATCAAACCAGACTGGTGAGACCATGAGAAAATCCTCTTTAAACTTGATTCTGAAAAGCCCAAACAATTTCTCTGGTGTTGAAGTCAAGTCTATCACAAGTCCTCACAAATTAAAAATCCCCTTGACGAAACTGTTTTTTACAAAAACATGTTTCATACCGCCATGTTCTTTTTCAGGTTGATCCGCATTGCCCGCCAGTACTACGACATGGCCAACTTTCCACAGTGTGAAGCCAAACGCGTTCTGGAACGCATCATCGCCAAACTGGAAGCCCATCAATAATGCCTAGCATTGTACAGACAAGAGATAGTAATGCTCTCAAATGTGGCATGTGACCTGCTTTATGGAAATGAGTCATATGAAGTAAAAATTAGTTGAATACTTAATTGAAAAAACATCACGTTTGACAGAAGTTTGACGTTTGCTTCTTCAGGTGTGAATGCTTGATACATTTGCTTTCCCTGAAAGTTTGGAATATTCCTATTGCAGAAAACAATCCAGGTGACCCCAAATTCCTTACTAAGATCCGATGCATGTTACCCTCCTTCTTTAGCGTCCTGACAAACGAATGAACTTCTTGAATCTGACAATTGAAATAGTAGCACACATGTAAGGTACGTCATAAGCAAGTTAAAGAAAAAAGCTGTTTTTACAAAGTAAACCAAAAATATCCCATCAATATTAGTGTTTTCATTATCTCAGAAACACCTTGGCTCTTTTTCACAAAGCAGCTCACATTTTAAGACAGTCGTGGAGAAAGAAATGTGTACTCCAAATATGTTTAAAGTGTTTTTATTGGTTTTGTATGACTAGACAGCTGTTTCGCACAACAAAATGAACTGAATGCAAACAGTTCTGTAAACTATACTGTCTATTTATAATTCAACTGTTAAATTTCAGCTGATAAAATATTCCTATAGGCGTACTCTTTTATGTTTGAAACGCACCGCTCAATTCAGTACAGGTTTATAGTCCGGTTGGTTTTTTTTCTGGAATTTGTGTATTTGTTTCACTTGAAGCAACAAAAGTACTCAAAATCTAAGGGCGGGTGCTTTACAACTAACCTGATGAAGTTTTAGCTCTGTGTATTTTGAGAAAACATGATATTCTGGATCGCGATTTCAATTCAAAAGTTGCCAAGTCATATTTTGAATTGCGCCCTCTCGTGAAACAGTCCCGAAATTAGCATTCGGGATATGGTTCTCTTTCAGGCGATTGTAGTTATGTGATGTCACACACTGAATCGACAAATAATAGTAACTGAGCGCGTGTGTGTGTCGTGTCAACGCTGCACCCATTCACAGATTTGTCGTGAACTACCAAAAAACTTTCAAAAATGTGTCACATGACACATCTTTGGAAATGACCTTGTATGTTTTCTTCAAAGTGACATCATGCCACAAGGAATAATTTAACAGGGATTTTAGTGTCATTACTATCTTTAAACCAAGTAAGCTTTTGAACAATAATTTGGTCGGTTACTTTGTGGATAGCTGCAAATTGTCCTCTCTGCCTTTAATGCATAATACGCACCAAGGCTGAAACTGCAGAATGTTACGAGAAATGCTTTCTCAGGTTCATCATGGTCACAGTTGCCGACTACTTGGTCCCTTGCTGAATAATTCACAAGTTTATTGAACTTTTCACAGTAACTACAGTTGGTGTTAAAAATCATGCTTGTCATATATACTCTGACTAAAATACAAGTTGTACCTTGTTTAACTTAACATACATTTCAGCAGTTCTGTGTTTTGCTTGTGTAAGAAAGTTATATAATTATGCAGACAAACAAGTTGACCAATTGTTGTCTCTTTTATATAAAAAAATGTCTTTGTAAATACGAATGCATTTTTTGAGGGTCTTCGAGTCAGTGTCATTTGTGTTTGGGAGGGTATTTAAGAATATTGAATTCAGTACAATGTAGTAGTACATATATTCAAGAAAAAGAAACTTTTTTTGTGTTTTGTAACCAAAAGACAAACCAATGTATAATTCTTAGTTATTTAAAAAAAAAAAAAAAAAAAAGAGGCGAAAGGTTAAAATGTACGTAGACGGCTGCTTGTTGTTGCAACATTCTTGGTGAATTTACAACTCTGCGTTAGTTTGATGAAGGCTAAAACGGGGTATTTTTCCAACCCAAGCCTCCGCTTACATTTGTAAACATGATACAATGTACATGTTGGTGAGAATGATTTTCAAGCTTGGAATTGTGTCCTTTCATTAGAATTGCAAGAAGTGTTTGTTTTTTTGTCCCCAGCTTGAAAATAAAAAAAAACGCAATAGTTTGCTTTCTATTGTCGTTATTGTACATACTTTAAATAACGTGTTCCTTTCTGTTGTCTTGGTAAAATAAACCAGATACACATGTAGTTTAACAGTGAAAGTTGTCCACTTTGATGTATGTATGGTATTACTTTGGTGAGTTCTATGTTTCCGATATCCGTTTCCTATAATCACCCGCCAATTTAAGAATTGCAGGGTACGTAGCATATGTAAAGAGACTTGAACAAAGTTCATTCAAAAGCTTTTGTATACTTGGCAGGTTTTGAACAATAAATGTTAATGTTCATGTTCACTGTAGTAGAAACATTTATTTCCATGTTGCCATTTCCACACTATAAAATGTTACAATGCCGTGTAAACATATTATACAGAGCAAAATGCAATGAATTATGTAATGGTGTACACTAATGTGCATGTTTAGTGACAAGCATTAAGGCCTTTACACAAATATTGTCTCCCTGTGTTGACATCAACACGGGTTCACCATATGTGGAACACAGGTAGGCAAGGCATACCATTCACACTTACAATGGGTCGGCTGTAGATTTTACATTTTCTCCCGGGTAGAACCTCTCAACCCTGGTCCCAACCCTGGTCCCGACCCTGGTCCCGACCCTGGTCCCGACCCTGGTCCCGACCCTGGTCCCGACCCTGGTCCCGACCCTGGTCCCGACCCTGGTCCCGACCCTGGTCCCGACCCTGGTCCCGACCCTGGTCCCGACCCTGGTCCCGACCCTGGTCCCGACCCTGGTCCCGACCCTGGTCCCGACCCTGGTCCCGACCCTGGTCCCGACCCTGGTCCCGACCCTGGTCCCGACCCTGGTCCCGACCCTGGTCCCGACCCTGGTCCCGACCCTGGTCCCGACCCTGGTCCCGACCCTGGTCCCGACCCTGGTCCCGACCCTGGTCCCGACCCTGGTCCCGACCAGATTTAGGCTTTTACCGTGTAGAGCACCGGTCACCAAACACATGCAGAAGCCGTGTTGGCCTCTTGCTAGTGTGAAAGGGGTTCCTGAAATGTCTGTGTTGGACCCAGGTCCAACCCGGGGATTGAAGACGGCAAGGCCCTTTAGATAATTCATTGAAGTGCAAGGCCATTTAGATGTTTCATCATCAATTCAGGTTTTAATCAATATTCCTAAAAACCTAAACATTCCTATTGGTCAAGAGCCTGTCACAGAGCTGATAACACTTAATTCCTGCACCACGTCGTGCAGTATGTGTCCCGATCTTCATAAAAGGAGATTTATAGCACTAAGCGTGCGAGGCACAAACCATAGACATGGCCAGAGAGGTATTCACAAAACAGGAGGCAAAACTGTTGAACAAAATCGTTGAAAAAATTGTAAATTTTTGACTGTTTGACCGAAAAGTACTGATGAATGGGAATAAATATATTCTTTGCCAGTTTTAAACACATCCCTTAATCATCAATAATGCAGCAAAACTCGATGGATTTTGCAGGATTAAGCCCAGCTACTATTGTACAATTACAAACAATAATGTCATTGGTTTCCTACACATTGTGGAATTTGAAGAAAGCGGGGAGATTCCTTGCGTATTTTTCATAATTCTGGCATTCATATATGAATTTCAAGCATGATAGGGTTTTTTGCAAGTGGAAAGGGCCTCATACTGATAGATTTTCCTCAATCTGGGAGAGGATGTCCGGCATGTTGGATGCAGGAACAATCATGACAGTCCTGTAGGTTTTGTACTCGATGTCGTCAAAGGACCAGGTCCCTCCAAGGGCCGAGTCGCTCTCCGCCGAGACTGGGTACTCAAAGGACAGCAGGGCAGCCTGGAGAAGATAAAAAAGAGAACAAACATGTTATACCTGTAGTCTTATTTGCCTAGTTCTCAAGTGGGCATACAGGTGAAATATACTGCATCTCTGTGTGCATGAGCATATAAATTGATTTTAAAGTTTATACGCAGAAATTGACTGGAGTGGGATTTGAACCTGTGACCTCGGGATTGCCGTTCTGGTGCTCTACCAACTGAGCGAGCAAGACGTATGTTCGCGGTTTCCCCATTTTTTCAATGCCTTTGTTCAAGGGGCGCTACAGGGTAAAGCCCTGCTCCAGTCAATTTCTTTGTTTACCTTTAAAATAAGAATAGGGAACCGCCAACATAGGGCTGGATAGCTCAGTTGGTAGAGCACCGGAACGGCAATCCGGAGGTCGCAGTTTAAACTGTGCTACAGTCAATGTCTTTGTTCAACTTTAAAACAATTAAATGGCTCCTTGTAAGTTGTAATATTTGAAAGCATTTAAACTGAGTTGAACCTGTGTCAGAGTTCACATGGACGGTATGCCTGTTGCATTCTGACTCTTTATATCTATTAAGTTGGATATTAACCCTCCTTTTGAAACTGAGGTACAAAGTATGAGCAATTGGTTTACCGAATTTGAGAATTAACGATGGCTCTTAGCAAATATGTCTATGGGGTAGGACATAAAACATGTCGCTTACCCCTAGACAGGGAAAGTTTTAGGTTTTACAGGCTTACGAGGGGATATATCATTTGAACCTTGAACTAAGGATACATGTACATGCAGTTTAATGGGTATCCTATAAAGGTAATTTTACACCTTACCTTGTGGAAATATTCATCTTCAGCATTAGAAAACAGCAGCTCATTCTCGGGCACGGTGTTGCCCCCCGTTTTCTTCTTCTTTTTGCTCTTGGCCGGCTGACTGTTGCCGTCTTCCCTGTAGCTCTTGCAGATGAGAAGGAAGTAGTCAAATTTGAACTTGGGATTCTTCCTGGATGCCAGCTGCAGGTCTTTCCTGGGAATATAATACATGAAAATACTGGTAAGTGTTTAGGTGAAAACGTCTCACTGTTTAATTCAAATGACAAGTTAAGAAGTGCCATTTTGACCAATTTTGAGTTCCAAAACCATAGTTGTACAACAATCTATTAGGTTATCATGTAGACAAAGAATACAGAAGTGTGGAGTAATGAACGAGTGTAGGTAACACTATGTATGATGAACATCTTCCATTAAAATAAAAATGAATAAACCTGACTTCCAGTATTTAATGTTATCAACGAATATGGCAATATAATTTGGGACCTAATGGGTATGTCCACTGTAGCAAAATTGTAGGAAACAGCAGTGTGGACTAAACCTGTGTTCTACTGTGTATGTTTATGCGCATGCTATTCAAGTAACAGTAAGTATCTTATACTCTAAACCTCTTCCATAGGCCATTTCTGTTAAATTTTGTTGTTGTTGAGGGGGATGGGTTTGTGAAAACACCAGTTAATTTATAACTATCGTCTTTTAACCCCTGCTCTTCCCTGATCTCCAATTCACTTCAGTGTTTTAAAAAAGTGACTGGCCCATGTTTTTTGCACAGCCCTCCAATATCTGCCACTGTACTTTGGGGGTGAACCACAGTACACTCCAAGAACTGCCAAAGAGTATTGACGGAAAGGTTGGCCATGCTGTGAGAATACTCTGTTTACAAGTTTGCTTTCCAGGTCGCCTTAATGCACTTGTAAAATACAACATTGTGCGATACCAAAAGTCAACGGAGACTTACTGCAGGCTTTTGTGCAAGGGAGGCGCCAACTGGGGCGGAATGTTGACAAATCTCTCGTTGAGCATCAGTCCCACACTGTGCGTAGGATCGTTGAGGGTCCGCACAAATTGCTCCTGGTCTGCAGCCGGTGCGCACTTGGAACACTTCTCCTCTAGAAGGCTCTGTACGTCTTTTATGCAGCTTTCATTCTTTTGAAAAGGAAACATCAACAATATTTGATAGTTGTTGTAAAGACGAATTTTATTTTACCTAATCAATTCCATTCGGGCAGGGAAAGGGGCCACTGGCTCATAGTTTGGGTCTGTAAACCCAACACTGCTTGTGGTCTATTTGTCTGCAAAATAGTCCATTTTAGCTCCCCTCAGTACTGACCTATCGCCGTTTGCGAGTTAGCCACGCCCCTTAGACAACCCTATGGAATTTGTGTACGCTAAGTTTTGTTTGTCTCAGATGTATCACGTTCCGCGTCCATTTGTATATCATGTAATTGGACAATATTTCACAAACTGCGTTGACGCGATTCTAACGCAAGTCTACCGCGATAGGTCAATTGGAAGTTGACTAGCTGGTCATGCTAGTTCCGGAGGCAAAGCCGACGGAACCTCATTCATAAAGACCTTATCGGTCAAAAACCATAAACAGTTGAAAAGTTGACAAACTTCCCACAAGTTTTGTTCTGCCATTTTACTCCATGTTCGGGACTTTTCAATGGTGCGTGCGGTGCATTGCAGTGTGCTCGACATCTCCTTGTATTGAAAACAAATCAGTGGCTCTCAAGCCGGCAGAGCCCCTGGTACATACTGCATGCATGTGGCGCAGAGCACAGGTGCTCGTGACTAGTTTTAAACATTGCTGTTTAAACAATGAGCAGTGTTTAAAGCTATAGTCCATCATTTGCAGCCATCCGAAAAGTAACTGGCGTAATTATTGTTGAAAAACAAACTTGGTTGAAAGATAGTAAGGGAACTAAACTCCCTGTGAAATTATTCTTTCTGGGAAGCTGTCATTTTGAAATAATCAACGAAAGAAGGCATTTCCAACAGTGATTCTTAAGAAGCACCGTAGGAAAATTTAAATTAGTAGTTCGTTTTGTTATTCAGCGCAGCGCGCACAAGTATTGGAACGACGCACACGCGCGCGCGGTTGTTGTAATTCGTCGGATCAGTGCGCGACATCGCGTATAGCTGCAATTCAAAACAATTCAAAACATGATTCAGTAACTTTTGATTTGAAATTGAGATCTTAGAATGCTGTTTTTCTCGGAATGTACAGCTGAAGCTTAGCTGAAACTTCATCAGGTTAGTTGCTCAGTATCCTTCATTAGATTTTGAACTCTTTTGTTGCTTCAAACGAACAAAATGCACAAATTACAAATGATGGACTGTAGCTTTAAATGGAAGTTTAAAACCACCCACATGATGGGCTCTTGACCAATAGGGATAGGTTAACTGTCTCAGGTATTTATGAATAAAAGATTTACCCTCTTGTCAGAGATGTTGATAACCGTAATGATACCATATACATGGTCCTCATTGTCATCATCGTCACTGGAATCGCTTTCTTCTGCCAGCTGAGCTTCACTTTGCTGTAATTAAAGTGTCATTTTAACAAAAACACAAAACACAAAATATAAGGTGATTGATCAGCAGCAGATAAATTGACCTCAGACCTAATGACATCACCATTTGTTTACATGTGTGCTTCACTATGAGATCATAGGAAAGCGCACAAGTAAACAAAGCGTGACCTCATTAGGTCTTAGGTCAATTAATATTTTGTGCTCAACCAAAGAAATTAGAAGAAATAGGAATTAAAAACAAAAAACAAACAAATAAAAAGAAAGATGGTGCCATGCTGTAATTTTGAGAAATCACAGGTGATACTGACAAAGTTACTGCAGCTTCAATTTGAAATGTAACTGTGTATCAGTGTAAATTAAAGATGTTTAAAATATTTGTCTTACGTTGGAACTTTTCTCATAGGACCTTCACATGAGTTTAAATTAGATATTGAGTGTTCATCTTTGTCTACAAAAGCCATTCCTAGTATCAGAATATCTGGTTTTCATGAGCTCAGTACGTACCTTTAAGACACTTCCCACGTGATTCTGCGACAAGACCAGGTTGGACAGCTCTGAAATATTGACTTTGCTCTTCAAAAAAAGCTGCGAATGGAAAAAAAATATCTAGAGGATTCTTTTCTCAAGACTGGAATTGACTGGATTTCACACATAACCCTCCCTCTCTGTCTGAAAAATTCAGCCAGTCAAAATCAATCAAGTGACTGGGTTTAACAGTTAAGAAATCCCTTGTGAATTTGATACAGCAAATGCTCAGTTTGACAGGAGGTAATTGATATACCAGCTGTACCTACCAGGTACCTCTTTTGTCTGTCGACGGAATTGGACAGTGACACTAGTGTTTACACAAATGTGATCTGACTGTTTTTTTTACTAGTCTGTATACAAAATGATTGGCAGGGGAAGTTGAAGAACTTTTTGACTGTCTGTGACTGAACGAGAACAACAGGAGGGTTAATTAAACAAGATGTCAAACTGCATGATGCCAGTTACGTGATTAATGTTACCTGTTGTAGTAATATTTTAATCCCGTGGAAGTCATCATCCTGTGGTGGCAGAGCTTCAAACTCAACCTGAACCTCCTGTATGGAAATAGAACAAATAAGACAAAAAACAAACATTGTAAGTTAAAGGGAAAATACAACATTTGCAAACATCAAAAAATAAAACTACCAAATCATTTTGAAATACCTTGCTGGAGTGTTAGTGAATGACAGTGTAAAGCATCCTGTAAAATCATGGCACCTGGTATACTGTCATTTTCAAGAAAAGTGGTATTTTTGTATCAATTTCCAACGCTGGTCGGCCGACCAGCGTTGGAAAAAACTGGATTTTTTTCAAATACTGGCCCCAATTGACCATCGCACTTGTTTGCAATCGATTACACACCTATGAACGGGTACAAGCCAGCTAGACTGGTTCCCTGACCTTACAATTCCCCAATGTATGTAAACTGCTCTGTTTCTTCTTATATGGAGTCAGGGAACCAGACTACAGGAAAATGATTGTTTTTCTTGGTTTTTATAGCATTTTCGAACCCAAAACCTCAAAAAAAGTCAGTGTAACTATATTTGCTATATATTTCCAACCCCCCAATTCCATCCATTTCTGAAAATTACAGCAAAAGCAAATGATGTATATTCCCTTTAAGATGAGTTTTATCAAATTGGGTGCAGATTTCTCACACACTTTGGTTAACAAACCATTTTGAAATTGAAGTGCACCTTGGGCATGAATGAAAAACAAATTAAACCAGACAACTTGTGCACAAACCTATGGCCTGGGCCTGTGAACTGGTTAAAACTTTCATTTGTTCCTCCAAACTATATCCAGAGTTAAAGGGAATATACAACATTTGCAAACATTGAAAAATAAAACTACCAAGTTTTTACGAAATACCTTACTAGGATGTTGGTAAAGGACTGTCTGAAGCATCTTGTAAAATTATGGCACCTGGTGTGAAGTCATTTTCGAGAAAATGGTATTTTTGTATACATTTCCAACGGTGGTCGGCCGACCAGCGTTGGAAAAACCTAACTATTTTTCAACCACTGCTCCAAATTTACCTTTTTTTTTCAGTCCAAATTTTGTTTGCTATTGGTTACATGTTCATGAACGGGTGCAGGCCAGCTAAGACTGGTTCCCTTGCCTTGCAATTTTCCATCATCTATAAATTGATCCATTTTATCTTTTGTGGAGTCAGGGAACCAGACTACTTGAACATTTTTGTTTTTCTTGGTTTTTCCAACCTTTTCGAACACAAAACTTCAAAAATGTCAGTGTAACAATATTTGATCTATTATACTAACCCCTCAAATAGTTCATTTCCGAAAATTACAGCAAAAGCCAATGATGTACATTCCCTTTAAGTAATCATCTGTTCACACATTACTGCATCGGTAATTTGAAATATACTTATATTAAGAATCACAATATAATTATAAAGCTTATCAGAATGAAGACACTTTTGGGGAATCCTTTTTAGATACCAGTTTCATGTCTCAACTGTGTTCCTCCCAATATTGGCCAACGAGAACAAAGATTACATTGTATATAAGCTCTTTCCAATCACAATCATTCCTCAGGGCCTGATGACTGGTACCTTGACAAACATTTCGAGAACAATTTCTACTTTTTTCCTAATATAAAGTTTACCAAACAAAAGAATTTTATTTACAAATTTTCTGTGCATTAATTAGGTGAAGTTCTGATGATCAAGTAATTTTTGAAAAAGACTTAAGAAAAACTGAAACTGAAAAGTTTGACCAGTTCACTGCCCCCATAAGTTTGTGCATAAACTGCATTGCTTGTTTGTCATCCAAGCGAATGTCAAAAAGTTAATAAAAGGTTTAATTTTGAGTCCACATTCACCAGATATGTCACATAGTACATCCATACAGGAGAACAGCTAACTTTTAAACTGGTGGTTTGTTTGAATTTGTAATGTGCTGAATATATAGTATTAGTACAGGCCAAGTGGTGTCTGTTGTCTGGTTCCCCAACCCAATAGTTTTCAACATCAGGATTTTTGGCTGCTGGAACCAGACTATCATTCTGAATGGTTCTTAATCTTGGTTGGTCTTTACTTAGGACTTCCCTTTTAAAACAAAATCCTCCAAAAACACTAATTTAATTACAAAAGAAGAACATGAAATCGACATATAAAAAATAAGGAATCGATTAAACACATAAAAGTACAGAGAAGTTGAAAACTATTAACAGAAAAAAGAACGCATTTTAGTAATAGTAGGACCCCAGCTGCTACACACTACAGCAGCACGAAACCAGCACGATCGCCGATAAAGTGAACCTGTCCGGAATCTGGGCAAATCATTCGTTTCTTCGTGCAAAAGTAATAAGAAAAACATTTAATCACCTCATTTATTTCCTCATGAGGTGAATCATCTTCATATCCTTCTTCGTCATCATCTAAACTTGAGTCGCTGTCCTCTTTTTTATCAGGAATCTCTTCTTTTTCATCCAGATTTCCTTCAACACGCCTTTTCTTACTGTAAGTCGCCATGTTGAATTTTCACAGGCTCGTTCAGATAGCTTTCTAAAATGTATTACAAAGTTCAAGTAATATACGCCCATTTCTTCAATTTGAACTATGATTATAAAACAATTAATATGAATTTAATTTGGAAAATATATCTATTGCATGAAAATAGTTTAGATTACTTTGTCACTGCATGGGAAAAACAATTATTGTGAAAGCTCCCAACATCGAACGACGGCTGTTGCGTGTCGATGTTATTGCAGTCAGCTGGCTGGAACAGTTGGATACTATGTGCAAAACCGGAAGTGGTCAAGAAGGGAGGACGGAGGGGAGATGTGTGCGTGGTTTTGTTTATCAAATAAGTGATGTACATGTAGTTAATTTTTTGGGCAAAATGTTGCAACCTGACGCCACTTTTTTCTTCATATGTCATCTCAATCATCTTTTTTTTTTTTAAGTCATTGCAAAAATGATGATAAGACATGAATCTGGGACTGTGAGTGTGAGAAACATTTCCAATTTTGTTAGGAATATTTAGACAATTTTCTTGACTCTCCATAGAATTTGTACACAACCACTGAAGTGACGTCAGGTTGCAAAATTATTTCCCAAGATCATGCTGTGCACTTGGCCCATTTTATTCCATCAATAGAGGGCGGTATAAATTATTAACAGAGATTATTACCGGTAAGGCGGTATACATTCATTACATATCCTTTTGGAAAAAATTGTGCAGACGGACGCCACTTTTTTCTTTATATTTCATCTCAGTTAAGATCAGTCATTGCAAAAATGTTGAAAAGAAATGAATCTAGGACTAAGAAACATTTCCAATTTTGTTAGGAAAAATTACTTCTTTTCTTGACTCTCCATAGACTTTGTACACAACTGCTGAAGTGACGTCAGGATGCAACATTCTTTTCCAAATCTAGATTGTTGTGCGTAGTACTTTTCAAAGCAACAAAGTTTCTTGCCATCTTGTAAATAATCGAACTTGTGTTAAAATTGTGTTAACAATAACCGTGAACTGGTTCCCATTTCCAGTCTAATGTAGGCCTGATTTTGTAATATTTGCGCCAATTTCACTCTCTGTGTCTTTTGCCCCAACTTCGAATTGAGTTGACTTTTACGCGGCAATGACATGGTGTTTAGAACAGTGCCATGCCACTGCCATTCGTAATGGCGATAGTCGGCAGCCCTGTCGGTGTCACCCTAGAGGGCGTTGCCATGCCGAACTCAATTCCCCAAGCCAAATGGTTCTAAAAGCCGTGCTATCGCTGTGCTATTACCGTGCCATCGCTATGCCGAATTCAAAAAGTCAAATCAACTGAGTTCCGCACATGGCAGTAGCTCAGCGTCTAGAACAGGCGTAAATTATAGGAAAGGGGCCCGTAACTACACAACTGCCCAACATGTCTATTCCTGAGTATCACAGAGGAACCTGTCCACTGTTTTGTGCAAGTTTACATTTAGCCAAAGAAAGTTATGCTATTGGTTTTTTTTTTCTGAAATAGACCTAATATAATGGACTTGATAAGAAGAGTTTTGCTGTTACGAGCTCCCAGAGAAGACAATGAGCATGACCCATATCAACAGGTAAGCTATCTGTGGGGAACAATAGAGGGCGACTGCTCTATGTTCCAACACCCCTATGTTCCGACACCCCTATGTTCCGACAACCCGCACACAAGATTGTGTTACTCCCGGTTAGGGTTAGGGTTAGGAATAGGAATATGGGCAGTCGGAACATAGGGGTGTTGGAACATAGGGGTGTCGGAACATAGGGGTGTTGGAACATAGAGGTGTAACCACAATAGAGGGCGCTTTGTTACCTAGCCCCGATGTTCCATCGGAATGACAGAACTTTGCACATCCGTTGCTGTTCAACATTTTAATAGTGTACGGCGTGTGCCAATAAAAATGTAGCAGTCAATCCATAAATATTAAAAAATACTAGCACTCCCTTTTTGCAAAACTTGTCTATAGAGTTTGAAGATATAGTACACAATGGTCTTTATCCCATCTCATTTGGACACCCAGTGCAGAGATACAGTTCATTAAAATGAAAGGACTTGAATTTCAAGTTGGGCCACTTTTCAGATTATCTGGTATCTAATGAAAGGCATTCACATACCGAGAAGGTGAATGCCTTTCATTAGATACCAGATAATCTGAAAAGTGGCCCAAACAGATTTTGACAGTCTTTACAAGCTTCGAATCAAAGTCCGAATCACACAGAACAAAAATCCTGTCATGGGTAAGAAACACATCATTTATGGTAATTTTTTTTTTTTTTTTTTTACCCCCCAAAATGATTTAGTTTCCTCAGAAAAGAATGTTGTTTGACTGCTACATTTTTTTTAGGCATGCTGTAAAGCCCAGCTGCCTAGAGCTGTCATTATTAATGTGAGCTACCAGTCTGGGCCATCACTACAACTGTTCACTTACTTTCAAAAGATACAATTTCATGTTGACTTTTCCCTTCAGATTCTCTGCCTTTTTAACCCTAACCGCCCTGAATCCTCCAAAATCCTTTTTGCAAATTGGAGGAATTTGCAAGATTGAGGTTACATTTTTGTACATGTATAATGGCAAAAGTGGGTTGCTGATTTCGGAGTACGCACTGTGTCAAGGTCTTGGGCTGGACCTTGTGTTGTTTATGCTCAGCCGTGCATAAATTTAGTCCTTGATTATACTTGACATCCTCCGCACTGCTCCAGGATGTCACTGCCTCTGCCTCAGCCTATTGACAGACATAGCCGGAGGATTTTGCAGGATTCAGGCAGTGGTCATCCCTCCATGGGCCATATTCAAGAAATAATGGAGGAATTTGCAGGATTGAGGCTATATGCTATTTTTCCATGAGGCCAGTTGGAGGATTTTGCAGGATTGAGGCTACATCCTAGCAAAAAGGCCTAGGGAGTTGGGGTTAATCAAGCTTCAACCCTGTGATGAGTGACTGAAGTCTAAAATTGCGTTAGGTCTGATTCGCATCTCCTGAATATGAAGTCCCATTGATGTTGTTTACAAGCATGCTTGTTGCCAACTTGTGCCATGCTTGCATTCTGGGGCATATTTTACAGACTTTATGGATTATTTTTTGTTTTCCCACCTGGTGTAGGGGGGGTGTTGGGGTGTAAACCTCCTACACCCTCTCGTAGATTCATCACTGATTATGCTGTTGCAGAATTCTGAAAATCTAATATCACCTAGGATTAACCTAACACCCTTAGGATCTTTATTCACTTCACAAATCCATCAAAATCTATTATTTAAAAGTTCTTATGAACATTTATGAAATCTAAGGCTCGCAGCAAGCTTGCAAGCTCATTGGTACATGTGGGCTTGCCAGAAATCTAGCTGACATGCTTGCCCTGCAAGCTTGCTGTTAGCTTGTTGCGAGCTTGCAGGGAAGCTTTCAGCAAGTTTCTAAATAGTTATTTCATAAATCTTTCACACAGTAGTTTCGTAGTGTTTCTATGGTATTCTGAATTGGTTTATAAGAAAAATCAATCCAACACCTTTAAAATGATTTGTATCAGAACACACTATGAGCATCGGTTTAATCTCATAAAGGAGACCTAGTGCGTTTGGCCATGTTCTTACATTGTTCCAAGCATCCACTACTTAAACAACTACACTAGCAAGAGTCCAGCAGTTTCCCGATGACGAACCGAGCACATTGTTGGTAACGTCGAGTAAAAACACAACTGGTTCTCAAAACCACACAACTCAAAAGAGATATTATTCACATGGTTGTTACTGCAAACCTTCCATTCTTTGTACGTTGTTCCTTCGTTAAGTTACATCTTGAAATAAAAGATTATATATAACAAGACCTCCTTGTCCAGTTCAAAGTATGAAAAATTTATGAATCCCGTAGGGCATGCATTTTCTAGCTAAAAATATTGTTGACACCACTCTGAAATATTTGGCTGGCTGCAGGTGATATTTAAATAGAACACTCAATTACTTGATGTAAGCTGATGAAGACTAATTCTTGGGGGCATTTGTGTCATTTCTGTAATGAATTTAAGGGCAGTGCTAGTTGAGCTTGTCTTGGTCTGGTATGCTCCACATTCATTTGAAGATGACATCTATTGACTTTTTCTTAATTGAGGGACTATTATTGCAGGTCCTTTGCCCCCCGTTTTTTTTTGGGGGGGGGGTTGTTTTGGTTTTTTAAACCTTTTTAAAAACAAAGCTTTGGATTTTGGTTTTATAAAAAAATTATGTTTTCCACATTATAAACAAAATGTGCAGTCTATACAAAACTCTTTCACCCAGTTTAGCCCTTACTCAAGGGCAATTCCACGGTAACGGAAGGACGTTTTCACTCATTAAACAAAATTTCAAATGTGTGTATCACAGACACTGTTCATAGTTACAGCAAACAAATGTCACAATTGTATTGCTATAATGCTACTTTCATTTTCCACACTTTTGAGGGGGAAAGAATGCCTCCCGTTTTTGAATAATGAATATTAATGAGGTCGGTAACGGAAGGACGGTAAAACGGACAAGGGTTTTTCAACTTACTCGCGTTTTGCGTAAACTCTGTGAATTTTATGGGGCAATTATATTTTAAAGGTAAGAAATGGAATCCCTGAAGCTTTATCTATACTATACCGCCTTTCATTTGACTTTAAGTGTTTCGGTAATATAATTACAACGTTTTAAGCAGATTATGATTTGGTAACGGAAGGACGGTAACGGAAGGACAAAAGGTTTACTCAATTACAGCATGAACAAAATGTGAATTTACACTAATTATACAAGTGAAACAAATTACTGAAATGTATAACTGAATGTGAAATCAACAATATGCAGACCTGGCATAAATAATTATACCCAAGAAACTATTGAGATAAAGATAGAAGCCTGCTAATTAATGATAACAAAAGAAAAACGAAAACAACCCAAAACACATAATTCACGAACACAAGACAACTACAGAAATGGACTTCAAACCCATCACCTCAATCCTTAAAAGTTTAAATACACAGTATTTCAACTCTTGAGTATATTGGTTACATGTTCACTAACAACTTTTAATAATAATACCGGTAGGTTCAGTGGTTTACCTAAAGGGTGGGGGGGGGGGGCCGACCAGCCTACATGTACATTTAAGGTAAAAACATCTACCGGTAGAACTGATGGCTTCAGTTAGGTGTTGCTTTTAATTGAACTGTAAAATCAATGTTTGAAATCAAATTACAATGATTTAGAGTAGTAACAATTAATTTTTAAACATCCAAACTGAAATTGTTAACTTGGGCATAATTTGTCAAAGATTGCACCTCACATGTCTTACACATGTAAATTGAATGAAAGTGCCCCAAAGTACCGGTACTTTCTGCCATCTCATTTTTGACTTAATTTGCTTCTGGAATGGCTTCACAGAATTCGTATCTTTCTCTATTGTCCATGAATGCTGATGGCAGCAACTTTATGATTTGATTTTCTGCAACAACTCCATACATGTACAAGTACTGGTACATCAGCATATATGTACATGTACATTGTACATGTTGTACATGCCTGTGCCTTCCTTTGTAATAAACACCTTGCCCTGCTTATCCCGCTTTTGTGAAGGTTGGTCACATGAATGTCCTTTCAATGCTCATTATACATGCACGTATTTGCAGTGATTTTCATTTTTCAAACATGAGCGCAAATGTCGTAACATTTGATAAAAATACGGTTTGTCCTTCCGTTACCGTCCTTCCGTTACCAATTTGGTAACGGAAGGATGTGATTTAATTAATTGTAATTAAAAAACGAGAAGAAAAGCAGTGTCAGTTATAATGTCATATTGAAGGCCTACCTAAACTTGCTTTGCACAATAACTTTCAATGCATTCATACTGCAAGTTTTAAAAATAAATTAAAAATATGTATATTTTCGGTAACGGAAGGACATTTTCGAAGGCTGAAATATTTGAAGTCACTGAAGCGAAGCAAATTACGCAAAATGTTAAAAACAAGTTTTAGTCGGTTTTTCAAGACCAATACTTTCTCATGACAGAAACTGATGGCATTAGTACATATTTTTGTGTGTGTTTTGGTAGAATACTTTCATATCACTATTAATCCTATTTTTAGGATTAAAACAGGATTATTACATAATCCTATTTTTTGGTACTGAAATGTATAAAAAATAAAATTCCAACTTCAAATCTTGAAAATATAGACTTCTAGCTTTCATTTGATGCCAAATTTGTTTAAGTCACATGTATTTGAATTTTTTGGTGTCATGTCCACTTTGGTGTGGAATTGCCCTCAAGTAAAATTCTAGAAAATGCTCTAAAATTCAAAAAGAAAATTCTAGATAAGGTTGCCTTACACACATTTATTTTTGAGAAAAGTTTCTAAGGAAGTCCTTTTTTGTTTCATACATGTACTGTCCATGCTTTTTTTTCAAGTTTTACCCTGAAAAGAATGGATTATTTTTATAAATAACTATTTTTTTGTAGCAAATACAAAAGTTATTTACCTCGAATGAAACATTGGATGAAAAAAACAACACACTTTAAGCAAAGCTCTATGTTCTTATTCAGGTACCTGCATCGCAGGCACAGTTTTACAGGGAAAAAAACACAGAAAAAAAATCACTCTCTAACCAATGTTCCAAAATTATACGTCCAGTCAAAGCAAAACTGAACATGGCCAGACGGCAGCTTTAACTGGCCATTCCAGATAGTGCGCAGAGTTGAATAAATAGCTCCAAGTTTCTATGTAGAGCTGTAGGCAAGAAGTAGGTCACGTGCATGTCACGGAAGACGTTGCACATGCCATCCATCCTCAGGTGAAGATAAATATATTTATTGGCTACACCAGATGAAGGAGTGCATATCCGGTGCGTGGGCTTCAGGCCAGTAACTATTTCTTCTAAGTGCTCCGAGATCTTCTGGTGTTTTTTATTTTTTGTATATAAATAGAGCGTTTCCGATCTGTGTTGGTTTTACCACACGGAAGGGGGGGGGGGGACTTGGTGAGGCATTCCAGTAGAAAGTCACCATGAATGAAAATCAGTGCTTTGCTGTGAAGTAGGTCACCCATGAGGGTCTCTTGTGTAAGAGTAATTTACCGTGACGGATTTAAGTGACTTTTTTTTTTCTTCTCTTGTGCGACTGCGAGCGGAATTTGGATGATAAATTACCATTGGATACATGTATTTCACCAGCCCTCTTCCAGCGGAGGCATAAATTTGCCGAGTTTATTTAACAAGCATTCGTCAAGCTGCTTATTTACTTGGATTTATGTTTGTGTTTAAATCAGGTTAATTTAATAGGTCAAACAAATAAGCAGTTTGATTGATTGGCTCCGAGGTTTGGCTATTCATCTTCGGCAGAGCTCGATATTTGGGGTTTTATCCGTTTTTTTTTTTTTTTAATTTACTAGCCAGGTGTGCAAACATGAGGAAGATTTCTGGGCTGTCAAAAGTACTTGTTAAGTTGCAGTGAAAAAAACACTAACCAAGGTTCTTGAAATTCATTTTTGATTTGTAAAAAAATGATATGTAAAAGTAGAAGATACTTGTGAATTTTTGTTTACACGTGTAGCACATGAGGACAAGTTCAAGGGGCAGTTAGCAAAACAATGGAACACTAACAACACTCAAAGACAATTTACAGAGCAAAAAGTATGTTAGTAGCTTACATTAAATTAAAGGTAGTATACAACATTTGCTTTTGGTGTAATTGTTAGAAATGGATTTGGGGGTTAGTATTTTATAGCAAATATTGTTACACTGACATGTTTCAAGTTGTGCGTTCACAGATGCTTGGAAAAACCAGGAAAATAATGTTGTTCTTGTAGTCTGGTTCCCTCACTTTGCCTCAGACAATATGGAGCAATTTATAGACGTCCGGAACTTTCTTTTGGGATTTATTTGGTGTAGCTGGAGGCAGCTTTACAAAATTGTAAGGTGGTTTGCATTGCCAGAGCACCAATACAGCATTCTAGAGTTCAGTGGTTCGACTCCTGCTTGTGTCAGCTCATGCTCAAATTTATAAGGTTTGGTTTCCCATGGGTTTTATTTGATGTATCCATATCACAAGATCTTATCTAGTATCTTGTTTATACCTCTGTTGGTAGGGACATGGTAAATTGTTCGTTGGTTCGACCCCCGCACCGGTCAATTTCTTTGTTCAACTTCAGTATTCATATTTTATGTTCAAATTTCTAGATATTTGCAGAAGGAGGCATAGATGCCACGTCCATCTCACCTCTCAGCTTTGACTTCCTCAACCTTGAAGAGCTCTACGCTCACATCACCCATCCAGAGAAGTATTCTGGGCTTGTGTTCTCCAGTGCCAGAACTGTCCAGGCGGTGGAGAAATGTGTCAGTCGGTTCTCTAGCCTTGAAGGTGAACCACCAACTCTTGTGGTAATTTTATGAAGATATTTTAGATAAACCCAGAAGATTGTGAATGATTTTGGATATAGAAGCGAGCCACTTGTACTCAAACAAAAAGAACGCAGTACTGAAAAGAATGTGATCTTGGATTTCTGTTCGGTAGTGGATATTGGAGGGTTCAGAAATGTTCCTGACAATAATGGCTTGCAGTTCGATGTTGCTGAATGTAGACGGATTAAGTGAAATAGTAACCCTCCTGCTGTCTGAACAGTCACAGACAGTCAAAAAATCAATCCTCTTTCCCTGCCATGCATTTTACACAGGCTAGTCACTAACAGTCAGATCATATTTCAAGCAAGCACTGTGACCACTCAAATTCAGTCAACACTCAACAGACAAAATCAGGCAAGTGGTAGGCACAGCTGGCTTATCAATCACCGGCGGACAGTCAAAGCATAGCTGTATCAAGTTACATAAACAGTCACAGCCAGTCAATCCTGCTTTATGTAGGGTAGGAGTTTTTAACTGATAAAAACAGTCACTTGACTGATTTGGATTCCTAAAGGACAACTTTGCACAGTGTGTATGTTTGCATCTAGGAGATTTTGCAATATTTTTCTGGCAAAACTTCACCATGAAGGTGGGGATGGTTAATGCCTTTGATTCAATAGTTTGGGCTGAAATACAAGAACCAAGATGATATACATGTACACACCCTGGGAAGCTTTTTTTTCTCTCTCTTTTTTTAAGCACCCAGTAATCAGGGATAATAATGCTGTTGTCCTATGAGCAAAACCATGGATATTTGAACTGTGTAATGCTCACACTAATTAATGCCATGTAGGATCATTCACAATTACCCGGAAAGTACCTACTGAATTAATGACAGAAACCTTGCACAAACTAAAGAAAGGACTGGTATTAAACAATCTGTGAAATTATTCCGCCTGAAATGGTATTGTTTGGGAGCAAACTAATCTTGAAAGTGGCACACTTTTTGCGTGTGTTAGCAACGGAATTCAGTAACAAACCCAAAACATTTTCTCTGTTTACTAAAAATGTGTAGTATCCACTGACTTGAAATTCAATGGGTTAGTTGATGTGCACCCTACTTACGATTTTTAGCAATTTGTTGCTTCAAATGAAAACAAATTGCACAAAAAGCAAGTGATCCTATGTACATTTAATTATTATTTCTATTGTGTGTGCAGAATGGCAGAGAACATTACAGAAGGATTGGGCAGCTCTACCCACTTACACCGTGGGGACGGCCACTGCTTCAGCTGCCAGAGATTTAGGGTTGACTGCATTGGGTGAGGATGCTGGTAGCGCCGTCAATCTAGTCAAAGTCATCAAAGAAGGTACAATGAATTCTTATTTTTAGCTACATTTGGTATTACTTGGCAAACTCATTAGTCACTGTAGTACCCTTGACTGCCGTGCCTATTACCTCCCTGTCAGCGCCAACACTGCCCGAGCACTCAATGGTTTTTATGGATTTTCAGTGAATAAACACCAATACAATGTAGTGCAGTTGCTAAACATGGGAAGCAAGGTATGTAAAAAAAAAAAAAGGAAGAAACCATTACTTTTTTATTTCAAAAACCATTTGGTATACATGTACCTTTGCATTATTTTACATTGTCGTATTTATATAACTATTAGGGAAATTTCCAAATTTCCTTTAAAAAAAATTGGGCCTTCACCCATACAAAATTAGGTCTACATCCATATGTCTTCTTTACATTTACTTTGATTCACATTGTATTTTCCTGTGTTCTGAAAGCATTGTTCAGGATATTAAATTAAAGTCACTGAATTTCTGAATGTGTGTACCGGGTAATACAGAATCAATTAATCATGTATCAAGATATTGTAATTATTTTTTTCAGGTATAACTCCAGGTAGCAAGCCTCTGCTTATACCTCGTGGGGAACTGGCGAGAGAAGAACTCACAAAGGGCCTGAATCAAGCAGGTATTTGGCAATACGGGCGATTCACAATAGTGCGCCTCCAAGAGTTTGCAACGCGTTGGCCAATCACAATGCGCAAAATCTGTCGACCCAATGCGCGTTTGGAAAAGGTCGACTGATTTCGCGCATAGTGATTGGCCAACGCGTTGCAAACTCTTGGAGGTGCACTATTGTGAATCGCCCGTATTTCTGCAGCATTTCAGGTTCATACTTTTAGAGGTCATTCTATAAATTTGGGGTCCACGTTTTTGGAAAGAATGCCGCTTTTTTCACCATATATTATCTGAATGAAGGTCAGTCTTTGCAGAAATGTTGAAAAGACATGAATCTTGGACTCAGAAACATTTCCAGTTTTGTTAGAAAATAGTTTGAAATGCACTTGACTCTCCATAGCTATGATTTGTGAGCGTAACAGGAACATGGTGAAAAGGAACATGGTGCTTGCACAACTGCAAGCACCATTTTATTGTGCATTGTATTTATTGATTTGGTTTGGCAAAGAGTACTTTGACTGAGTGTGAGTTAAGCAAAGAATTCATCTTTAGTTTGGCAAATAGTTAGGCAGATTGGTGCAAAATATAATAGAATTGCTTATTTGAGGATAAAAGCATGAAAGTTGGCACACAGTAAGAAACATGCCCAAGAGAAACATTTTAGCTATAAGGCCATCGCAGATTTGAACTTTGCAAAAATATAGGTACCGGTAGAATAACAAAAATTTTCACAATTTTAAAAATGGCTGCCATTGCTTGTTATTCTACCTATATTTTTTCAAAGGACAAATCTGCAATGGCGCCACAGCCAAATATCTTTCTCATAGTCATGAAGTACTCTGATTGTGTGCCAACTTCCATGCTTTTATCTTCAAATGAACAATCCCATCCCCAATTTGCCGTACTAAATGAAATCATTTTGAGACTATCCTCTGGCTTGCTCTTTGCATTACAGGTATCAGCTATGAGGTGGACACTGTGTATCAGACGATAAGCAGTCCAACATTGGAAGGCAATGTGGAAAGATACTTTGAAACGGTATGTTTAGTAATACTTTTTATCAATACTCTATTTTATATTAATTTGGACTGCTTTTCTTGTTGGATTGCTTTAGCTACAAAAGAAAATTGTTTGATTTTGGAGTTTCTAATTTTTTCTTGGGGGACGGAATAATTTATGCTGTGCATTTTTTTTTTATAAGTTAGCATTCGCTTATTACAACTTGGACTTACATGTAATTGAATATTTGAATGTTCAATTTCGAAATGCACTGATCAAGGTAAGCATGCTCCAGCCAGAACTGGCAGCCAATAGGGATTTTAATAGCGGGCACCTGCGCTTGTCAAAAATTGACCAAAGCTGACTAAAATAATACAAAGAACAGGTAGCAGTGGCTGATATTTGACTGATTTTAAAGAAGAAATTTGAGCTAATATTCCTCATGGACGCTCTCAAATCATACGCGATAATGGCTTTCAACAAAAGTGTGGCATTTGACAAACAATAAAACCACACAACTTAGACGTTTTTCATCATCGATCGATTTTGTCAATATTTGTATAAAAAAATTCTGTTGGGATATTTGTTTGATGATCAAATATTCGAATATTTCGGTATAACGCTATTTATCTCACAGATTATCAGGTCTTTGCTAATATAATATTCCGTACAAATCTATTTATCTCACAGATATTTTTCACGCCACAACAAATTGTTCACTGGAGTAAAATAATATGATATTCGGAAGCTATATTGTGCATTTTTAGTGTGAGTATTCCCAATCTTTACTGACTTCATTTTTGTTCATCGTCCACAGGCTGTACCCAATGCCATTGTCTTCTTCAGTCCTTCTGGTGTCAGCTTTTCAGCTGATGTCCTCAAGAGACTGAATACTGCCGACATCAGAGTAAGTCTCTCATTGTTCAATTGCACCGATATCATAGCAGTGTTGTAGTCGAGTCACTTGGGTTGAGTCGGAGTCTCGAGTCGCTTAGGCCGAGTCCAAGACTGAGTCTCGAGTCCTTTGCTTTGAGTCTGAGTTCGAGTCACGAGTTCATGGATATCAAAGGTTGTCAATCGCTTCTCAAAAGCGGAGGGGACAAACCTTGATGAGTATTAATGTGAGCGCGAAGCCCTAACGGCGTGGGGTTCGGTGCCCGCTTAAGGGCCCAGAAAAATTTTGGATTCTAGACGCTCTGTGGTGCGATCTGAGGAAATTTTTTGAGCAAAAGATCATCTTTTAAACATCATTTTCGTGTTTAGAGTCATTGAATCAGCTATTCTGAGCTGTAGAATCTTATAGTAGGCTACAATTTTATGCGGGAACAAAAAAGTGGGGGGGGGGGGTACAAACGATATGATATCCCCCCACTTTAAAAAGTGGGGTCCCCCACTGATTGACGCTTTTGATGGATATGTACGGACATATATAATGGCATGCAAGCGATACTTCAGTGATGTGCTGTCATGGAATGGGTGCATATTTAATACATAACAAACATTATTATTTATTATATTAATTAAGAATACAATAAGGGGAATACTGTTAATGTTCTACATGCCTGCGGCTCGTCCACGTTGTAACTGCGTCCTTCCCAATTCAGTTTACGCTGTGAGTAAGGACGATTAGCCCCAAATTTATTTTTCTTTTATCTTTTCCATAAGTTTTCCTAACCGTGTAACTTTTTTTCCAAAGGCTATATCGTATTTTGGAACTAAACTCTTCCAATGGATGGCACCTAGGTATTTGATGTTCATTCCAGAAAAAAATATATGCCTGCTGATGATGGGGGTAAAAATGTGAAATAAATTATAAGTGTTAATCATACAAATGTCATTATTATCATTCAGTTAAGAAGCTGGAAGTCACATCTGTGCATTGACACAAATGTTTTGCCTGGGCACTGGCCATATTTGTCGCCGCGTCAAAAAACCTCAAGATGTGCAAACATGGCGAGAGATCGCCCCACAATAAGCCACAAATACATACAAAAAAACCTGACAAATGTGAATTGCACTCCAGCCCGTCAACACAGCCCTTAATCTCTGGGGCCCTGTTTATGCCCAGTCCTTGCTAGTTTACTTAACTCCTGACATCCCCTTGTCCGGCCGGTGGGTTTTTTAGCCTCCATATTTTCTTGCGGGGCAGAATTGATTGTAGGAAGGTAAATATTTATCCCCTGGTGTCAGGGGACCATGTTGAGGAAATGATTTGCGCCGGGAATTCGGTAGTTGAAAAAAAAATTACATGAGTGTCAAAACTGACAGGATTGTTTTTTTCTTTATATTTTGGTGTTGGAGGGTGGTTGCAGATGAATGGGATTTTTCTCATACTACTGGTCTTGAAAAAACTTCCCAGTTCTTCGTCTGCACAGTACTTTCACCTGAGTGGTTGGAGGAAGTATTTCCAAGGGACAATCACCATTCTATCTTTTGTAGATATTTTATGAAATCAGTTTGCTTCAAGTCTACGAACCTAAATGTTCATTCTCTGTTTGTGTTGTCCAAAAGGGAATCAAATTCCTTAGGCATTTTTTGATAGGATGCAGTCTCAATCCTGCAAAATCCTCCAGCTGCCTCCATGTAAAAATTGCATACAGCCTCAATCCTCCAAAATCATCCAGTATTTCTTGAATGTGGTCCTTGGAGGGGTGACCACTGCCTCAGTCCTGCAAAATCCTCGAGCAATCACCGTCAATATGTTGAGGTAGATCGAGCCAGTGACATCCTGGAGTAGTGTGCAGGATTTCAAGTATGATGTAGGGTTAAATTTTTGCACGGCCGAGCATTACAATACAAGGTCCAGCCCAAGACCTTGACACAGTGCATCCTTCAAAATGAGCCACACAGTTTTGCCATATAGCCTCAGTCCATCAAAGTCTACCACTTACTCAAGGAGGATTTTAGAGGATTTGGTAAGGTTAGGCTTAATCTAGCAAGTTCCAAACTCCCCAGCTAATGCCGGTACCCATTTATACTCCTGGGTGGAGAGAGGCAAGTGGGGATGAAGTGGCTTGCCCAAGGACACAACATATGGCCAGCAGCTGGATTCGAACCCCTGACCCCCTGATCGTGAGCCACAAACCCTAACCACTAGGCCACACTCCCCCTCAATGAATGTCTGTCAGGTGGGAGTTACTTGTAGAAAGTACCATGGAAATGGGAGATGTGTCCAGCTTGCTGCAAAAAGAAAAACAGAAAACATAGCTATAACTACATGTACATTAAAAAAGCTTTTACGCCCAGGCCGATCAATCCGTTCTTTGGAATTTTGTTTCCTGACATTCTCCAACCGAGATCGCAGCTGAGGTCACCTGCTGGTTAGAAGCAGACTCGTTTATCTCCAAAGCGACCCTGGATGTTTACAAACAGCACACACCTGTACAAGCCCGTTACGGGAATTCAGGCTTTCCCCTTGGCTGGAATTCATAAACTATGAATTAATGAGGCCCAAACTGTTAATTGAAGGCCATAAATTGAACGCTGACAACAACAATAAGAAACGGTTTGCTTATTTTGGCTAAACTGCCTCCATCACTCAGTCCCTGGGTGAGATTATTGCCAAGCCTTGGCAAAAGTCCTTGACACAAGCAAAGAAGGAAAAAAAGGTGTACCCAGACTTATAATCATCACCTAGCTACAAAATATACTCGAAATAATGTCACAACTGTTAAAAAAAAAGGTCAATGCTAAACTTGGGAGCGCAGCGATAACAACATTGTCTTGCATTTTGCCTGAGAAATTATCTAATAAATAAATAAATAATAAACATTTTGCCCCCTTTTTTCAGTTCTGAAATAAGAATACAGGTGAGTTTTAAAGGTAACACCTGGTACATGTATACAACATTTGCTTGTGCTGTAATTTTCAGAAATGGATGGATTTGGGGGTTAGTATTTGATAGCAGATGTTGGTACATTGACCTGCGTAGAAGTTTTGTGTTCATAGATGCTGGAAAAACCAAGAAAAAAATGCTGTCCTTGTAGTCTGGTTCCCTGACCTTACTTGAGACGAAAAGGAGCCATTTAAAAAAAAAAAAATTGTAATAGTAGACGTTGGGGAATTGTCAGGTCAGGGAACCAGACTAGCTGGCTTGCACTCCTTCATGGATGTTTAACCGCTTGCAAACAAAATGTGGACTGACTAAATTTGGTAAATTGGGGGCAGAATTTGAAAAAAAAGTCAGTTTCTTTCCAACGATGGTCAGCCAGCCATCGTTGGAAAGAAACTGACTTTTTTTTATACCAAAATTCTACTTTTCTTAAAAATGACAGCACACAAGGTGCCATGATGCCATAATTTTACAGGATGCTTGAGACTATTATTTACAGTCAAGTAAGGTTCATTTGTTGTATTTCTGGTAGTTTTGTTTTTTGATGTTTGCAAATGTTGTATATCCGGTACCTTTAAATATGGGGCACCGTTTTATCCAGAACTATATATCCAAACTTAAAGGATCAACTTAGCCAGAAAAAAATTAGTGCCAGGTATTGCAAAAGTCTGAGAACCAGTATGGAATGTACATGTACAAAAGCATGGCATTTCCAGGTGCATGTAACTTGTGCATATTGCTAAAGGACCAGTAAATATCACATGCTTAGCTTTCAACTGTATGAAACTGACTCCATGAAACGATGAGGTATATAGGCTGTGTCCGAAGTACTTGGCTACGGCCAGAAGGCTTCTCTCTCTTCCATAGGCATGTACATGTAACTCCAAGCCATAGCGGCATACATATTTTGGATGCGGTTATAGGCTCTGCACTGTACTGAAGCAGATGTCTTTGTTGAGCAACTGTACGAAACTGGCCTGTGTTATCAAAGCTGTGTCTGGAAATCCATTTTTATTTTGGCTATTGATACCCATCGTATTGGTTGCTAGCATGCAGACATAGTGCACAAGTTGAGTGAGAGATATTTTGTGCTGAAGGAACCAGTGAAAGGGAGCTACCGGTATAGTGGCAAGATTTTTTGTTTAAAAGATGATCAGAGCCTACTGATCGAAACGTCAAGTTGATCACGCGCCAGTTCTCCTCAGAGCCCCCCCCCCCCCCTTTTTCATCAACTCAGGAGAGATATTTCTAGTATATCACCACAAATCCTCCACATGTAGTTAACTTGTGAACCATGCTAGGCTAAACAAGTGAGGGTTTTGCGGTAACACCACGTGGAAGAATCTCTTTTGAGAAGATGTGTGGTTCTGAAAAGAACCGGTCCTGAGAACCACTTTGCAATGCACAAACTTCTGAAAAGATCCACACATCTTCTCAAAAGAGATTATTCCACCCTCACTTCCCCCACTAGTTTACACTACCGCCATGCAAAGTTTCAAATCGTATTCATGCTAGGCTACAAATAGTCCAAGTTTTCCTGCAAAAAAAATGAGACAACAAAATGCAGTAATAATCTTTAAGCTCGATTTTCCACATGTAATTTACATATTTTATATTGCTCTTAAATCCTGCACATGTACATGTAGAGGTCAGTTTTTGCACACTGTTTCTTTTTTATACCTGAATGCGAAGAATTTTGACGACATTGTGGTTTTGGCCCAAGTGGCAATCGCCGGGAGTCCATACCGAGCTAGGCAGGTATTAGCTCTTCGTCATTGCCTGGTACTGCTGCCGTAGTTTGGCATTGATGTATTAATGGTTAATGATGGCCGCAGTTGACTAGCACACCTGCGGTAGCTTGGTAAACACAGGTGCTCGTTTTACGGGGTTGTAATAATCGCCTGACGGTGTCAGGCAAACTAAACGGTCCCATGCAAGGGGGCGATTGAAATGCTTGTCATTCAGCCGGCCCATCAATCCTAAGTATGCGGAAAATTGTGCATGGGAGGAGGGTAAAAAAATTTCTCCGTGTTTTCTCCTTAGAAGATGAATTTAACACCAGCAAAATCTTGAGA